GGGGGGGGGGGGGGGGGGGGGGGGGGGGGGGGGGGGGGGGGGGGGGGCCGGGGGGAGATGCCGAAGCAAGGATTGAGGAATTGACGAGGGCTTTGGAGCGCTGGCAAAGGCAGACAGCGTGCGTAGTTGTCATGTCCTGGAACGGTGACGCAGTGGCGCACAAGGTCTGTGAGTTCTTGCGCCCACGTCGATTGCCAGATCTAGCCACCACTCATGCCACCCATGCATCCAAAAGGTCGAGACCACCTCGCTGTCAATTGAATCTCCACATTTGTAGATCTCCCAAAATACGCTGCTAGTTGCCAGCTGTCAAGAGCTCAAGCGTTGTGTGGACGTGTGCACGGCATGAACGGCACGGGCGTTCGCCAACCACCTCACGGCTCACGGGAGTAGATGTGGTGACCACTTCAAGGATCAAGGAGGAACGATGAGTAATAATGCTCAATGACTGGGGACTGGGTCATTTCGCCCTTACAAGCTCACAAGTCGCAGGCTCACTCTCCGCGTGCCCCGCAAGCCTCCAACGCACCCAGCCATGCCGCCGGCAGCATCATCTATTATCCCCAGGCTGACCCGCGCATACTTCGCTTCGCTCCTCTCAACTCGCATCGCAAGAGTGTACGGTCTGATGGTCTTATTGCAAGCCGCTACAAATCGCATTGCAACAGTTTATAGAATGTTAAGATGCTATCAAATGCAAGTGTCTGCATGATCGCCTGAGAAGACTGTCAGCCGTCGACCTCGTACAGATGTTCAGTCGACACATGATGATGACATGCGATGAAGGCCGAAAGACAGGGTTATCGCGTCCGCTAGCCCTGAAGTTCAGTACGCGTCATAGGCTTGGTGTGGCCTCGGAAGCGAGCGAGCCCTCGGGTTCACTTTTGACGGTCAAATGCGACCATCTCGGCCACAGGACCGCTCCCGACCTTCGTTCCGGTGCGTGATGGATTACAACACCGTCGGGACACGGGTATTGCTAGTCGACAGCATTCCGCTCGAGTCGAGGCGAGGATGCTAGACGGCTGGAGGGTGTAGGATCAAGTCGGAAGACGGGACGGTCGGCAGCGGCGAGGCTGCGCAGGCCGCCGGCCCACCCGGATCATGTTCGTCAAAGTGGGTAAGACCAAGATGCAGGATTTCAGAGGAGTCACCAGCTCTACGGTGCGACATGCGACAGCACGCAGTCTGGCTTGGGCAGCAGGTCACCCAGACAGCTGTACGGACCTATGCTGGGTCGGCAGGCTGACATGACTGTCGTCCTGCAGGTCGCGGTATGGGCAAAGCAGATCTTCCGGACAGTTGAGAATAACGTGGCTCTAGAAGAGTCCAGACAATCACCCTGATCCCTATGAGTTATCCACATATCCACAAGCTATGACGCTATAGCTTCTGCCCACCGGTCATCTGTTCCCCATGGTGGCGCACATGGCCGGTGGGCAGTTTATCCAACCACCAATCGCCACCTACCACCAACCTTCGCGTGACGCAATCATCGCCGCAACCTTGTTAAATCCCCCGTCCTTTGCGATCCCATCCTCATTTTTGGTGGACGATCGCGGATCCGAATCTGTGGTCAGCTACATGGCATGATCAACTGTGAAGCATGCACCTGAATGTGCACGGTGGAGAGGCTGAAGGTGGCTGAAGGGAGCGCATACGGAGCCGTGAATGGTCAAATGTTATGATGTACCCCGAAAGTGACCTACCTGGGCCGCATAACCGTTTGGAGGTTCGGGAACAAGGATTCGAACTTCGGACCTAAGCATACTCTACGACACTCCCATCAATATTGTTGAACATTTGTTTATCATGCCCGTCCCTCGACATCGGGTCACGTGTCCTTCCTGTCATGCCCTCGCCTATCAATGCTGACGACCTACTACGCCCACAACATGCACAACTTCCTTGATCCTTGATGATCTGACGGCTGCGTGACTCTGTTCAACGCCCTATCGATCTGTCGATCTGCGGCGCTGACCGTATACACAAACTTTGCTCTTGGCGACTTGCAGTGTGCGAGCGCCTGGACTCACCACCATCCAACATGATTCGCGACAGCCAACCAGCACGGTGGCGCCGGAATAAGTTTACGGCGTGACAAGTACGCTCCACCACGCTCGTTCTAGGTTGCAAGGTTCCAAGATCCAAGACGATGGATGCGGAGGCCCCAAGCAGAACAGCCGAGGGAACATTAAAGAAGTGGGATGCGGGAACGCGCGGGCGACTGAGGGTCGGTACGGGCATGCGGGTCGAGCTTGCCGCGGATGAGCGAAACATCCCCTGAGCTAACGATGAGTGGCCGAGTGGCATGAGTGGGCCTTTGACGCGTTTCGTTTGGGGACGTGTAGATCGTGTAGAGGCGCAGAGGGAACGGGATGTCGATCCAGAAGGCCAAAACAGCTAGATCATCAGGCAAGTCGAGCTTCGAGGATCCTGAATACGTAGACGCGGGAGCGGATAAGACGAGGACTGAATTGGGACATTGTTGCTATATCTATCATGAGATGAAGCAAGGGGAAGTCCCGGAACAGACGGGTGTACAGTACGGGTGGTTAATGCGTGTTTGATGATGGTGGACTGAATTGCTTCACAGGGTTTGGGTTGTCTCACGGGTCCAAGAGGTGAAAGTGCGGGTTGTGCCAAATTACGCGTGGCGTCTGGCAGCTGGCAGCTGGCAGCTGGCAGCTGGCAGCTGGCAGCTGGCAGCAAGGGTTCCAGCGGCCCGATGATTCGGCTGTCCCGCTGGTCCGGGACCCTCTGATGAAGCGCCTCGGGGGTTTCTGCTGTACCTGCTGTACCTGTTGTACTGCTTTACTGGTGTGTGGAGGCATCTGGTCCAAGGCTCGATGAAACGACAGGTGGCGGTGTGGCGTTGGCGGTGCAGGGAAAACAAGGCAGGGGAGTCAATTCAGGGCGATCAGGTACCAGGAAGTTTGATGCGGGAACGCACTGACCAGCACACTTTGGAATGTTGGGCACTGGCTGGCACTGCACTCCTCCCCTCTCGCGGCTGGTCGTCCAGTTGAGCCAGTGATCCACTTGTCGCAACCCCTGCCCAAGCTTTTGGCTGCATGGCTCCGTTGGCTGCTGTTCGCCTCCGCGGTCAGGCCGTCAAGCCTTTCCCGTTCCATCCCTCTTTACGCATGTGCCTCATCTCCGCCCCCCGTAATCCCCCAGCGCGGGTTGACTTTGGACTCGCGGGATGACCATCCTGCCGTTCGCCTTTACGCCTGTACGCCTGCCGCCTGCCATCCTCCTCACCAGCCCAGCCCCCTGTCCCCTATCCCGACTTGGCTTCAACTCACCACACAGCCCGTTGCCGCCGCCGTCGCTACCGCGCAACTGCACGCGCAAACTCAGGTGCCGAGATGCTCCCCTGTCGTCTCGCAGCACATTGCCTGTAGTCCTCCTCCTCCTCTGGGTCAACATGCATGCAAGCAGCCAGTGCTCAGCCAAATCGGAACCAGACCGCGTCGACTGTTGGGTCCAAGTCAGGACAAACATATCTGCTCATCCTCGATCCTCGTTGCGTCCTTTCCTTTTCCTCAATCCAGCGATAAACGCCTGTAATATCAACGCCACGCCTGATCGGATTCCTACCGCACGTCCCGCAACACCGTCAAGTTTGTGTCTGCTTTGATCCTCGACGATTCCTTTACGATCCCCATCCTCATCCTCATCTTGTCCCAGCCTCACTCATCCCCTGTTCGGCCTGTCCTCACCTCTTCGGCACCGGTTCCCACCGTCCCATCGCTACTCCCCTGCACCCCAAGCCCCGTCGTGCGCCGATCCTGATCCTCTCTCCGCGGTTTAAGAACCCACGCCTCCCAGAGTGTGACGCTCCATTCTCCCCAACTGTTGTCCACGTCTCCTATCATCTTCACTGTCGCCTTCGACTCGTCCAACCTCTCGAGCCGACTGTCCGAGTGCACACCGGTCCAACTCCTATCTGTGCTTGCTCGACAGCGACCTACCCCACTTCCTAACCGGCCCTCCCCATCACACTCTCTATCATGTTCGTCTTCAACTACTTTGTCGTTCCCCTTCTCTTCGCCGCCCAGTGTCTTGCGGCGCCAGCAACCTCGAATGAGGACACGCCCTGCCTTTCGGCATGTGGCAAGTGGTCCGAGGTTGTCGAGCAGTGCTATCAGGTGTTTACCATTACTCGTGAGCCTGCCTGTCTGATTGTAGCTCACATCAGCCCATACTATCGATGATGTGCTCTCCAACGGTTTCCTCGCCTGCCTCTGCTCTGGCAGGAACAAGGTCGGCGGAGAATACGGCAATGCGACGATGGTCCAGGTGGCCGGCGTGTGCCAGTCTTGTTCCACGACGCCTAACACCATCAAGGGAGATCTCTCTGTGAGTCGAGAGAGGCCGAGCTATGAAGCGCAGCGTGTAGGCACAAGCGAGCGAGCATAGGCAGTCGTGGCATTCCCAGACCCTCCCTCGTCTGTCGCACACCCCGACTAATGTACTCGTGGACTGTGTGGGGTTAACGTCGCTGACTGTCTAGACATTCCTTGGACTCTGTGCGATTCAGGCGTCGAACGGAACGGCAGCCAACGCGTCCAGTTACGCTCCTCTGGGCTACAAGACCGGAAAGGACGCCAACCCCGACCTCGCCAAGGGTGCGGCCGGCATGAACTCGCCTGCTCTTGTGCTTGGAGCGATGGCTGTGCTTCTTACGAGCGCCCTGGCCGTCTTGTAAGGCAGTTGCAACATGTTCCTCACATGCCTCGCAACGATCCGGCTCAAACAATCAACGATCATCGATCAACGACGACGTCGCAAAGCAACCTGCATAAGCCATCGATCGCAGCTGCGGATCCAATGATTCCGTGCATGAGATCAACTTTCGCAGCATGTCACGCGCTGCAACGAATCCCTTCACATCATTCTCGAACATCAAGCTTTCGGCCCGCGCGGCCCTCCAGGTCCCCGCAAGCATAGACACCAGCATAGAAGTGTACGACGCGCATTGTAAAGTTAACATTTCACCATCGCATCCCCCCCATACCTCCTGTCGTGCGCACCGCAGCCCGGCGGGGCGCATCGCGCTTTATAATTTAGTTGACATGTATGATAGTCTGTCACGTCTTACCGCGCGACCTTGGGCACGTTGGGAGACTGGGCACACGCGCATACAGACAAGATCGCAGGATAACAGAAGGATCGGGGCACCAGCCTGATTCGCTAAGATAGCGCATTTGAGGGTGCTAAACTACGACAGAGGCAAGAACGACAAGGGTGATGATCCAAATCCTCATCACATCATCATCGCCAGTCCACTCGTCACGCCGGCACACGGCACGAGGGCTTCTATCGACTGTTGTTGACGTTTCATCACACTGATGACTCACCACGTTGGCTCCTTCCCCTGCCTTTGTTCATCTGCACAAGAACCAGTAGCCCTTCTCATCGCTCCAACTCACCCCTTCGTTGGGCTGCGACATCACTGACACATGTAAATTTGCACTCTATCGATTCTCACGCAACTCGCACCCCGCGCCAGATGGTGGCTGGGACAAGAGGATCCCCAGAATTACAGAACACGCCGTTGCAATCCTCGACTCTGCGATCTTGGCGTTCTGGCGTTCTAGCGGACCGTGCGCTCGGGCGTTCGTTGTGCTCGCGTGCTCGGGCGCAAGGGCGCACGAAGCGAACACGGTCGCGAACGCTCAACGCGGCTCGCGACCTGACGATCGTCGCGCCCTTGCCTTCTCGTTCCTTATCGTGGAGCCGGGCCAGCCGGACGCTGGACTGGGATCTGGAAGGGGGGAGAGGCCAGCGGCCAATGGCTCGCGGCTCGCGACTCGGCGGCATGTGCGGAGGATTGTCAGAGGATCAGAGGATCAGAGGGCCATGTCGAGGGCCGGGGTCGCGGAGATGCGAGGAACATAGGGATCATAGGGACGCGAAGAGGGTGCGACGCGTGTGGCGCACCGGCTCATCTCGCGTTCCGTGGCGCTGATCCCTGTCCTCACGTCCTCTCAGCGTGGGATAGGTGTCACGTGAATTTTTGCACGTGTCGCCCGCAGGTGACGTGGGAAAAATGTCCATGCGATACACGCGTGGTTCTCGTGTGGAACCTTGACCTCCACTTCTGAATTTCTCCATCTCCAGCACTCGCCACTCATCTAGTCCATCCCAAAACACTATGAGGCCACGAGTCGAGGTCCCGCGCCGGCTGGCGACGCTCGCCCCGCGGCGCTTCCAGACCACCAAGCCTGTGCGCCGCAAGCGCGAGCTGCCCGTCGAAGAGGTCACGTTCCACCGCGGCCCCGACGCGCCCAAAGCCAACATCCAGCGGCAGCCGTACAAGCTCTCGGCGCTCGGCACCGAGATCCCGGACGATATCCCCCAAGTGCCATTGCACATAGAGCAGGCCGACACGCGTAGGTTGCGGTGGTTCATGCGTACCATGAACGAAGAAAAAATGACGCCCGAAGACGAGGACCGCCTCGAGCGCGCGATGCAGCGCGTCGTCAAGCCCCCCCGGCCGCACATCCCGTTCACGGCCGAGGACGCGGGCGCGAGTGTCGAGCGTAAAGAGTTCTTCGCCATCCCCGGGGAAGAAGGTTACGACTCGGGTGTCGTCGATATAGGCGAGGTCACGCCGGGCCTCGAGCCCGGGCGTGTCGTCGAGGTCCGCCGGTGAGTAGCCACCAGGAATCGAGGAGGCTGACGGCAGTGAGACGGGGAACTGTATCGGTATCATTCTGGCGCCCATCACTATCGCGCTCAAGGATCGTCTGCTGCTCCTGCGGAATACGGGCGAGATCTGGCCCGTGTCGGCCAACGACGTGCAGTTCGTCATGCCCAAATCGCTCGTGCCCCAGGAGTTGTCGTCCGCGGCTTGGCACCCCGATCTCCTCCAGATGTGGAAGCTCGGCGAAGACATCGGTTTGGGTGCGCCGAAGGAGGGCGACATCATCGGACCACAGCAGGCGGGGCAGCTGCTAGCGGCGCGGCGGAAGATTGCGGCTCTCCTCCGCCGCGTGCTGCGCGAGACGGAGCGCATGCAGGCGCGCTTGCTCGGCGGGTCAGTCGAATCGGGCCGTGGTGGCGGCATGGATGCGCTTTGGGAGGGGTTGGCACCCGCCGACGCCAACCTGCGAGGATCGATCGATGCAGCGTCAGCCGCTGAGTTCCTTCTCAACCGCGCGGAGCCGCAGGACGGCGAGAAGCGGATTACCGTGCGGCCAGGGACATTGCCCGCCTACGCGGCGCACCGGATGCTCATGGAGCGCCCCGACCTGTTCCTCTCGACCGACATTAGCATGTGGCAGGAGCAGAAGTTCCTCGTCCGCTCGCGCGCCGAGGTTGAGCGGTACAACCGTGTCGAGCGGTGGGTCGCGACGCAGGACTCCATCTTCCTCAAGTTCGTCGAGAAGGGCGAGACGGTGCGCGCGGCTATCAAGAGCGGCGGGACACTGCCGGAGTGGAGTGAGGACGAGCGGGACATCCTGTTTCAGCTCGCCCTGGCGCTGTATGAACGCCGTGGTACCCAGCACCCCCATGTCCTCACGCTGGCGTGCAGTATCGCAAAGTGGTTCTCGTCGCCCTCCGAAGTGGTCGTCGACCTCTCTTTCGTCGGACCACTGCTGAACGAACTGGGTGTGCTCCCCTCATGGGACTCGTCGATGCCCCACAAGGTAATTGAGGGCGCGTCCCGCTCCGCAAGCATGGGCGGCTTTATCATGCCGGTCAAGTTTGGCAAGTCGGCTGCGGAGCCAGTCGCTGCGGACGCAGCCCTCGACAGTCTTCGCCAGGAGTACTCGCACCGAGTGTATGTGATCGACGACCCGAGCGCGCTCGAGCTTGACGATGGTATCGCTCTCGAGCCCGCCGGCAACGACCAGTACTGGGTACACGTTTACGTGGCGGACCCAACGCGCTTTATGGAGCGCGAAGGGACACTCTCGACAGCGGCAAGCTTCCGAGGAACAGCGCATTATCTGAAGGAGGGGACGGTGCCGATGCTTCCCCCATCGCTGGCAGGGGGCAAGCTGTCGCTCGGCGCGGCTGAGGGGCAGCCGATCTTGGTGTTCTCGGCCAAGGTCGACACACAAGGAGAAGTGCACGACTGGAAGGTTGGAATGGGTTTCACGAAGAACTCGGTGGTGACGACGTACGACGCGGTCAACGATGCGCTCGGCATCGTGCCGGCCAAGAAGTCGTACCCCTTCGGGCGGTTGCGCGAGGACTTGCTCGTGCGACCCCCAACGCGGCCCCTCAGCACTCTTGAGGCGGAGCACAATGCTGAGCTGCAGACGCTTATGCAGCTCTCGCAGGCCCTGCGCGCCGTGCGTTACAAGAATGCTGGCTTTGAGTGGACATCCTCGGCCGCATCGATCAGTGTGCATAACACACGCGCCATCCCCGCCAACCTGCACGATCGGTCCTCGTTCCCCGCTGCCCCGCAGAGCTCAGCGCTCGACGAGCTGCGGCTCGGCTACGAGGTGACTGAAGATCCGCTCATCACGAGCTCCATCACGATGGTCACCGAGTACATGGTACTCGCGAACCAAGTGGCCGCGTGGTTCTGCGGCGAGCACGGGCTCGCCGCAGCGTTCCGCGGCACCGGGCCCGTCACCAACACCTCCGTAACTCCAGCGGACATGACCGTGGACAAACTCCTCGAGCAGCGAGTGCCTGGCACTGGTTTCGTGAGCTTGAGCAAGGCCAAGATCGGCTCGCTCCTCTTCCCCGCGACGCAGCTCAGCCCGACCCCCATCCCGCACTGGCTCATGGGATTGAGTGCTGGTCGGGGATACATGTGGGCGACGTCGCCGCTGCGACGGTACGACGACATGCTGGCGCACTGGCAGATCAAGGGTGCGCTGGCCGCGCAAGCCGGCGTGTCCGGCGGCGAGGGCGTGCTCTCCACCGAGGCGATCTGGCCACTCGTCATGCGCGCCTACCACGGGCAGCAGCGCGGGCGCACCGCCGAGCGCACGGGAATCCGCTACTTCACCTCCGCGCTGCTGAAGCAGCGGGCCTCGGGCCCCCTGCCGGACGAGTACGAGGCCGTCGGCGAGATCATTGACTTGCACAAGCCAATAGACGCCGTCGTCCTCTCCCTCCCCCACGCCCGGGCGGGGAAGTACGAGGTCGACATCAACATCCCCTCTCTGGGCTTGACTTCGGACACACCCTTCCCATCTATGGCTGAGGCCCAGCGCCTCGCCCCCCTCGGCTCCACTATCCAGGTTGTGTTCAGCATGACTGAGCTCTGGCCAATTCCGCGCGCCCAATTCAGGCTCGCTTAGCATCACCACTCATAGGATCATCTTATCATGCACAGCATCACTCGAGGTCTCTGGCCCGCGAGACGGAATGTGGATCATCCTCTAGTGGATTAGGATACACTGCCAGACTGCATCGATACACACGCTACTGGTTGAAGCCCATACGGATTGGCGGTGGCGGTGGAGGCGGCGCGCCGCCCTGCTGCTGCTGCTGCTGCTCCCCGCCATAGTAGTACCCCCCGTTCGCGTACTGGTTGTAGTCATAGCCCTGGTACCCCTCGTAGCCCGGGTACTGCTGCTGCTGAGCGTACGGCTGTCCTCCATAAACGGGCACTCCTGGTGGGGGAGGCGGCACGCCAGCAACCTGCGTCGGCGCAAAGCCCGCCGGTACGGGAGGTGGGGCTGGCACGGCTGCCGGCGCCGCCACAACGGGAGGAACGTAGGCTGGTGCAGCTGGTGTCAGCGATTGCAATGAGAATGCAGCAGAGGCGATGGTACGTAGTGGTCTTCTTTCCTAAATCACTGCGCGCTCCACACGTAAACTCACCTGCGACTCCAAACGCTCCACCGCCTGGCAGCATCGAGTGCTTCTTCGCCTGCGCAGCGAGAACACGCTCCGCCTGCGTGCCGTGTCGCTCGCCCTTGCTGTCCTTCTTGAACGCGTACTGCACCGACACCTGCTTGCCGCCAAGGAACTGTCCGTTGAGATTCTCAATCGCCTGGTCCGCGGCCTCAAAGTCGTGGAAGCTGACGAAGCCGTAGCCCTTAGACTCGCCAGTCGACGGGTCACGCGCGACCTTTGGCGTCTCCGCGATCCCTCCGAAACGTGAAAACGTGTCATACAGCTCTTGTTCGCTGACATCCTTGCCTAGGTTACCAATGAACAGGTTTGCGCCGACGTCAATCTGCTTCTTGTCGTAGGATGCCTTGTTCACGCGAATTGGCTTGCCGAATAGCTTGATCTGGTTCATGATCTTGCACGCGTAGTCGGCATCCTCCTCGGACAGAAATTCGCAGAACCCGAAGCCCTGGTGCGCCATGCTCACACGGTCCTTGGGAAGGAAGACGTTCGCTGGCGTCAACTCGATAGCCCGGAGCGCACTCACACACGGGCCCCGCCTGCAACATGAGCTCCCATATCAACGCGTCGGTGCACCGCTCGTCAAGATTTCCCTTCTGTCAGCTCAGAGAGGAGCATGACTCACCAGATACACCGTCGCCTCCTGGTTCCTGTCCTGTTCCGGCTTGCTCTGCATGGTTCGATGGAGAGTTTTGTTTACAGAAGTAGATGGAACGAGTTCCGTAGAAAGTGATGCTGACCTCACGGAAGCAATTTCGACCTCTGCTTGGTGGCAAATGTGGAGGTCGTGCAGAACCTGCTGATGTGCATTTACTACTGTTTACACGTTCGTCTAAAAAGTCTACGTGAAGCGGATGAGCATGAGCGTCCAAACGAACAGGAGAATAACGACCACTACCACGCCCAGCGTCATGCACGTGGTACTCCGTCCCTTGGTCGAGACCTTGGACAGCGTGCCCTTGCTCTCCTTAGTGGCCGCGAGATTGCTCTCCAGCGTGTCCTCCGAGCGCTGAAGCATACTCTTCTCCTCCTCGAGCGAATTTGAAAAGTGGATGGCGTTCAGCTTGAGCCGATGTGACATCTGCCGTCAACGCCATGTCTGCGCCCTTCTACTCACGTCGGCCAACTGTCCACCAAGCTCCTCGTGTAGCGCTGCGCTGCCGATCGCACTCTGTGCACCACCTGTGCCGAGCAAACGCCGCCGCATACCCTCTGCACTCATTTCATCGTCCATCTTCGCCGTCTTCAGGGGCAGCAAGCCGGCTTCACCGCCCGCCTCGTCCTCGCGTCGCCGTTTGGCAAAGTAGCTTGCCGTATCGAGCTCCCCAACGGCCGGGGACAGAAGTGGGATAGAGGGCGAGCGAGAAGGCTCTCGCACTTTGGCAGGGGATGGTGGAAGCACTGGAGGAGACGCAAGCTCCTCAACCTCCGCATCGTCTAGCTTGGCAGAGACAGCCTCACCGAGAAGCGCTACCTCAGCCGGCGCGGAAGGAAGGTCGAGCAGCGGGAGGGCAACAGTCGGTGCCGGCGCCTTGGCGCGCTTGGCCGACACTTGAACTGCATCTTCGGCACGGGTGAGCATGCGCTCGAGGTCTTCGAGAGCGTCGGCCGTCGTTGACGCCCTGCAGTTAGCCACCGAAAGGTCGGACGTCGGAGCTTACCCCTCGTTGCCACTCCGCAGGGCGTCCAACAGCGCTCGCGCATAAAGGACAGTCTGTGATCAGCTCCCTACACGTGGACGGCGTACCTCCCATGTCTTCTGCACCTGTAGCCACGTTCCGTCCTCGCGGCTGTGCGCCAGCGAGTGTACCAGTCGGGTCGCGTTGATGAGCCCGTGCCGGCTTCCTGCTGCACTCCGTGCAGAAGCGAGCACTGCCGGGCTCGCATTCATCGAGAGTAGATTGAGCGTCGGGACTGTCGCAAGCGTTGCGGGCATCGTCGATGAGTTTGTGTCAGTCAGTAACTAGCAATGGCTCGCGCGTCCATGTTGCCTTGTGCGGTGGAAGCTGAGAGTGGAGGCTGGAGCGTCATCGCTCGCCGCTTTATCTTCTGGATTTGTTACATTTCCTCCGAGGCCTGTGTTGTGGGTGTTGCCGCGCTTTCGACAGTTCAACTCGATGCCTAGCTATCATCACCCTCGTTGTCACCTTCCAACACTATCTCACACGCGCCTCGCCTGCACAGCTGCACAATATACCATCAGCTGCTCGGCCGTCTACTTCACTTCGTCCCCATCGATCCCCGCGTGACCCGGTATGAGGTACTGAGCAAAGTGGAGGTCCTCCACAATGCCTCCCCGCCGCTCTTCCACGACCCGCGCGTCGACCGGTCACACCACGCTCGACGCGCCGGCAACTACTCACAATGGCACAAACAATGCCGAAGCTGGTCCTTCCACTCCTACGGCTCTGCCCCGCTCGCGACGCGGCCCTCGAGAGAGCGCATCCGCGAGTCGCAAGAAGCGGCACATCACGGACCACGAGATGGAGCGCATCATCTACAAGCTCGGCCCTGAAGGCACACAGGCGCGTCGAGAAGAACTCGTGCGCGAGCGTGAGGCTGAACTCCGAGTCGTAATGGACGCACACGACATGGCCGTCAAGGAGAAATTCCATCTTGAGCGCTACACGAGCATCCTCGACGGGTGGGACCCAGAGGAAGCGCGCGTGGACAACTCGCCTGTGTTTCTTGATGTACGGCTGGAGCTCATGTCTATGCTGATGGCAGTACAAGCACGCACAGTACAATCTGCTGGACCTCGTCGCGGCCAACTCGTCGATCGGGAGCACACGCGCCAGCTTGGGTCCGTCGAGAACGACAAGACGGCAGCTGCATTCCAAAACGGAGGCGCTCGGAATCGCGAGCAATGAGAGAGAGAAGGCCAAGGGGAAGGCCAAAGAGCATGCTTCGCAAGGCAAAGGTCGTTCCGTTGAGGAGGAGTCCCCTGTTAAGCGAGAGACGCCCAGAAGAGGCAAAGCAGCCGAGCTGGAGCCAGAACCCGAGCCGGAACCATCATCTAGGAAAGGACGCCGCACGGCTGCGGCAGAAATGCCACCCCCGCCCGTGCCGAAGGGCAAGATGGCTCGGCGCGCCACAATCGCTCAACCGGAAGTGGTTGAGCTCCCCATCGAAGAGGGAGCGCGCAGTAAGAAACGGCCGCGCGGGCGCCAGTCGCTCCCAGTGCCGTCAAAGAAGGCGCGCGCTCTAGAGAGGGCGTCGGCGTCCCCGGCGTCGTCGCCGGCTCCCAGCACACCGGCACGCTCGCCGTCGCCCACGCCCGCTCCTGCTCTGCCCTCCCTTGCACATCTTGAGTTTCCACCGCCGCCTAAACGGCCATTGTGGAAGCGCACAGGACCCAGCCTTGTCGCCTACACAGACCCAGGGCAGCGCCCGCCCCCTGCGATGTTTGGCGGGAACATCAGCGCGTACCTCGCCTCATATATCCATGTCGATGACGGCGTTGATAATGATATGGCCTCGTTGGAGGCGCGCGCGCAGCGTGAGGCGGCCCTGCGCAACCGGTCGAACTGGCTGCAGCACCAGGGCCGCCTGTTGCGGCTGCTGGATGAGGACGAGGAACCGCAGAAGAAGGAGCGCGACCGCTCTCACCGCCGTTTGCCGCCCACGGGCCCGCCGCCGCGCCAGATCGACTTCCATGACTCACTCATCGCCCACATGGTGCAGGTGCGTGGAGCGATGATGGCCGAGGCCAAGGCCAAGCCAGCGTTCTGTCGGCGCATCGCTCGCATGATCGCTGCACACTGGGAGCACTTAGCGAACAAGGACGAACGGGAACGCATAGCCGCCGAGCGGGAACTCAAGCGTAAGGGACGCGAGGTCGTCAAGGCCCTCCGGAAACGGTGGGCCTTGGCCACCAAGATCGTGCGTGCCAAGGTTCTCGCACAACAGAAGCTCGAGCAAGACCGTCTAGGCAAGGAACACCTCCAGAACATGCTTCAACGGAGCACAGGGCTGCTCGAGGCGCAGCGCGAGGACATTGTCGGCCGTCAAGATGACGCTGACGCTGACGGCGCTGACAATGGTGCTGACTCGGACGCAACCGCCGAGGTGTCCGCCGCCGAAGACAGTGGCGAGGAGAGCGAGGACGGAGGCGACGAGGAGGAGGAGGAGGGGGAGGGGGAGAAGGAGGATGGAGATGAAGGCGAGAATGAAGTGGAACCGCTCGAGGACGAGCACGGCCGCATCCCTGTCTCAGACGCTGCCGTCGAAGCGGGAGCTGCCGTCACCTCTGAGGCCGCGGATGATCGTGGGGACGATGCGATGGACGAGGACGACGCTGAAGGCAATGAGGAGGGAGACGAGGATGGGCGGAGCGATGTTGAAGAGGACGCTGTCGACCTCCGAATGCTTGTCGGCATGAGAATGGAGGACACTCAGGAGGATCACACCGTGATGGACGACCAAGGGGACGACCAGGATGGGGACGGCGGATTCCAGCCCGATATCCTCGAAGACATGACAGCATCCCATGAGACGCCAAACGGTGCGGCTTCGCGAGCGACTCCTCCATCTGCTGCCAAAGCTCTCGCGTCTGAGACCCTGCCGCAATCCACCGCTGCCACCTCCCCGCCTCTCATGTCAGCGCCTCTAACGGCCTCCCCAGCTACTTCGTATACCCCACCTACTCCTCGCCCCCGCTCCCGCCGCCTCGCCCGAAAGCGCAAATTAGAGGTCGCCGAGGCGCCAGATCCTGACGCCAATGATGTCGAGTTCGTGGACAATGCGGATATCCAGCTCGAGGATGCGCAGCTGGACGAGGCCATGTCCGACGCCGAGGCAGCTGATGCCGACTCTGAGGACGAGGGTTTGCTGGCAGACGCGAACTTGCCGATCGAGGAGCTACTCAAGCGATACGGCTACAACATACAAGCCCCAGTCGAAGGCTCAGAGTCAGAGGCTGACGCTGTCGATAAGGGTGCTGAGGTCAATCCGACCGACGAGCAGAAGCGTGGCTCACCTCACGACCAGTCACTGACCGACGCTGGACTCGATGATGCCAAACGCGACTTGTCGCCCGCTGTCGTCGTCGAGGGCAAGCGGCAGCGAAAGGTTCGCACGGTGTGGACACCTCCAGACGACCGGCCGCAGCAGCTCGCGTCTAAGAATAAGAAGAACAAAGTGCAGATTGTCGAGCCCGACACCTCGTCCGACGTTGAGATGGAGTCGACACCTGAGCTTTCGAGTGAGGACGAAACCGACGAGGAGGAGGATGTCCAGGAAGACGAGGTCAAACTCGAGGAGGACCCGAACGCTCCTCGCCTGAAACCTCCTTTCCTCCTCCGCGGCACACTTCGCCCGTACCAGCAGGCCGGTCTCGAGTGGCTGGCGAGCCTGTACAGTAACAACATGAACGGCATTTTGGCCGATGAGATGGGTCTTGGTAAGACAATCCAGACCATCGCGCTACTCGGACATCTCGCGTGCGATCTCGGTGTCTGGGGTCCACACCTCATCATTGTGCCCACGTCTGTCATCCTCAACTGGGAGATGGAGTTTAAGCGCTTCCTGCCTGGCATGAAGGTGCTCACCTACTACGGCAACCAGAAGGAGCGCAAGGAAAAGCGTGTCGGCTGGAACACGGAAAATGCATGGCAGGTCTGCATCACAAGCTACCAAATTGTGCTTGCCGACCAGCACATTTTCCGCCGCAAAAACTGGGTCTACATGATTCTTGATGAGGCGCACAACATCAAGAACTTTCGCTCGCAGCGCTGGCAAACCCTCCTCGGTTTCAAGACGCAGCGGCGTCTCCTGCTCACGGGCACGCCGCTGCAGAACAATCTCATGGAGTTGTGGAGTCTGCTCTACTTCCTCATGCCGAACGGTATCACCGCGGACGCGACGGCCGTGGTCGGGTTTGCCAACCACCGGGATTTCATGGAGTGGTTTTCCAGTAGGAGACAGCGGTTGATTGAATCTGACAGCAGACCCAATGGACAAGGCGGTGGAGTCAGGTGAGACAATGGATGAGGGCATGATCGAGACGGTCTCTAAGCTCCACACCTTATTACGCCCGTTCATCCTGCGACGCCTAAAGTCCGAAGTCGAGACGCAGCTCCCAGGCAAGTTCGAGCATGTCGTCTACTGTCGTCTCTCGAAACGGCAGCGTTTCCTGTACGACGAGTTCATGTCGCGCGCATCAACACGAGAGACGCTTATGAGCGGCGGATACCTCGGGGTCGTCAACATTCTGATGCAGTTGCGGAAAGTGTGCAACCACCCGGACCTGTTTGAGGTGCGCCCCGTGCGTACATCATTCGCAGTAGACAAGGGTGTTGCAGGTACCTTCGAGCCAACAGACTTACTTGTTCGCAAGCGCCTACTCGCCGCGGCTGACGACGTCGACCTCGCGTCCATGAACCTCATCGTGACTGGACGCGAGGGTGAGTCGGGTTGGGTGGCGGGGCTCCGCGCACGCTTGGACGCGAGCAACAAACTACCGTACGCTACAGAGGACAAAGCCCGCATACGCATGCCTAAGATGGACGCACGCACGCCTGATGGTTGGCTCAAGTACCGTGAGGCCACGGAGCTTGAGAAGGTCAAGGCACGATGGCGGGCAATCCGTGATATCAACAGGCGCCGGTGCCAAAGCGGTCCAATTTATGGCACCACTACGCTTGAAATGCTCAGCGATCTTCCGCGTCTCCTGCTCCCCGACACTGGCAAGCGACGCCTGTCCGACTTGTACGGCTCCCATGTCCCGCCAGCGGCTGCACTCGTCCGCTCGCACATCGAGCGCCTGAACGCGATATCCCCAGTCATTGACCGCTTCGCGGTCATCCCGCCTAACGCCGTCGCTCGCGACGTCGCTGCTTACGCTCTCCCAGGCGTCGACCCTACGCTTCCCGAGCTGCTCGATCCTGCCTTTGACTCGCTGCATAGCCCAAGCGTCAAACTGCAAATTGCATTCCCGGACGCATCGCTGTTGCAATACGACTGCGGCAAACTGCAGAAGCTGTACGAGATGCTACGCGACCTCAAAGCGGGTGGACACCGCGTGCTGATCTTCACGCAAATGACACGCGTGCTCGACATCCTGGAGATGTTCCTCTCCTACAACGGACACCGCTACTTGAGGCTGGACGGTAGCACCAAGATTGAAGACCGGCAGATTATTACAGAACGCTTCAACTCAGACCCGCGCGTCTTCTGCTTCATCGCTTCGTCGCGCTCAGGTGGTGTGGGCATCAACCTTACGGGCGCGGACACGGTTTTCTTCTACGACTCGGACTGGAACCCCTCTATGGACCGGCAGTGCATGGACCGCGCACATCGCATTGGTCAGACTCGCGAGGTGCACATCTACCGATTTGTGTCTTCGCACACGGTCGAGGAAAACATGCTGAAGAAGGCAAACCAGAAGCGGTTGCTCGATCGTGTTGTGATCCAGGAGGGCGACTTCACGACCGAGTTCTTTGGCCGCATGGACTGGCGGGACATGTTGGACGATGAAGTGCGCGAAGCGCGCGAGAAGGACGGGGTCGAGGATGTCGAACTCGAGCCTGAGCCTGAGACTGAAGACGTAGCGCAACATGCCGCGCACGCTGGCGAGGGGCGCGAGTTTGCGGCCGCTCTCGCTGAGGTTGAGGACGAAGAGGATGCTGCGGCTGCGCGTGTCGCGCTGGGCGAAGGCGAGATGGACTTCGCTGAGTTTGACGAAGGCAAGAAGGTCAAACAGCGTGAGGAGAGCGAGCCCGTTGTGCCCGTTTCACGGGCATCCGCCTCCGCTATCCCTTCCCACCTCGCCAGCTCGGCTGGAACAACACCTGCCCCGGAGGTCGAGGACGACCCCGAGGATGAGTATGACGACGACGATGTCGGTGGCGTTGATGAGTACATGCTCCGCTTTGTCGAGTGGGACTGGGACTACTTTTCCTCACTGTAGCGAGCGCAGTTTCTCTAACGCTCTGCGACTTAACCCATTGTATGTATTTTACGCGTCTAACTGTGCTTGCTACATGCGCCCAAAATGCCTGCATACAGTTGGGCCGAAGCACACCTCCTGCTGGTGGCCCTCTCACAGAAGGGTACTTGTGGACTACGTCGGGAACACTAACGACAATATGTACTGTTCGCTGTTGCTTAGGGCCGCACAAAGCGGAAGGCGTCCTTGACCTCCACAGTCCCTGCTACGGCCTCCATCTGCGGCTTGCCAGATCAAAGCCTGACCCGATGTCGGCTGGGTCATCGGTGGTGTCAGGGCGCCCCGACTCGAGGATGAAGCGTTTCCCGCCAAACTCTCTGCAATACTCGGCTCGCGTTAACAGCTTCACATTGGCTGTAGTTTTCGTCCGGAAGCGGTGCAGCAGTACCTCGCGCCGAAGAGCCCAGTCGTCGGACAGCTTCTCCAGACCGCCAAACTGAGTGGGCGGTATCGTTTCGACTCCAACGAGACACCACGACAAGCGCGGGAGTTGTAGCATCCCTGTAATGATATCTTCCAGAATCCCGATGTCCGAATCGGGGACGACGACCTTGGGCCAGTAGCCGGGGGTCTCAGGTCCCCAGATGTGGACTACAATTTGGGTATAGTCGGGGATGTCATGAACACGCCACTCGTGCCACCCACCGACCCACGGGAAGAATGCCCCACCAAAAGTCGCGAGCCGGGGAACGGCGCTCATCCGGAGAGAGTGACTTTGCGCTGCCGTCTGAGAGAAGTGCCAAAAAGTGAATCGCTGCCCGCCCCGGGGGCTCAGCTGGTTGAGAAAGGAGACGACGGTTGTGTGGGTCTGGTTTGGCCACGACACGAGCGAAAGTGCACGGTTGGCTCCCCACTCCACGAGGAAGCGGAACGTGCATGGGAGCTGCCCAAGGCGTGCGTGGTCCATGGCGCAGATGAGGGCCACGCTGCGCAAATTGTCGATGCCCATTGCTGGATCCGCCCCAGTGATCCAGATGAAGTCGATGACCTCAGTATGGGCGAGTAGTCGTCTGGCTTGGTTGAGCCTCGACTCGTCCCGACCGCTGCCAGGTTGGAGCAGCTCGCGGAGAAAGGGGAGCCTGTTCCCGGAGGGAGACAGAAGACCTTTCGTAGTGCCGTCGCGTAGTCCAGTTACCACGACATGGCGGTAGAGCAAGCGATCCACCTTCTTCCGCAGAGCACGAGACGTAGTGCGCACTACGAGGAGAGTGCTGTGACTGGCCAAGGCGATGACTGCGTCGACGATGTGGGGATAGACCTTGTAGTCTATCATGTCAGAGGAATCTCAGGCGGTCTGGGGTGAGCGGCTCGGAGTATGAAGAGATGAGCCGAGATGTGGTGATAGGATTAGAGCTTTTGTCAGATGACGTTCTGTGCTCTGCGATCGCTCACCGAGTTGCCTCAATGAAAACTCTCGTGTATATCTGCAGCATCAGCTTATTCCAAGCGGAATGTCGGTGTCTGAGAAACATACAAGTCTATTTCGTGTGCGAATATGTGAGACAATATCGGCGGATCAGAGCGGTTTGCTTGAGGGGAAAAGCAGAATGAAGTCTGCCGAGATGGGGCCACAGCGTTTCAAGGAGGTCAAGATCGTCAGATGTGGGCACAGACCCGTTAAATGCCAGCATGTGACCTTCTCATTTATTCCTCGTCCACACGCACCCGTGCCCCTCCAAGGTTGCTTCTGTGCATGCTGCAAGCGTTAGAGATCTGTAATTTCCGTCGTGGAAGTGAAGAGCGTGCCAGTTATGCCTTGCAGCCATGAACTCCTCACGGGGTGGTGACTGCTGTTACCCTCGCAAGGGCTAGCGTGGAAGAGTCTCCCGATGAAGAGATTGAGTAAGTACACCATGGAGAAGTGGGATCCCATTCTCCGAGACAAGATTGACAGCATCGTACGCGGCCGGCGGCAACGCAGCCGAAGCCGTGGCACGCGTGAGCAGGAGGGCCAAAAATGGTAGGTAGCGGTTGTAAGAACATCATGATGCTACAGCACCACCACGCCACCGTGTAGAGTAGATCAGGTCAAGCTTTGTCTGATTCGGACGTGCATATGGTCTTCTCAGGGTTTCCATTGGACCCCAGGTGCTTCGCCGTGCCACTCATATCATATCGCACTCGTCACAAGGCCGCTCCGCGCTCCACTCTATCACTCGCCGCCCCCTGAAAGTGGACCGTGTAGCTGAGGACAAGGGGGAGTAGAGCGCTTGATAGCTGGTAATGGAACGCAGTTGAGAAGCGAGTAAGCAATTGGGGGCCATGCGGAATCACGTGCACTTGCCTAAAAATGGCGCGCCGGGCCTGTCGATCCTTCGTCAACACAACCTTGCCACATCTTCAAACAAAACGCAACCGCTGAGTATTCTGACCCAGGCTTCAGGATGCGAAGCCCGCTCAGGTTGGTCTGCAACTTTTAGTCCTGCTCGGCGCGGTAGAAGACGGCGGAGTTACACAGGGCAGAGGCCGCGCTATCTCAACCCCCGTTCACAATCTGACGTGCGCCAAGACATTGCCTCAGTGCCTGCAGCAACCGAGTGTTTCAGCGTCAGTTCACATCACCCCGCGCCGAAGACAGTACGCCGCGCATGTCGTGCTACACCGTCGGAAATCAGGAGCCTGACATGTTTCGACCAGACGCTCCGCTGCTCGAATGCCTGCACCGACATGGCTGCGGAGCTCGCCTGCAAACGGCAGCGGCCGCCGCTGTCTCTCCAATTCCCCTTAAGTAAAGTAAAGACTGCAGGCGCGCCGGTTCTTCCCTCCCATATCCAATGCCGATCCTCTACTACCTCCGCAAGGCGGTGGACGCGTTCGCGCCGCCGCCAAAAAAGTCGACAGATGGCCGCGACCAGTGGCCGTCGCGCGGGGCGTTCCTCCTCGCCGCCATGGGCGGGTGCGCCGGGCAAGGTAACCTCCTCCGCTACCCGTCCGTTGTGTACAACAACTACGGACTACAGTGGTTCATCCCCTACCTGTTGGCGGTGACGATGATCGCCATCCCCGCCCTCATCCTCGAAATTAGCATTGGGCAGGCGTACCGTGGCGGCACGGTCATCGCGTTCAACAACATCCACAAGAGGCTTAGGGGTGTTGGCCTCGGGCCAGTCATCGTGAGCTTCATTGTCACGCAGTATTTCACGGTCAACCTCGCGTGGATCATGGTCTACTTCCGGCACAGCTTCACCTCGCCCTTGCCATGGACGGGCCGTATCGAGGACTTTTACAACAACGATGTCATTGCCAACCCGGAACCAGTAATGGGTGCTCTGTCGGAGAACGGCAAGAGCGTGTTGTCGTTCACAAGTTATCCCGATATCAAGTTGATTGGCGAGACCGTGGGGTGGTCCGCTTTTGTCTGGTTCCTGATCTGGATCTCGATTTTCCGTGGCGTCGGCTTGACGGGCCGCGTGGTGTACTTTACGATGGGTCTTCCGATAGTGAGTTATCACGGGCGTCAGGACGAGTGTACCGAGCTTCGTAACCACTCTTGGCTGTTGCTGATACCATAGGTCACGACCATCATCTTCGTGGGTCGCTCGCTCTCGCTGGAAAACGCCAGCGCCGGTGTCCGCCTCGTGTGGGCAACATGGCGCTCCGACCAGCTGCGCTCCGGCACGGTGTGGCAGACGGCCGTGGGCCAAGTTTTCTTCTCCACTGGTGTCGGCTTTGGCTACTTCACCTCGTACGCAAGTTACAACCAGAAGCACAGCAACGCGGTCATGGACGCGTTGTTGATCTGCGGCTCGAACGTGCTGTTTGAGAACTTTGCCGCGTTCGCGGCCTTTGGTGTGATCGGCTACCTCCGGCGCTGGCCGCAAGACGGCGTGCGCCTCGGCGCATTCGTCCTCGGCTTCCTCACGCTGCCTGAGGCAGTCCTGCAGATGCCCGGCTCCAACTTCTGGGCCGTGCTCCTCTTCTTCACCCTCATCGTCCTGGGCTTCTCGAGCGCGTTTGTGATGCTCGACGTCGTCGCGACCATGTGGGTCGACTCGGGATCCAAGCTCTCGCGTCCCACCATCGTCACGACCTTGACGCTCATCTCCTTCCTGATGTGCTTGCCCTACTGCACACAGTTCGGCTACTACCTCCTCGACGGCATTGACCGGTGGATCAACAATGTGGCGCTTATCTGTGTCGTGTGGTCCGAAGTCGTCATGTCTACCACCGTGTACCGCTGGACCGATGTGACGGACCAAGTCGGCCTCCCAGCATTTATCATCTACAACGTCGGCTTCTTTGGCGGGCAGATCTTCGGCATCGCGTTGGCCCACGGCATCGGGAACCCAGGCGCCGGCGCCGGCGCCGGCATCGGGTTCTGGGCCCTCCTGACGGTGATCGCGTGCGTCATCGCGCGCCAGCCCATCTCGCCCGCCCCGCGCAAGTGGAACCGCCGCTTCCTCGACCGCTTCTGGTACCTCGCCTTCTACTCTGGCAACCAGCTGCGCCGCGACCTCAACGTCATTGTCGGGCAAGGCCGCAACTGGAAGATCCCCTTCTTCCTGCCCTTCTTGTGGCGCTATGTGTCGGGCCCCGTCCTCGCCATCATCTTCAGCTTTGCGTTCCCCGAGTTCCACACGCTGCGCTACGACCCCATGATGATCGCCGGCTTCATCCTCTCCATCCTCACGCTTACGGCCATGATCGTCGGGTTCGTCATGCCCCGCTACTACGGCAAGTTCATTGCGCCGGAGCGTCGCGACGAGGGCCAAGAGCCCACCACGGCCAACACGCTCAAGCTCGAGCCCACCGAATCAGTGCTCTCCATGGAGGCCTCGTCAATAGACGTCGAGACGGACGTGGTCAGAGAAAAGTAGGGTACGATAGGTCGGGCTGTATCTTGTATGATATACACGATGTTTTGTTCTTGCCACGCGGGACGATGAGCGGAACGTCTTCAGGTGACGGTCAAGGATGCAATTCCATAGTCTGAACAACGTCGCGCTCGCCTGCGCGAATCGTTAGAGAGCAGCGTACTCGGTTGTGAGGGGCATGTTGAGTGGAGCGGGCTAATTTCGGTCAGTCAGTACACGCGAGAGACTGTCAGATCAGCTGTCACGTTGTGTGTTCTTAGACAGAGGCAACTCAACCAGTCGCAGGTGAGACGTGCCCGTGGAGGGGCGTCCCTGCTGACTCGCGACGGCGGCTCTCACCGGCTCGCCTCGTCAGTGACACACCCGACAGCCCCGACGGCGTGGTTGGTATGGGACTACCTTTTGACGGAGATTGAGATGAGCCATGAAGGAACATACTGACACGTGGTTTGGCTTACCGCAAGCCTCTGCAGCAGAGCGATTCCGGCACTCCATGTCCCCGAAAGAGTGACCGAGTGTAGTAGCTCACTCAGCCGCCAGCAGCCGTCCAGCCAGGCAGCTCCAGAGCCCGAGGTTGAATAGCAGACAGCATGGGGCGCGCGGCCTCGGGACACGTCACCTCGACGCGACGAGTGCCTTACCCCTGCCGACCTTTCCGTATCTCGGTGTAATGTCCACAGATCTCGGAGTTATGTCGCATGATCGGCGTCTTGCCGGTGCTGCCTGACAGTGGAGAGAGGGGCGGACAGGCGGAGGCGTAGATTGGGGTCACGAGTTGCGGTGGGATGGGGTATTGGTGGCCTCAGCCGATGGGAGCGGCGTTGATGGATGGCGTGGAACGCGATAAGACATGTGATGCCAAGCCTCTGCTTCAACTGCGGATGAACACGATAAGCCCTAGGACATGCCGTGCGAGGATCACCATACCGCGAGCACAAACCACCGAGTGCATTCAATGGGTGTAATTAACGTTACGGGTCATATGCGTGTATAGAACGCCAAGGGAAGTCTAAGGTGGTGGGGAGAGGAGGAGCAGTCAGGAAACTGTCCGATGCTACAATGTGCGACGCTCTTAGAAGAGGAGAGCGGCGCCGGCGACGGCAAGGGCGACACCGGCGGGGGCGGCGAGGCCGTAGGCGGCGCCAGTCTGCGAAGGGTTGGCCGCAGGCGCCGAGACAGCGGCCGAAGCGCCCGACGCAGCGGCCGAAGCGAGGGAAGAAGCGCCGGAGGCGAGGGAGCTGACGCCCGAGCGAACACCTGAAGCGGCCGAGGCGGCACCGGAGGCGGCACCAGAGGCGACGGACTGAGCACCCGAGGCAGCACCCGAAGCGGCGGAAGCGGCACCAGAGGCGGCACCCGAAGCGGCGGACTGGGCACCCGAAGCGGCGCCGGAGGCGGCGCCAGCGGCACCAGTGGCGGCACCAGTGGCGGTGCCGGCAGCACCAGCGCCAGTGCCAGTCGCGTTGGCACCGGCGGCACCGGTGCCAGTGGCGTTAGCGCCGGAAGCGCCCTCGCCGCTCTGGCTAGCACCACCGGAACCCGCGGCACCAGCACCGCCGGCACCAGCCGAACCAGAGGCACCGGCGGCACCAGCCGAGGAGCCGTCAGCACCGGCACTGCTGTTGTTGCCGCCAGCATTGTCGCCGTTGGCGTTGTTGCCGCCCTGGTTGTTCTGGGGAGGGGTGTCGGTGGTGTTGCCGTGAGGGGCCCACGACGACTGCCAGCCACCGGAGCCCTCACCGCACTTGGCGTCGGCGGCGGAGACGAGCTGCTCCCAGTGGTCACCCTGTAGGTCAGTATTTGAGGGGAGTTAACGAGGGAAGGGTTTGGGTGGTAGAGGGAAGGTGGATGAGACAAGCGCGGTTGAACGCGTCGCGAACGCGACAAACATTCCGCAAACTGCATACGCGTGGGGCAGGCGGTAGGTGGTGGTGGTGATGGAAGGAGAGGGCATGCAATGGTAAAAGGAGAAGATACTCACGTCCGAGCAGTTCCAGATGCAGTTGTAAATCTCGTCACATCCGAGCGAGTTGCAGGACGAGGCACAGTCGGACTGGCGCTTCGAGGGCTGCGAGGACTGTGGGTTAGAGTGTGCTATGCGGGGGTGACATGATGTGTGGCGTGGGCTCGCGAGATCGCCAGAAATGAAGGAGAGGTAACATACGGGGAGGGCCGCGATGGCGGGGAGGAGGGCGAGGAGGTAGGCCGACTTCATTGTGGGTGGAGAGAATGGAGGATGGTAGTGTGGGGAGTGGTAGTGGTGGTAGTGAGGAAGAGTGAAGAAGAGAAATAGACAAACGGAAGAGGTGGGTGTTTTATGGGAAGATTGAGTGGGGTGGGGGGAGCGAGGAGGAAGAGGAGGAGGAGGAGGAGGGAGAAGGAAGGAAGGTTGAACTGGTTGCTGAGGAGCGGATCGAGTAGCCGAGTCGAGAGTTGCCTCTTGGCGCGCGGGCGTTATCCTGCATATCCTGCATATCCTGCATATCCTGCATATCCTGGGGCCTGATGGGTCCTTTGTCATCGGCTCAAAGAGTTACACAGCGTCAGTTGCGTCAATGTCAATTTCAGGACGAGAGGAGAGGGAGCGTCGCGCGTGTCCTGTAAACCCAAGGCCCACGGGCCACGGGTCGTCGGGCATTGACTATGGACCAAGGATCATTCATTCGACCCTGTCCCTCGTGTCCAGTGGCATGGGCGACTGGATCCAGTTGGCACCGAGCCTGTTCCATTTCTAGGGCGCCAAGCGGCACGGCATCTCTCAAACGTGCACAGAGACAGAGACAGGCGCACGACCCGCGGTCTGGACCTGTAACGCGACTTTGTCCCTTGCACGAGTTATGCGCCGTGGGTAGGGGTTTCAGCCCGGCCAGCCTAGCAAGCCCGCCCTTGCCGAACCCAATGTCCAGGGCACGTCGCACGTCAATCTGGGTTCTTGGCCTCTTGGGATTCCGGGGTGACTTGGGCACGGCTGGACGGACAGAGATGATCGGAGGCCTCAGGATGTCGGGGCAAGCAAAAAAGGTTGGGAGTTGCCAGGTGTGACGTTGTGAGAGGATATGACACGCATGACACGGTCTCTTCCAGCTGCCCTGGTCTCTCTAGTGCCACTCTCGAGTCGACATGCCGCCGGCCTATGACCGTCAAAGTCATACCCACACACCGAGGCAGACGCGATTGACTTCTGTGAGCTTTACGTGTGCACCACGACTCGGCGATTCGCGACGGTGACCCCTTGAGATGGGATGCTCGCTTGAACTCTTCCAGATCAGAAGCAGATACTGTACCGCACTGAGCACAGACCGCTTCAGCCCTGTGTATGCGCCCGCCGATCCCGCAGTCAAAGTGTGCAAGGGCTTTTCCCTTCGGGCTTAATATCGGCTTGCGCGCCAATCTCCTTGCTCTCCTTGTCCTCTTTTCCTCAGCTCCTCAGATCTCATTCAGCAAGATCGCGGAGACAGGGCTACGTGCTATCGGTAATTCACACGCGACGCGTCTCACCCTCGCGTACCCTCAATTTCGCGTCTCGCATTCAACCTGGTCCCTACTCCCTCCAAAGCGATCAAAGCGCGTCGTGCGCCCTCCAATGCCAATCTGGATGTACGTTCCCTCGTCTCCGTTCCTCTGGCCGATCTGGCCAGATCACGTTGCTCTGATTTCTGACCCTCTGGCCTCTGGCCTCTGCCTCTGAGCCGCACAGCTGTGCGTGCACGTTACGCTCCTCAGCTCCTCCTCGTCATGTTTGGTTCCAAATTTGAATCAAGCACGATCAAGCGCCGGTCGTGGGCCCATGTGGATACGCATCAGCGGATCAGGATCTCGTGAACGGTGCGACGAGCGATCTGCGACAAGCTTTAGTGTAAACATACAAACAGCAACCAGGCATGCACGGCACACGCATGGGCATGATCAAACATCCACGCAGCACACCGGCACGCATTCCGTGATCGGCTGAGCGCCGTACGCAGAAAACATTTCGCTGCAGGCTCCATGTACTGCATGTAAACACGGATTGCGTGGGGGTAGAGCAGGCGCTGTGCATGCGCTGCCCGATCGACGCGTCGCCAGCGTTAGGCGCGTTGACGCTCGTACGCTCAGTGCTCAGTGTCTGACTAAATCTCCTCTGCGGCCCCGTTTCGCCTGTCGTGCCGTACGCGGCGTGACCCACCCCTGCACATAGGAGCAAACGCTCCCCCACTCTCCTACCCTCGGCGCTGCTCTCATCGCCCAGTTGGCCAGTTGCCAAGCCGCCGCGACAATTTCTGGCGCGCTCAGAGACATTGACGAGAACAGCAGAACGCAAGGTCCACCGGACGGGCCTTGGCCACTGGGGTGGGTGACAGCCGTCCCTGATTGACCGCCCTGCAGCTCAGCCACCGTAAAGCGCGCACAGACAAAAGTAGAGTTGGGTGCCGTCTCTGCGCGTGAGCGTGAGCATGTTGAGGCTGGCGCCAGCATGGTTGGATGCTTGCATGTTTGTGATCTTGTGAGTTCATGGTTCCATGGATCCATGGGTGATCACCAGACCACCAGACCACCTCGCCACCTCGCCACCTAGCGGAACGAAGACTCCGAGCGGCTCGCAGGGGTGGAAGCATCCGACGCAGCCGCACCACATGCCTTGCTTGTCTCGTAAACGTCGCCGGGAAACGGGATGGGTACGGCAGCCGGCAGGCGGCGCGGAAGGGGCATGAAGCTTGGGTCTTGGGGTCTTGTGCCTCTCAAAGTCTGTGCACCGCCCCTCACGTCATTGCTGCTTTCTTGACCCCGGAATGCCCGATGCATCAGCTCACGTAAGTGCCGGTGATCTCGTGTTGTGTATTTCCGTCGCCGCGGCAGTACTCTCTGCCTCTTATTTTTGCAGACGAATCGCTACATTTGTGATCTCAAGTTCCATACAGCTATGCCATGCACGCGCCAGTGACCGCGCGCAGGGTTCCGTGCTAGGACTTGGAGGGACGGTATGAGCTTCTCAGCCGTCACGGATAATGTGTATATCGAGATAGACTGTCCTCACAAGCTCACAGCATCCGTGCGCAGCAGAATGCTCGCCCCCGTGCCCATCAGCGTGCCCGTCTGTGCGCAACAGATTGGCATGATGCTGATTCTGTGACTGTCGGTCATATATCCTCGCAGCATAGCCCGTGCATCCGCCGATCCGCCGATCCGCCGTCACACCACGTCGCGTCGGCCATCCTTATCAATCATCTGGCAATCAGTGATTGTCGTGATCGCCGATCATCTTGGGCACGGGCCGCAATGATTAAAGCGGTGTAGCGATTATATACAATGATCGCAAGGTGTTACCGCCCCACTTGCTGACAATGTATCCGCCAGCCGCCGGCGCGCAGAGCAAATCCTCTTCCCCGGTGTTTGCCCGCCTCTCTCACCACCCGTCACTGTCAATGCAAGCGATGCATATGTCTATGATCCGCTCTATCGCGGTGCATTAAAAAATGCCTACTCTACTGCGTCTTCTTCTCGCCTACGACCTGCTTGAGATCCGGCAGTGTGTCCTGCTTCTGCTTCTCCTCGAGCGCGCGCCGGGCTTCACGGCGCTCGCGGCCGCGCGTCACCATCTCAGCCGGCTCGAGGTCCGCGAAAAGCGCCTTGCACACCGTCTCGATGATTGCGCACCCCGCAAAGTCGCCGACCATGACGGCCGTCAGCACGAGGCGGAAGCTCCACTTCATGTCCACCAGCTGCAGCCAGCTGTTGAACTCGGGGAGAATGTCGAGCGCGCCAGAGTAGGCGACGCAGGACGCGCCGAGAAGTCCGAGGTACAGCGGGCGGTTCTCTTTGATGCCCTCGCGGAAGGGCCGGCCCTGGAAGTTGAGGACGAACGTTGAGACCTGCTGGGACAGGCCGAGCAGGTAGATGGCAGTGTTGAGGAGCGAGGGCTCAAACTTCTTGTCCAGGTCAATCTCGCCCAGGTCCTCGAGCGAGCGCGAGAGCGCCGTGATGTACAGCAGCGCCGCGCAGTGCACCGCAAACTGCAGGAGGACGGAGAGGAGAACGTAAAAGTTGAAGATGTTACCGAGAGGACGCTCGCGGGACAGCTTGTCGACAGGCTTCGCGCGCGAGATGCACAGGAAGCACACACTCATGAGCATGCCCGTAATCGTCACCTGGTAGTCGCCAAACTTGATACCGTCGAGGTACTGCACCGAGAGCGAGTAAGCAGTGATGAGGCAGTTAAGCGCCAGAATCTTGTACATCTGAATGGTCGCGACGAGGGTGCAGCGACCCTGGCGAATGATGTTGGAGATGGCGGCGACATTGGACAGCTTGGAGGTGAAGGGCGCAGCGCAGGATGCGTCACCGAGCTTGATCTGCGGTACCTCCTGCCCGTCGTCCATGTCGGCGAGCTTGGAAGTTATGGTCGCGAGGTCAAACTTCTCCATAGGGTTCTGGCGCTTGGCTGCGCTGTGATCGGCGGCAACCTGCTCCTGCGTGGCAACGAGCTCGGGGTACGCCTCGCGAAGGGCAGGAGGGACTGGAGGCGGGGGCTGGTTGAAGCGTGCCGAGATCTTGCACTGCTGCTCGTACACCTTCTTCAGGCGCTCGTTACGCTGGTGCTCGCTGATCTTCTTCAGGTCGTCCTCGGTGCCGTCAAGAAGGGCAACGCCAATGTGGGCCTGCTTAAGCGCGCCGACATCGTTGGTGCCGTCACCAGCCATGAGGGTCGTGTAGCCGAGGTCACGGAGGGTCGAGACAATGTACTCCTTCTGCGACGGCGAAACACGCGCATACACCCACGTGTGCGACACAAGGTCCTTCCACGACGGGCGGTGCTCAAACTCCTTGACGGCGGCGCCAGTCACGCAGATGTCGTAGTCGCGGAGGATCTCCTGGTCGAGCGGCTGCGAGGGGTCGACAGGTACAATCTTGGTCTCGTCGACGTTACGCCAAACAATCTCGTCCGACGAACCCTCCTTTAGGTCCAGAATCATTACGTCGCGGTCGACAATCTCGACATCGCGCGCAACGTGGGCAGCCGTAAGCGGGTTGTCACCGGTGATCATGATGCAACGGTGCGACGAGTCGGCGAGCATCTTGAGCGTCTCGACGGCGTCGGGCTTGAGCGGGCAGTGGAAGACGAGGAAGCCGGCAAACTCGAGGTCGCGCTCGACAGTGTCGCGGGCGATATGGTTGATCTGGTCCGGAGAAATCTTCATCTCCTTGTAGCCGAGAGCGAGAACGCGCGAGCCCCGACGAGTGTAGTAGCGGTAGGTCTCCTCGTAGAACGCCGGGACCTTGGTGTACATGGTCTTAAGAGTCTCGGGCGCGCCCTTGACTGCAGCGATCCACTTGCGGCCCGAAGCGTCGGTGACGGCCGAGATGGTGGACATGCGCTTAAGGGCAGACGAGAACTGGAAGCGGCGGCGAATGTTAATGGCGTGGCGGTGGGGAGCCTCCTTGGAGTTGGGGGAGACGTTGTCACCCTTGGAGACCTTCCAGTCGAGAGCCTGCAGGGTAGTCTTCTCCATCGGGTCACCGACAATCGTGCCGTCGTCCAGGAGGACCAACGCGTGGGCAGCAGCGAGCGACAGCGTCGTCTCCTTGCTGGTCTCGGTAACGGGAACTAGGCGCTTAGGGTCCGCAGTGTCAACGCCACATACTCCCTCGACAACAAGGTCCTCGCCGGTGATAGTGCCAGTCTTGTCAAAGCAGCACACGTCGACGCGGCCCGCGAAGGGGATGCGGAACGGTTCGGTGCAGAAGATGGCGTACTTTTGAAGAGCGATGAGGGAGGCGTTGACAGCGAGCGAGAGCTCCATCGGAAGCTCAGGCGGGACCACCGAAGTGATGATGAGAATGCAGTCGAGGAGGAGCTTGCCCTTGGCAAGGCCGCGCTCGAGGCCCTTGATCCAAACGTACGCCGACGCGGCGATGGCGAAGATCAGAAGGAAAAGAATGAAGAGGAACGACTCAAAGTTGTTGGCAGACACACGCTCTGTCGAGAAGATCATTGTGCGTACGAGCTGACCTTGAGTTGTGCCGAAACCTGTGCGGAGGACGACCGCAAGGCAACCGCCGTCAGGCGTCTTGATGCCCGAGCCAGTAATGTCCTCGCCCGGCGAAACCTGCAAGGCCTTGGTGCCGGAGAAGAGTACTGAGTTGCGGTCGGCGCCGTTGATGTCAAGGCGGTCGGTGGGGTCGCGGAGGTCAATCGCCTCTTTAAGGAGCGGAGTAGACTCGCCCGAGAGCATGGCCTCGTTGACGATGCAGGTCCCGCGGAGAAGGAGGAGGTCACAGGGGATCCCAGAGTCGGGCTTGGTTCTAAGGATGGAGACGAGGTCATCGGGAACCAGCTCGTTGCTCACAACCTCGACCCACTTGCCGTCGCGGAATGCTTGGACGGGGTAAGGAGTGATGGACATGGTGCGGAACTCGGTGAGGGTGCGGACGCGTTGGAACACAACGGTGCACTCAAACACGATGAGCATGAACGCCGTGAAGAGCGAGTAGTACCAGTACTCGTCGAGCATCCAGAGCGCGACGCAGAACATCTGGAAGACGAAGAACGGCGCGACGGCGTGCTCAGCGAAGAGCTCCATGAACTTGGGAATTGGGATGTGGCACTCGTTCGGGCCGTACATGGCCTTGAGGACGTCGAGCGAAGGGAGCGATTGGGGCGCGGCGGCACCCTTTCCGGTCTTCGTCGCCAGGCCGTGGCTAACGATGCCGCGCGACTGCTGGAAGTCACCGAGGGGCGGCATCTCGTCGCATGGGTAGGGAATGAGGGTGAAGCGCTCCTCGTCGTCCTGGTAGACGTACGTGTCGCGCTGGTAGATGAACGAGTAGGTGGGCTTGGCGGCGCCGGGGGCGACCTTGGAGTCAAGGGGGACGAACTCGCCGTGGCCGCGCCCCTTCTTGGGCACAACACGAACGGTCGACGCCTCCTCGAGGGAGAACGCCTGGGGTCAGCAGGACTATGGAAGAGGACGAAGGAGCAGCTATCCTGCTATGCTCAACAGCTGCAGCCTCTGCGAACACTCACCGTAGTGTAGCAGAGCTTTGCGCGGATGGCATTGCTCCACCGTGTCGAGAGGAAACTCAAGGCATGGCCACCGAAGACAAGGACGCAGTAGATGAATGTCCACTCCTCGGACTTGATCCAGTCCTCGTAACGGAAGTGGTACGCATACCAAAGAAGCGGGTACAGAGCTTGGGTCAGCGCTGGCGACGCGCCACTCACAAAGCCAGAAGAGACCGTAGATGCGGAGATGGATCGGTATGGGGTTAGCCAAGCCGATCCACTCGATCTCGCCGGACGCGATGCCAGGCCGGGACGCCCTGGAGGTCAGCTATGCCAGCGCCGGCGTATACACTCACTTCCAGTCCGGTGTGGGCATGGTGGCGAGGCAGAAGGGCTGGTTGACGATGTGGACAATGCTGCAGTAATCAGATACGAGATTTCGACTTTCGACCTGACTTCGTGTCAGATGTCAGACGGCTAGGCTCGGCCCTGACACGCAGAGTGGAGGCGTGGATCCTTCCAGTGGCTGACCGCTGCGCTTATGCGCTGACAGGTCGCCGCGCCAGCGTCTTTTCGGCCCCGCTATTTCCCCCCATGATCCATGGATCCATGGAAACCATCGGCCCGGCCTCCCGCCGCCCACTCTGCAATCCTGCTTCTGTGCGCGCGCGCAGACGTGGTGGCGCTCACCTCTGTGCACCTGAAATGTGCATGCGCAATGCGCCGCGTCAGCCGAGCCACCGCTCGCCACAAGCCACGCAGGCCCCCACCCCGAATTCCCGCCACGCTGCCATCACGTGAGCGGAACCATTTCGCGAGGTGTTCATGGCCTTCGTCACGGAGGCGGCGCGGGCGAGCGCGCGGACACCTCCACGCCTCCACGTTTCGCGGCTCGACAATCTCGGACTAGGACTCGGAGCCCTCCATCTCGACTCTCGTCTCTCCACATCCCACATCCTCGGCCGCCATGAACATTTTCCGCTTCTTCGGTGCGTACACTATCCCCGCTTTCATTTGCCAGGCACCAGGCATGCACGGACGGCAGCGGCCGTAGAACGACGCGGACGTGGGGCCCACCGAGCTGGTCGCGCGTCAAAGTCTGGACGGCGCCGAAGCTCGCGCGTCTCGAGAGCATGCCATAGCGAGCTGCGCGTGCGAGTGGAGCTTCACGACGCGCCGGGCTGGGATGCGTGCGCGTTGCGCCCACTTTGGCCTTGACTTGCCGTATACGCGGATGCGCGCTCTCACGACATTGGATTATGCTCATGCCAGGCGACTTGTCGCACCTCGCGTCCATCTTCATCCTCCTGCACAAGATCCAGACGTCGCGGTCATGCCGCGGCATTAGCTTCAAGTCACAGGCGCTGTACCTGCTCGTGTTCGTCATGCGCTACCTCGACCTCTTCACAAACTTCGTGTCGCTGTACAACAGCATGATGAAGCTCTTCTTCATCGGTTCGAGCGCATACGTGCTGTACCTCATGAAATTCCGCTTCCGGCCCACGCAGGACCCCGCTCTCGACACGTTCAACGTCGCATACATCCTCGGGCCTTGCGCGCTCCTCGCCCTCATCTTCAACTACCGCTTCACGTTCATGGAGATCACTTGGAGCTTTAGCATCTGGACTGAGAGTGTCGCCATCCTGCCCCAGCTTTTCATGCTGCAGCGCACCGGCGAGGCCGAGACCATCACGACGCACTACCTCGCCGCTCTTGGGCTGTACCGTGCGCTCTACATTCCCAACTGGATCTGGCGGTGAGTTGTGCTTTGGCGGGCGGTTTGATTGTGGTCGGAATTGGGTGTGAATGGCTTGTGAATGGTTGTGAGGGCCGGAGCAGAGCGGTTCGAAGTATCGGTGCCGATGAGAGGTGGAGCAGGTGAAGCAGGGCAGTGGTTAACATCCAGCTACTTCACCGAGGACGGTGGCTTCGACCCGATCGCCGTTACGGCTGGTATCATCCAGACCGCAGTCTACGCCGACTTTGGATACATCGTGAGTCCTGAGCGCAGGAAGCTACGTGTGATTCGCATGATGAAGCGCATGGCGCTCGTGCCAAAACGTTGTCATGCTGGTCGAGGTGTTCCCAGAGAGAAGGTCATGCCGACGAGCCTGCACATCTCCTTTGCACCTCCCGCCCACCCACGCTAACCTCAGTACGTCACCAAGGTTCTCCGCGGGGAAAAGTTCGAGCTTCCCGCGTAAAGAGGCGCATACTCGTCCATCTGGAATGGAGGATGGCGTTTGGGCGGGCGACGCGGAGCTGGCCCCGCATCACTTACGCGCAGAGCGTGCGCCGCCGCTGCAGGGCACATCATAGAACCAAATGCATGAATGACATGTATGGATAATGCAGCGTGAGTGTGAGCGGGGCAACATACACGCGAGGAAGGCAGGCAGGGCCAAGCTATTAGAACAACGAAGTTGCAGAAAGGCAGTGAGTGGCAGACAGTGCCGTTGGCCATTGATGCGAATACGTATGAGGGAAATAATAGGTACACTATGCGACGGGCGCAGCGGGAAGGCTATCAAAAAGCGCCATGATGTCGGCGTTGTTCAGCTTGGCGAGGATGTCTTGGATGTGGTCGCCACTGGGTTTGTCATCTGGGGTTACCTCGTTGCGCAAGCCGGAGAGGGCGCCTGGCGAAGCTTTATGGTCGCGAGGTGAGGGATCAATGGGCGAGACAGACGAGGGCCCAGGACTCGAAAAGAGGAGGGCCGAGTGTGGTAGGTTGCTTGGAAGAGCGGGAGGAGAGCTCGGCGGCAGTTGCGAGAAGTCAAACTTTTCATGGGGCGATGAGTCGTACGGCCCGAAGGACGAGGAACGACCAAGGGAGGATGAATGATCTCCGACCGATGAAGCATGTCCGAACGAGGAGGTCCGGTTGAAGAGATTCGACCAGGCATCGTCATCTGAGGGCTCAACAGCATCACTCGTTGGCAGGATGAGTTGATGGCGGAGCGCCGAGGAGACGTTGCGCGGGTCCATTGAGGACATGCCTTGATGACGAGATTGGCTTGGGCTGCTTGGGTCGGCGTCGCTCTCTGGCGGCGCGCTGAAACCCTCGACGTCAAAGAATGCAGACATTTCACCAGCCCACGAGAGAGACTTGGAGTCGCTGTTACCCAATCCGTCGTCGCTGAGGGGCATGGCGAGGCTTTGCATGGTTTGGAAACCGTTGGAGGCTGACCTGGGAGTGTCTTCTCCGTGCCACACGCTGGATCCTGCGGGAGAACTGCCCGACACACTTGTCGCCGCAGCAACTCGCACTGCACGGGGAAGAGGTGCTGAGCCACGGCTTGGAGAGGTTTGAGGAGCATCCTTGACAAAGGAAGGTGTTTGGTCGCGGGGCGCCGACCTTCGGCGACTTGTGGCAATGCGCGCTGCGTCTCTCTCTACAGCCTGGGTCATGGTCCTCTTCAGCTCGCGTTCCCCTTGTGCCCTCCGCTCGGAAGCCTTCAGACGACCACGGCCGCGCGGGACTCCATCTTCCTCCTTGTTCCACATTGAGGCCGGCCGAGGCTCTGCCTTCTTCTGGAAGTACAGGCCGCAGGCGTTGCAGACGCGGGTCGTCTTACCATTCGGCATCGACTGCTGCCGCCAGACCGAGCTTCGGGTCGTCTTGCAGTTTGAGCACTCTGAGATGGGTGCCTTGTAACCCGACGAGCTTGACGCCCCGGTACGAGGGCGCTTCGCCTCAGGCTTGCTGCTCTGCGTAACGGCTTCCTCTCGCATTCGCTTCTCGCTGGCCACGACTTGAGCGCCGCGGGTACCAGCGAGCTTTTCCAGGAAGGAAAGTACGTCAGGAGTGAGGACGTTCTTCTGCTCATCTGTGAGCCTGTTGAGCCTTGTAGCGATTTGAGCGGCCTGCACAGGGGAGGAAGATTCCATGTTGAGATCCATAGGGGACAGCTTTGTGCGCTCGTCGACCGCGTGCTTGCGAGGAACGGGCAATCTAGCTCGAGATGGACCGGCTGGAGAGGACGATGAAGGATGGCGGGGAATGGCACGCGGAGGAAGCTTTGAAGACGACGTCGAGACAGTCCGCGGTGCTGGGAACGATGGGATACGGGCGACGCTCGAGGGGCGCACAGGGGTAACAGCGGGGGAGTCATGCTCATCCTCTTTCCCTTCTTCTTCTTCTTCGAGCACAGCGATGCCGGCGACTGAGCCATTCTCGACAGTGTGGTGAAGAGGCCCGGGGAAGGTGGTGGATGACGAGAGGCCTGTCTTAAGACCGACGAAGATCTCAATGCCCCAGGCTTCAACTTCGTTGGACATGGCGTTGGCAGCCACGAGTGCGTCCAAGGCCGACATTCCCTCTGCTCTAGGCGCGGTGACGTTGAGGAACTGAGACCGACGGACGAGGCGGCCAGTGATTAGGCTTTTGCCCTTGTCTGCCTCTGCCAGTGCCTGCCGGACAAGTCCCTTGCCCGACCACACCTCGTAACCAGCGGATGAAATGGAACGCGTGCGCGGGGCCGCTCGGGATCTCTTCAAGAACGACTCGCGTGGGTCGAGAAGATAGAGAGATAGGTCGGGGGTACCGGGATGGGCTGGGTGTAATTCAGGGCTGGTGGTCAGCTGCGCCTCATCGGGTGTTTGCACAGGCTTGTCGTGAAGCGAGTGATGGGCATGCACACGAACGAGTGGTGATCGGCGTGGGTAGGGAGTAATGTACTCGCGCCGAAGGATCGGGGGAAGTGGGATGGGTGCGCGCGACGAACATCAAGCACTCACCTTGCCATGACAATGCCTTGGACGACAGCCTTGAGGTAGATGGCTCCCCACACCTCGTCATCGCCGTCTTTACTCTTGCCCGCGGTAGGATGGAGGTATACATCTTGCGGTTCGGAGAAGAGGGTGGAGAAGGACTGCGAGCTTGAGGAAAGGTGGTACGTGACTTGGACTGTGCATGTTAGACGAGGGACGTTGGACAGGAGGCTAAAGGCAAAGTGAGTGGTGTGCATACCTGGTAGTGAATGGATGCGACCAGTCTCAAGCTGGGCCACCATGGCGCGCGTCGTCTATTCGGGGATGAAGGTTGTCGCGAGAGGTGGCGTAGACGAGAGGCAATGGCGAGATGCGGAGCAGCGCGTGCGTAGCGAAAGAGTGTGGAGACGTCGAGAGATGGGAGGAGTGAGACGGTGAGATGGGGATATGGGGAGATGGGGAACGGGAGGATGATGAGGATGAAGAGAGAGATGGTGGTGATGGAGGGAAGGTGACTTGAGCGCAGTCACTTTGTGTAGAATGGCTGTGCGCTGGGCGGGGCTTTGATGTGGATGATTGTAGGGCCGTAAGATCGTAAGAGCGACAGTGTCTCGAGTTGTCGGGGGCGGGCAAGTTGAGTGAGACGGGAATTGAAATGGGCCAAATGAGAGACTGATGGATACAGAGGGGGGCGAGAGAGGTGAGTGGATGGATGATGGATGGTGGATGGTGGTGACCGCGGTGAGTCGTGTGCGCGGCTGTACGCGTGGATGCGAGATGAGCAGAGAGGATACTCGGAGTGCAATGTTGCAATGTCGACGCGTCGAGGGGATGGGTGCGAGAGTAATGGTGCGAGGTTGTCAGTTGAGAGGGTGCAAGCCTCGATGGACGGTCTCCTTTGGATGCTCTGAGAGTACAGTAGGATTAAGGAATAAGGAATAAGAATTAGGAAATTCAACTGTGGCTGGCTTGTGTCTCCACGCGGCGTACGGGTTGTGTGTTTGTTTCCTGCGCCCAGGGCCCTTGCGTTTGGATTCTGTGTGTTTGGCTGTCGCGTATGCCTCCGCGCCCTCCTCGCCCCTCAATGTTTCCAAAAATCAATCGCGTCTACCCTGCGGCCCTGCACCGTCACCACGTCACTGCTGAAATCTCCACCCAACTCACCCACCCAGGCCGCCCAGCTCCCCAATTCAACGGACCCAAATTCGGGCACGGGGCGTGCATCTCCTTCAGGCTCGCAGGCCTTCAGGAAGCAGAATCGGCCTCCAGCTCTCCAGATCTCCAGCTCACCAGTCTCATCTCGCCGTTGTTGGCAGGACTTTGATGGCTGGCGCATCGGAGCGTGCACGTCCCGATGCGCTCGGAAGCGAGTCACTCCGAGAGGCAGACGGCGTCGGAGCGTCTATGCGTAGCGCTCGGTCCCCGGCGTCGTCATAGAGACGACTAGCTCTCCTCAGCTCAGTCATGGCAGTAAGACCATTCATGCCGCGCATGCCACTGATTAGGGTGAGGAGCACGGTCGAGCCTCGGAGCATGAGCTAGCGAACTAGCGAGCGCCACGAGATTTCAAGGTACATTGGCATGCGCAACTCTCAAGTGGAGAGCGGCCACTGAGCGGTGAGTATGACGGAGGTGGGCGCAGTCAAAGGCGCGTCCCGGCAAGGGAGATGAGTCCTTCAGGATCATAAAGAGTGTCTCCGATGTCACACACCGGTACGCCGAGCCATAGTATAGTATATACAGTAGCATTGTCTGCAGAGACTCGGCGGGCGGCTGAAAAGGCTTGCGCAAGGGCACAGAGCTCCGCTGTACACGCCGTGAAATGAGTGAGGGCTGATGAGGTCGCGTGCGGCTAAAAGGCACTCGGCGATAAATGTCAGTCAGTCAACTCCGCGCCTCCACGGAAGGAAACCAGCTAGGTTAGGGTCGGCGGGCTGAAATCTCATGCGAAGGTTCAGTTTCGTACAGACGCACGTCAGAGCGGCCCTCGAGTTTGTACAAGATGACGCTCTCAGGTGGGAGAGCTCGCTATCGCAGCCGTCTTGCACGGCAACTATCGGCATGCAGCCCCGTGACACCGCACAACGTAGCCTAATGCGCCACACAGTCATAGACGGCAGTATCCATCCCAAGAGCTAGTGTTACAAGTGGGCTAGAATGTTATTGGGCTCTCGCGTGCGTCCGGTTACGGCGGGTGCCGATCACACTCTAGGCCAACTCTACTTCTTCCTCTCCAGCTTCCACTTCCACATCTTCTCCTGCCACTTTTTCCGGTCTCCGTTCCGGTCCTCCGGCGCACTCGGGTCCTCCACATAGCCTGCGTCGCGGACGCGCCGTGCAGCCCCCTTGCCCATGAGCCCCTTCTGATTCGCGATGCGTGTCTCGACTTGGCGCAGTGTCCGCACACGTCCCAGCAACGCCGATAGCTCAGCCAGCATCTCGAGGCGGTGTATCTGATGTCAGTTGATGCCGCAAAGCGAGCACTAGACATACCCTCGCATCCTCCTCGGTCACCTCGGCCTCGTCATTGGCATCTGTCGATTTCACGGCCTTCCTCTTCTTGGCCGACTCGGGCTCGAGCCATCCGAGGTCAACGGCCTCCTCCTCCTCCTCGGCCTCCTCAACTTTCTCCCCGCTCGCGGCATATCCCTCAACTGCTGTCAGCTTTGCGTAGTGCCAGCATGGCTCACACTCTGTCCGGTCCTCAGCGAACACGACGTGTCCGGTTGACGGAGCGTCACGCGCCCTGCCCTTCCCCTTGCTCTTCGACTTGAGGGCCGCGCTGGGATCCAGAACGACGCCCATCTCCGCCAGCTTCTCCACCTCGGCGAGCTCCTGTGCCGCGCCCCACTCCTCCGATCCCCCTGCAGGAGCGGTCACCTCCAGCTGGGCGCGCAACCGAGTGATTTTCTGCTATCAGCTCCAAGCGCTCCGCTTCCTTACCTTCTCGTCCTGCGCAATCTGCATCTTGATATACCCCATGTCCTGCGTCTTCAGAAGCTTGACCACGTCGACGGACAGCGCCTCGTTCCCGCGGTCTTGGATGTGCACTCCGCGCTCCGTCCGCCCCTTGACCATGCCAAAGTAGAACTCATCCTTGTTGCGGAAAGCAGCCTTTTCACGGAGCTTCTTGATACGCGCTTTCTTCGAGTTGTAGTCGCGCGCGCGGTGCACGTAGTCCTTGTGCTTCTCAAGGATGCCGAGTTTGGCGCGGTGCAACGGCTGAGCGCGCTCGCGATGGTTGCGCCGCGACATGATATCTGGTGTGAGCTTATGCTGGAGCACACTATATTACTCTTTCGTGCTGAGTTGACCATCTTGACTGGTTGGATGAGGTACTAAGCGTCTGCTAGAAGTGAAGAGCTTCGAGATGCGAGATGCAGAATGCTTGCTCCAACCTGCTACATGCTCGATTGTGGGTGGCAATTGTCAACTTTTGACGGTAGCGTGGCAATACTCCCGCTGACGAAGGTGGAGGCCAAAGTGGAGGTTTCGGAGCGGGGATCCAGTGGGTGTCCGGACTCGACGTCCGAATGGCCGCGAGTGGACCGAGAAGGGGGGTGTCGCTCTTTTGCCGGGTGCTCGCCAAGTCTCTTTCCGCTCATCAGACTATTCCTCTCCTGCTCGCCGGCCCACCACCACCCCGCCTCCCCCGGCCCTCTCGGCACCCGCCGCCCTCCGCCCCGACTCTCCTTCTGCTTTCGCCGCGCCATGGCCTCCAGAGGCGCGGCCGCGCTCCTGCCATCGCGACTGGCGGTGGTGGCACCTTGCGCGGGCCATGTCGGCGTCAGGCTAGCTGCCCAAGCTAGCCTTGCACCCTTTAGACATCCTCGGTTGGGCTCGGCGAGCCCTCTTTTTCTGCGCTCCTTCTCCACTGCGTTGGGGTCGGCGCGCCCACTTTTGCGCCCTCTGCAGACTTTGCGGTTTGCGCGGTTCGAATCCACTGCGACTCCGGCATCCAAAACCTCGAAGGATGAGGGCAAGGCCAAGGACGACAAGAAGGCTTCGGTCCCCGTCAAGGTGCACCCGGGTATGCTGCCGGTGCAGACCAAAGCGGATTCGGCGTCGATCATGAAGCTCCTCACCCTTGCAAAGCCGCAGTGGAAGCTGCTTACTGTCGGCGTCTCGTGCCTCGTCCTCTCGACTGGTGTCTCGCTCGCGGTCCCCTACGTAATCGGCAAGATCATCGATTTTTTCGCTCCCGGCTCCAAGGAGAATCTTCTCTTCGGTCTCCCGCTCGAGCAGGCCGCAGGGGCCCTCGCCATCGTCCTCGTGATCGGTGCGATTGCCAACGCTGGCCGCAGCATTTGTTTGCGTCTCGCTGGCCAGCGCACCGTCGCCCAGATCCGCAACAAGACCTACCGCCAGTACCTTGCGCTCCCGCCATCTCACATCGAGACGGCGGGCGTTGGTGACGCACTTTCGCGTCTTGGCCAGGACTCGTCGATTGTTGGACAATCCCTCTCTGAAAATCTCGGCGAGGGCCTCAAGGCCGTTATGGGTGCTGCTGTCGGTGTCGGCGCCATGTACCTCATCTCGCCCAAGCTGTGCATGGTCATGCTCCTGCTTTTCCCGCCAATCTCCGTCGGCTCCTACTTCTACGGCCGGTATATTCGCAAGCTGTCGCTCAAGACGCAAGAGGCACTCGGCAACATGTCTAAGCTTGCGGAGGAACGTCTGTCCGCACACCGCACAGTGACTGCCTCCAACACGCAACCGTCCGAGCGAGCACTGTTCGCGGGTAAGGTGTCGGACGTCTTCAACCTCCAGAAGAAGGAGACGTACGCCAACGGCATTTTCCAGGGCTCCAACGAGGTCGCCGGTGACTTTGCCATGATCGGCCTTCTGATTTATGGCGGCATCTTGGTCCAGCGCGGCGAGGTAACGGTGGGAGACATGACTACGTCGCTCATCTACGTCAACTGGATTGAGTGGAGTCTCAACAGTAAGTTGACAGCGTACGCACGCGGCTGACATCAGCTCTCGCTGGCTTCTTCACCGGTCTCATGCGTGGTGTCGGTGCGTCCCAACGCATCATTTCTCTTCACGCCCTTCCATCGCCCGTCCCGCTGTCCGTTGGATCCAAGGTCGCTTCAGCCGATGCGGGCCCGATTGAGCTGCGGGACGTCGCCTTTGCGTATCCCTCGCGCCCAGACGTTAAGGTGCTCGACGGCGTCAACCTCCGCATCGACCAGGGCGAGCAGGTTGCCCTCGTCGGCGGAAGCGGAAGCGGCAAGTCCTCGATCCAGCTACTCCTGCTCCGTTTCTACGACCCTACGGGCGGACAGGTTCTCTTCGGCAACAAGGACATCCGCGAGTTTGAGCCCGAGTCGTGGCGCAAGCGCATCGGTTATGTCCCGCAGGACCCGATTCTTTTCGGCGGCACCATTGAAGACAACATCAAGTACGGGCACCCAGAGGCGACTCGCGAGGATGTGGTTGCGGCCGCGGCCATCGCCCACTGCGACTTCATCGAGCGTATGCCCGAGGGCTTCAGCACGATCATTACCAAGGCGTCCCTCTCTGGCGGTCAACGCCAGCGGATTGCCATCGCCCGTGCGCTCGTCGGTAGGCCCTCCGTTCTTCTCATGGACGAGGCGACTTCCGCCCTGGACTCGGAGTCGGAGCGCGCCGTCAACGCCGCCCTCGACAAGCTCTTCCACGACACGGACATCACCGTCATTCTCATTGCCCACCGTCTCTCATCTATCGCCCAGGCCGACCGTGTTGTTTACCTTGAGGGCGGCGCTATCATGGAGGACAGCTCGTACGACGACCTCATCACGCGCCCCCACGGCCGCTTCCGCAAGATGGTCAAGGGCCAGATGGCCAAGATCAAGGACCCCGTCGGCGAGGAGAAGGCTGAGGAGGAGCCTACCTCGGCGCAAGCCAGCCCCAATGCGTCCGACGTCCCTCCCGCCATCTCGGTGCAGAACCAAGTTTCCGCATCCTTGGTTCAGCGCCGTGAGCTGCACACGTCTGCGCGCCGCTTCTCGTCCGAAGTTGAGGTGCCCCAGCCGCCTAAGGAGTTCCGCTCGGTCTACTCGGCAGCCAACGCTCCAGCCGAGCCGCTCGCTGACCTCCCTATGCCTGTTCCTCAAGCTCCCGCGGCGCCCCTTGCTGCGTACAAGCCCCTGCCGCCTATGACTCTCCCGCGCCTGATCAAGGTTTATGCGCAGCTCTCGAAGCGTAACCTCTCGATCCTCATGACGCTTACTGCGACAACCGGCTTTGCGCTGTCACCGCTCCCTCTCTCGCTCCCCGTCCTGGCCTGCCTCACTGTCGGCACGTTCCTCACCTCGGCCGCTGCCAACACGTTCAACCAGATCCTGGAGGTGCCGCTCGACGCGCAGACGCCTCGCACGCGCGTGCGCCCCCTTGTTGCCCGTCGCGTCACGCCCTTCCATGCCGCCTCCTTTGGCGTGGTTTGCACCGCACTCGGCGGCTCGATCCTCTGGTTCGGTTGCAACCCTACCACCGCGTTGCTCGGCATTGGCAATCTGCTCCTGTACTCGGGCGTTTACACCCCGATGAAAAGGTTCAGCGTCGCCAACACTTGGGTCGGTGCCGTCGTCGGCGCCATCACCCCACTCATGGGGTGGACGGCTACTGGCGGTTCTCTGTGGCCGACAGTTGAGCAGCCACTGCTCATGCACTGGCCGCTGGTCGAGAACCTTCCCGATCTCCCGAACCCGATGACGGCTTGGATGCTTGGCGTCCTGCTCTTCTCGTGGCAGTTCCCGCACTTCAACGCGCTCTCCTACATGATCCGGCCCTTTTACGCTCTCTCGGGCTACCCGATGCTGAGTGTACTGAGCCCGCATCTCAACGCCCTCGTCTCGCTCCGGCACGCGCTCATCCTCGTCCCCGTGTGCGCGGTCATGGCCCCGCTCACCGGCTGCGTCGACTGGAGCTTTGCGCTCACGTCTGCCGTCCCCAACGCATACTTTGTCAAGACAGCGTGGGACTTTTACCGCCGCACGAACGAGCAGACCGCCAAGCGCGTCTTCTTCGTCTCGCTTTGGTACCTCCCCGCCGTGCTGGGCCTGATGCTCCTGCACAAAAACTTCGGCAAGTGGTTCAAGACCGAGCTGGAGTGGGAGCACAGCGAGGAGGGCCAGGCGCAGATCCTCGCCATCGAGAAGGAGCGCGGGCGCGTGCTCGTCGACCATGGGACTGTGTTCTCACATCCCAAGGCAAAATCAGAGTAGGAGAATATAGACAACTGTACCACTAGCATTATGGCATATCATCCCCGGCTACGATTAGGTGTGCCGACGTTTCTGATCGCCCTCTGGCTACTGAGCCGCTCGCTCACCATGACGGGCCGCACCACATAATTGCATCAAAATTACATGCACACCGATTCTCTTGCTATGCAGGACACTGTTGCGCTCGTCGCGTGACTGTATCTAATCAGATGACGCCCACGCGGCCCACAAATAATGTAGTTTGCCACCGCCCTGAGAGACGCCGAAACAAAAACATCAATCACGCGTCGGTCGACTAACCTGCCCTTCACATCTCTCATTTCTCGACATCCACCGGCGGATGCCGCTCCGCCCATCCTGCATCAACCTGTGAGAGCAATACCACTAGCCCTGCGGCTCTCCGCGGGGCGCCTGGCCCGGAGAGATGCCTTTCCATCTCCAACACTTCCTATCTCCCGATCTCCATCATGGACGCGACGTGCCATCCACTCCTCGCCCGCGCTCTCAACAGCGCGGACCGAGGTGGTCAGCGCCGCCGTGTCCCCTCAGTTTCTCGAGGACGATCCCGCCCTCTTCGACCACGCGTACGCGTCGTTGCGCGCTCCAGTCAAGGCTTCGATGTCCGCGCCAGCCCCCGCGCCCTCGATTGAGGACTGGATGCCCGTGCGCGACTCAGACTTTGAACACGAGGACTACGAACCACCAGACTCGTCGACATTTCCTACCCGCCCCCTCCCCACTCCACCACCACCCACGTCTTTCGATGCGGCCCTCAAGAAAAGCCGCCGCCGCCGACGGACAGCCGCCGAGCTGGCAGCCCTCGAAGCCGCGACACCACCACTGCCCCCCGGGACCGTACCCAGTGCCGATAAGACGCGCTTCGACTGGCGTCAGCGCGCGCTGTCCGCCATGCCCCGCGCCAAGGGCCGGCACTGGTATCCCGATGCGTGGCGCTCCCGTGTGCCGCCCCCCATGACAAAGGTGTCCGAGGTTCAGCCGCTGTGGGCTGAAATCCGGCGGTACGCTGAACACTTTGTTCCGCTGTTGCAAGCGGAGCAGGAGGAGGCAGAGCGGCAGTTTGCCGTGCGTCTCCGCGAGTGGCCGGACGAGCAGCTGCGCCGCGAAGGATACATGCTGGCCGAGATGAGCGCGAGCACGGCGTGGCAGCCCAGATTCAAGGTCGAGGGTGTGGTCATCTCGTTCTACCCCACCGGCCGCGCCGCGACGCGCCCGCTGCCCCCGCACCAGTTCGAGCCGGGCCAGACGGTCATTCTTAGCCGGACAGATCCCCTCACGGATGCCGTGCCGGACCCCAAGGGGCCGGAGGACGCGCCGCTGCGCGGCAACGTACTCAGCCACGGACGCGGGAATGTGCGCGTCGTCTTTCCCCTGGCCCCGCCCGATATCGGCGAAGGCAAGTGGCGCATCGACATTGGATGCTCCGACTTCTCGTTCAAGAAGCAGAAGGAGGCGATCACGCGGCTGAACCTTGACCCCGTTGCGCAAGATATGGCTGAGTTCGCCGACCAGCCCGCCAAGCCCACGCCCAAGGCGATCGAGGACGAGGTGCTTGCTGCAGCGGATGCCGCGCGGCAAAAGACGCCAGAGCAGCGCATCTTGTACGGGACGGCATTGCGGGACCTCATCCTCCGCCGCTTCCAGGCCGACTATACGCCCAAGCTAGATGTGGAAGGCGTTGAGGATGTGGCCACCGAGACGCACAATATGGCGCCCGGGGACATGGAGGCGGGTGTCAGCCCAACCCCGCATGACGAGGTCACACCTCGCGGCATCCTCACTCAGAACAAGCTCATCGACTCGTGGACACGGCGGTATCGCACCCCGGCGGGCGTCGCACCGCTCGTGGTCGAGGGCGATCCTGAGATTCCGCTCAACGACAGTCAGACGCGCGCGATCGCGATGATGCTCAGCGAGCGCCTGAGTCTTGTGCAAGGTCCACCGGGGACGGGCAAGACGCGTGTGATCGTCGAGGCGATCAAGCTGCTCAAGCGCCACTGGCAGGTGCCGCATCCAGTCCTCGTGTGCGCGCACACGAACGTGGCCGTCGACAACGTGCTCGCCGGGTTGCGGGAGCACGGGCTTAAAGTCGTGCGCTTCGGCACGGCGAGCCGCGTCCCGGAGTCTCTGCAAGACGTCACGTTTGAGGCGCTTCTGGAGAAGCACCCGCTGTGGGGGTATCTCGACAAGCTGCGGCGCGAGCGCGACGACATCCAGACGCATATGGCGAACGGGGGGTTGAGCAAGCAAGTTGCCGAGGGCAAGCAGAAGCAGAGCGCGGCGCTGAACCGGCGCATTTTTATGATGCGCAGACGCATCCACTTCGAGGTGCTTGCCGACGCCGACGTTGTCTGCACGACGTGCCTTTCGGCGACAAGCAGATGGCTCGACGCAATCGACTTCCCCTTCGTGTTCCTTGACGAGGCGAGTATGGCTACAGAGCCGCTCTCGCTCGTTCCACTCACGAAGGGGAGTGCGCAGGTCGCCATCATCGGCGACCACAAGCAGCTTCCGCCTGTCATCGTGAGCGAGGCAGCGCAGGCGGGAGGATTGGCCACCTCGCTTTTCGAGCGCCTTATCCACGAGCACCACATCCCCTCGATCATGCTGGATACGCAGTACCGCATGCACCCCAGCATATCGGCGTTTAGCGCCGGTGCATTCTACGACGGTGCGCTGCGCGACGGAACGCGCCTGCCCGACGGGCGCGTGCGCCCAGGTCTCGAGCCGCCGACCACGGCGTTCCTTCTCCCAGATAAGAACGGGGAGACGATGAACGTGACGTTTCTGAACCACGACTTTCCCGAGAGTCCGCAGAACCGGTCGATCGCGAACCACCACGAGGCCGGGAGAATCTGCGACATCGTCGCTGACCTGCTGCACAACAACCCAGGACTCAAGGGCAGCGACATCGGCGTGATCGCGCCGTACGCGGCCCAGATCCGCACCATCTCCGAGTATCTCACAGGAGACGCGGCACGGGGCGCGGCGTTCCAGGCGTGGCTGGGGAGCGAGCGCGCGGCCGAAGTCGCTGATATCGAAGTCAAGACGGTGGACGGGTTCGAGGGGCGCGAGAAGGAGGTCGTGCTTTTCAGCACGACGCGCTGCAACCCCGCCGGGTACATTGGGTTTTTGGCCGACTGGCGTCGTTTGAATGTCGGATTGACGCGCGCGAAGCGCGCGCTCATCGTCCTCGGCTCGGCGGCGACACTGAGTGCCGCCCGTATTGGGAACCATGCCGCCGACGCCCTCCCGCGTGATGGCGTCAAAGTTTGGCGCCAGTTCATGAAGTTCCTCAAGGACCGGGGGATGGTCATGGACGACCCGGCGTAGGTTGTGGACGGAGAGTAGATGGAAGTCATATACCTTGCATCATCACACCACTACTATATGTAAGCATGTTGCCCGCGTGTGTAGAAGTGGGGAGATGATTCAGAGGCGGAGGAAAAGGTGGCATTCATCACGAGCTACACCTCCGCCACCATCGCCGGATCACAGGACAATAGAATACAGTGCATGAGGGTATACCAATGCTGATGCTCGCGGTCGCGATGCCCTTCTAACCGCCTCTAATCTACACAACGCCGTCGCCGCTCAAGCTCTACCTCACCCTCGCCGGTCCCATCCCACACTCGCGTCTAGTACGACGACTTGGCGACCGCCTTCTCGTCGCGGAACAGATGCTTGCAGTGGATGCAGTAGTAGAAGAGGGTCATGTTTGTTGTGTGCCGCTTCGCCTGATCCTGGTAGAACACGGCCCCGTTTTTGAAGCACTGCGGGCACTGAATAGGAGAGCGCTGCAGTGTGGGGTCTGTCTCGAGGTCCTGCGTCTGGCCCGCCTGCTCCCTATTGTTAGCTTGCGTTCATTTAATGGCAGTCGCGCTTGCCACAGACACAACCGTGCCCGCGGCGAGTGAGGTTCGTGGAGCCTCCCACAGCGCTAACGCACCGAGCAACAGTCAACAGGTCGTTCTTGTACACGCAAGGCGCCCAGCCGGGGTCCGACGTCGCATTCTCCGCATACTGGCAGTTGCGGCACTGGTAGAGCAGCACCTTGTTCAAGTTATCGCTCTGGCGTCAGCGCTGAGCTCGTGACATCCTCGCAGGAGATGCAGGACGCACGCGTGGGTAGAGCAGGTTGTTACACTCGCCACAGAACTTGAGCGTGGGCATGGTGAAAGATGAGAGTTGGGGATGGGCGATGTGGATGAGCAAGCTGCTCGTTGCGGCTGGCTTGATGGCAATTCGAGGTCGAACCCAACAGTCGTGCGCCTATCCGCGGTTGTCTCTTAAAGATGGTCCGGATCCTCCGCGGGCCTACTGGGCACGTGGTTCACTGGAGGCTGAGAAGTGGGGCAGCTACCGCCCATGGTTAGAATGGAAGCGGCGGTCTCGGAGGTAGCATGAAGGCTTACTATGCGTTGCATAATCACACAATACACAGTGCCCTCGCATGTCAACCTCAACTGCTGATGCTCTCCGCGACGCGTCGTATCCTTCGCGATGGTCACTCGGCTCGTCCCGTCCACATTACAACGCCCCCCTTCCTCAACTCTAAAGCTGGAATGTCAACGCGTATTCCACGCAAGATCTGGCCGGGTATCGCGGGCAAGAGATAGCAGGCTATCGTCACCAGAATCTCTGAGCGCATGTCAACGGATCAACGGGTCAGCAGGGAGGAGTCAGACTCCCGAATAGTAGTCTGTGACTTCTCCCTTCGGCGTGTCAGGCTAACACAATTCATCGCGCCCGAGCATCGAGGACCGCCTGGGAGCTGGGCGCCTGCACCTTCTATTCATTCAGTCGCAATTCATTGCGAAATATTAAATATTAACCGAGATCACTCCGAGCACGCCTGATGCGAGCGGTGTGCCTGACAGCATGGGACCTGGTAACCCGGATAGCTCTCGGAGCAAGCTCTGTGGTACCCCGCTCCACTGTAAAGGTGTGAGCGATGGTAGCGAGGGAGACAAGGGGAGGGATTGCGACGAAGGCGGATGCGATCTGGCCATGGTCGAATGATGGCCGTGCCGCGCAGGGGCGCTGGTTCCCGCCCGGCCCGTGCGCCTCAACGCCAATAGATACTTCCTTCGGCTCCCCGTCCTCTATCGCTTCTTCTATTCTCGTTCTCTTTCTCTCTCTCTCTCTCTCTCTCTCTCTTTGTTGACAACATTGTCTCGACAACACTCGGCTTTGAGTTTGCGACAAGATCGCGACGGACGACGACTAGGAAGCCAAGACTCCGGCCGATCTGCAAGGCACGGTAGTCGGCTGGATTGATTATTTATCCCTGGGAGGACACGCGCCTGGCATCCGCCGCCACGCCGTCCTCGGGCTCCGGCGCCTGCGCTCTAACCGGCGTTCTGAGCTGAGCCTGGTTAACCTTCGGGGGTCAAGCCACTTGACTGTACGTGTAATCGACCATTTCAGCTCTGCCACTCTTTCATCGTGACTGAAACCTTCAACTCGATCGCTTTGCTGTCCCATACTCCTTCTAGCTCGCCATTCTTGACCGCTCGCATCACGACGCACGACTCTTTGACGCCGACTTGCACCTCGCAGCTCGCTACCCTCGCTCCCTCGCTTCCCCTGCTCCCCCGCCCCGGGAAGCGCTTAACCCACGCCTTCTCCTCACATCTAAACTGTCCTCTTACCTTCACTCGACTCGCCTGATCCCAACCCGGCCGTTACTACCTCCCCCCTCCTCCCCTCCCTCCCTCTCCGCGTCATGGGCCTGCCACTCCCGCGGCTCCCGCTGCCGCGTCGGGTGCTCATGATAGGCGGCGTGATAGCGGCAATCTTCCTCCTACTCCACACCTTCGCCCCAGCAGCATTACCGCCAGTGCTCGCGCCGAGCTACATGCACCGTGACCCCGACGCGCCGTTGTGGTCGTCGTCCAAGTGGATCCCTCCACTTATCAACGGTGGCCTTCCCGACCTGCCAGCCGAGTACGAAGCTGATGGGACGTGCCGCTTCCTCTCGGTCGTCGAGGCGCTGTCTCCTCAAGAGCGCGCGTATGCCGAGGGCATGCAGCTTACCGAAGTCTCACCCGGCGTTGTGTCTGTCACCAACGCCACCGCAGAGGGTGCGCACCCCATTCTCGGTCTGCTCGCGGCCGGTGAACGGCGGTGGGGTGACCTCATGAACCGCCAGAGCAAGACGCTCGAGCAGGCGTACAACGCGTACCTCGCCAAGTGGGGCCGTCCACCTCCCAAGGGTTTTGACGACTGGTGGAGCTTCGCCGCAACTCGTGAAGTGCTTTTGATCGACGAATATGACCAGTTCGTCTGAATTGTAGTGTTGGCTGACGGCAGAATCATGGAGTCGCTCATGCCGTACTACGGCCTTTCGATCAAGGAGTTACAAGCACGCAACGCCGAGATGGAGAAGGTCGTGGAGACATTCACTCTTATCGTCACCAATGGCAAGGTCGAGGTGCAGTGGAACGACAACTATGCACGCGACAGGTGGTTCTCGGCGCGGCCTCGCGCGGACGCCCAGGTCAACCTAATGGAGAAGTTCCTTCACCTACTGCCCAACCTCCGTGCCACCTTCTCTATACACTCCCAACCGACAGTGATGCTCAATCACGACGTGCTCGAAAAACTGGAGAAGGCCGGGCGTGAACATAAGGCTGTCGACAACCCCGGTGATACCGACACCAAAAAGTTTGACTGGCCCATGGCATGCTCCAACGACTCACCTTTGAAGAAGAAGGAGAAGGAGGAGCGTGAGTAATCGCTTGAGAAGTCACGCTAACCTCAGTCGCTACAGACACGTTCATTTCACATCACGCCAAGGCCATGAACCCTTGCTATCACCCATCGCTGCTGGAGAGCCACGGCATGTTCCTCGAGGAGCACATCGAGACCTCCAGCCCTAGACCACACACCAAGCTACTGCCCATCTTCTCGCTCTCGAGAACCCCAGTCAACCAAGACATCCTTATTACTCCAGTTGGCAGGGATGGACAATTCGAGACCGCAGGTATCGAGCCCAAGTGGAGAGAGAAGAGCGGCAAGATGTACTGGCGCGGCCTCGCCACCGGCATGTTCCATGACAAGAAGGCCGGGAGCAAGTGGCGCCAAAACCACCGCGAGCGCCTGCACTTCCTCGCCAACGACCGGACAGGCGGCGAGGTAGATGTCATGGTCCCTGTCGGAAGCACGGGCACGGCAAAGTACGAGCGTCACTCGCTCAAGGCACTCGGCGACTACTACACCAACGCCAAGTTGGCGCACGGCCCCTGGCAGTGCGACGAAGGAGACGGGACTTGCGCCGAGATGCAGAGCGAGATCGAGTTTGTGCCGAAGGATCCCAAGGAGGAGAGCAACAAGTACAAGTATCTTCTGGACACGGACGGCAACGCATGGAGCAACCGCTTCCCGCGCCTGATGCAGGGGCTCAACGTCAAGCTCAAGGCGACCGTGTTCCCAGAATGGAACTCGCTTATCCTCCCGGAGTGGTTTACATATGTCCCAGTCAAGATGGACTACTCGGACGTGTACTCGATCCTTGCCTTCTTCCGCGGCTCTCCAACGGGGCGAGGATCGCACGACGAGGTCGCGCGTCGCATCGCGAGGAACGGCCAGTGCTGGGTCGAGAGGAGTGAGTGCACACCGCGCGGACGTGCTAACTGGCAGCATGGAGGAGTGAGGACTTGGAGGTGTACATGTTCCGGCTGTATCTTGAGTGGGCACGTGTTGTCTCGGACGACCGTGACAACGGCAAGATGGTGAGCCTGGTGCCCAGACCAGTTCGGTGTGGCTGACATACAGGACTTTGAGCTCCAGCCGTGGCACAAAGACAAGATTGACGTCGCGGCCGAGCTCGTCAAGCCTGGCATTGACGCGTAGAGGCCAGAACGACTCGCTCTCGCATCACATAGAACATCTGTACCATAGCTCCCATTCGCATAGTCGGACATTACATGAGGTGAATGCATATCGTGGCATCAAAGACAACTTGAACCAATCTGCTCAACAGCTGACCCCATCGACTGTAGCGCGACGGCGACGGCGCACTGCCAAGTCGCAATCGCGGACGGGATGCAGGGCAGCAACCTTCGTCGCCTTTGCTTGGCAAGCGCGTCCATCCCTGGTAGGCTAATCTCGGTGTCGGCGGATCCGTCACCTCCACCACTCCGCATCCTGCACGTCGATCGGCGAAAAGATGATATCGCATACATGGCGTGCGGCCGCGAGAGGAATACACTACGACGAAAAGAGAGGGAACTGCGTTGAGCACGACAATTGCGTGTCCAGGGGTATACGATGCACAAGGAGGAAAGCAGACAGGGAGGAAGTGGGAGGACGAGAGAACAAGCTGATTGCTTATTCTGTGACACCCATGACCTCGACGAGGCCGAACGCAGCGCCAGCCGCGAAGCCACCAACGAGGGTCATGCTCACGGCACCCCAGAGGTAGCCGCGGTAGCCGCCTGTGGCACCGGTGAAATATGTCTTGACGCCACCAAAGAGGAAGAGGATGATGCCGGTGACGATCACGCTCCAAAGAAGGCCAGTCTCGGCCGAGTCCGTGCACATGTAGGGGATCAGGGGGATAAGACCACCGAAGAAGTAAGAGAGACCGATGGTAAGAGCCGACGTCCAAAGGCGGGAGCGAGGAACCTCTTCCATGCCCTCGCCGAACTTGAGAAGGAAGGCAGTGAGACCGACGTTGGGGTCGTGCTTCTCATCTTTGGAGATGGCGTTCTCGATGTCGGCGCGCTCGACGCCCTCGACAGCGACACAGGCCTCGTCCTCGACCTCGAGAAGCTCCTCGGCTACAAGGCGCGAGAGAGCCTCCTTCACGCCGAGGGGGCCGAGGATAGCGTGAACCTCGCGCTCCATCTCGCCGTCGCAGGAGCGGAGAACGCGCGCGTGAGTTTGCTTGCGAAGGTAGTGGAAGTGGTCCAGCTCGGCCTGCGACGCGAGGAAGCCACCGAGGCCCATGGAGATAGCGCCAGCGCAGAGCTCAGCGAGACCACCGGTCACGACGAGAGTCGAGTTGCCGAGCGACGAAAGACCAGCGGTAAGGGCAAAGGGCACAGTGAGGCCGTCGGAGAGACCGATGATGCAGTCGCGCACGATCTCGGGTGAGATGAGGTGGCGCTCGTCGTCGCCCTTGAGCTCCTTGCCTGGGGCGTCAGCGAATGGAAACAAAGGGGGAAGCGAGCGGCAAGGGGGAATGTGGTGCGATCCATAGGACGGCGAGCACGCGGGGCGCGTGTGCCCGCTGACCCAGCAGAACCACACCGTTATCGCGTCGCCACCTTCCCTCTGTAGAGATACTCACAGCACTGGCCACCCGACGCGCCGCACTTGGAGTGGAGCGGCTCCTCGTCCTCGAGCAGGTCCTCGACGCGAAGTCGACGGTTGGAGCGGTTGGAGCGGTTGGAACGGAGTGATGAGGTGGAAGGGCGACGCTCGATTGACCAGACGCCCTCGGAGTTGCTAGTGCCGTTGCCGCTGCGCTTGAGGGGGACAGACGCGCCGCCGGTGGTGGGAGTGAGCGAGCTGGACGCGCCCTTGCCGCCACAGCAAGCAGCGCCGCCCTTTCCACCACAGCAGCCGGATGGCTTGGAGAGGAGGGGAGTGCGCTCGGTGTCCTTGCCCATGGTGATGAGTGAGTGAGAGGTGGCGGGGGAGTGAGATAGGGTTAGGTTGTAGTAGCAGCGGAGAGGAATGAGAGAGAATGTCAAGTAGTGAAGTAGAGAAAGCGATTGATGGGGGGGGGAGTGAGATAGGTTTTACTTGCGGAGGGAGGGGGGGCGGGGGGGGGAAGGTTAGTACTGAGGCGAGGGGGGCGCCGAGGCGTTACGAGGCGTGTGGGTGGTGGATCGGTGGAGAGGGAGGGCTTTGAGTGACGTACTGACCGAGGACACTCACCCAAACACCCACATTGTACCTTGCTGAGTGATCCCACAGGCACACTAAGGGTGAATTCTTATTGAAAAAAAGTGCAATCACCCTGGCTATTGGGCACCTGGAATGTGCCGGATCCCCACCGTACGGCTAATGCTTAGAAATGGGAGCGCGGCGATTGGCTGACAATGCGGAGGGCGAATGGGCTGATCCAGAATTAGAGGGAACCGACACGCCCGCCAAGCGTGTGCCCATCTGTGCGCCCCTTGCAGTCTCGGCCGTGACGATAAACATTTGAATTGAGAGGTATGCGATTGGACGGGGCTTCGCAACGTTCGCACCATGCGCAGCAGCGCGTGCATCAGGCCGAGCTGATCGGCGCGTCGACGGGCATTGGCATATCGGCAGGGTTGTGTGCGCAAATCGGCCAACGCCCGCAGCCCGCAGCCCGCAGCACGCACAGCCAAACAAGACCAGAGGAGATGGAGGAGACGTGAGGCATAGAGGAGGAGACGCTCGAGACGAGAGGCACAAATCGAGACACGGGAGGGAGGACGATCGGACGAGAAAGCGTAAAGCGCAAGGGGGAAGGGGAAGGGCGTGACTCGCAGTCGACGTAAGATGAGCGTGACCGTGACGCCGCGATGCCGCGACGCGCGACGACACAGCCGTCCCCGCGTCCCCCTCCGAGCTCCGTACATGTCACTACAACGCGTCTGCAAGCTACAAGCTGCAAGCTACAAGCTGCAAACTGCAAGCTGCAAGCTGCGAGGTTACAACTGCCACCTCCGCCACGCTGACAGTCGCAGCGAGGAACTCTTCCACATGACCATTGAGCTCTCACAATGCCTCACATGATGAATTAACACACCTTCTCATAGATATGCAGAAGCATTAACAGAAGCCTTAGTCTCTCATGCGATCATCGACGATCACTTGTCGGGCCTACGTACTCTGGCCCAATCAGCTCTCTTCGGATCTTCGGGTGCGCTCACCACATACCTCTGCATGCCCGCTGCCCCGCTACCCCGCTGCTCGCTGCTCCTCGCTCTATCATTTCATACTGTCACTCACCTCCTCGCTCTTCGTCGATCATCTATACTTGTATCCCATCACACCTTCCTGCCTCCAGCTCACCTCCCGGCCGCTCGCACCCTCGGCGGCCGGAGGCCTTGCCACAGCCGCTCCGGCCCGTGTCATGCTCGCACGGACAAAGCGGTGTCGCTCAGACCGCGCCGACGCTTCTCTTTCCGGTCTTTCATAACCGCTTACGACTTAAAACTCGCGCTCCCAGCCCATACTCACACCCTCACATCATACTCTCACTCTCATCTAACTCTCACTCTCGCACCATGGGCCGCTCCAAAGTCACGTCGCCTGCCGCCGCCCTCCGCGCCCCCTGGCGCGCGCAAGTCGAAGAGGCGCTCAAGACGGGCCCTCTTGCGCGCGGTGCGCCGCCGCCGGCGTTGCACGCTGACGTCAGAAATGTCCCTCGCGACCACGGCCGGCGGCCACGCCCGCGTCCGCCACGTCACGTTCCAAGGCTGTGAGTCGCTCTTGCATGCCTTGCAATCCTTGCATAGCTCACATAGTCTCGCCTTCCGGCTTCCTCGAGATCGCGACGGACCGGTGCAGCGGCAAAGTGCTCGACGTCGAGCTCGACCCGATCGTCGAGATCGCCTGGTTCGTGCCTGCCGCAGGATTCCAGTTCCGCATCCGCGGCCGGGCCGCCATCATCGGCGAGGCGCACGAGTTCTTCAACGCGCGCGGCACCCTCCGCATCCCGCCCACCGCCGACGAGTGCTCGTACGCGTACTGGGCCGAGCAGCGCGCCCAGGTGTTTAGCTCGCTCGGCCCCGTGGCCAAGAAGTACGACCACGCGCCGCCGCGCGGCGCACGCGTGCCCCCCAACACCGACTATGCGCACTTCAACTTTGTCATTGTCGCGATCGTGCCTGAGCGCGTCGAGGTGCTCGACCTCGCCAAGAAGGGGTACACGACGTGGATTGTAGAAAAGGGCGAGTGGGTCGAGGAGGAGCAGCCGCCCGTGCTGATGGAGCGCGCCCACATCTAGGTTTGGGGGATTGATTGCATTGGCGCGCACGGAGGTGCATGGACCTCCGGGAAGCAGTTGCTGAAACAAGGGCGAGTGGGTGCGTGGCATGGCTGGGCACACTCACACGCCGATCTACTGATACATTGATGGCAGCGACACGAGACAAGGCGAGGAAAATGATGGTGTGGTCCCGGCACGTGCAAAAGCAAGTAGTGCACGCAAGGCGGTGCTGACAATGGATTCTTGGATGGTGGGTCGAGTGGACGCGCGGTAAATACAGTGTTATTATTGTGGACGTGTGTGTAGTGACGAAAGACAGTGGCAAGATCACGGCCAGCCCGCCCTCGAGTAACGCCCTATGCTTTGTCGAATACAAGTCCAAGCAGCGGCGAGTGAACCGCGATAGGCGTGGTCGGCGTCTGCAGCGAGGAGTCGGACGATGTCGACAACGACATTAGGACGCTCGACTTTGTCGTCGAAGTCGAGAGGGGGGATGACCAAGGCGAGAGGCTTGTGGACCACGAGTGGCGGGAAGTAGTCTTGTTTTCGACGCTGAAGAAGTACCGCTTGCGGCGCTTCACAGTTCCGCCGCCACCGCGGTGAAGCTCAGCCGAGCCGGCCTCGGAATACTTCACGGATACGTGGAGGTGAGCGTCAGATCGCTTCTCGTCCGGATTAACGACGCCAGACTCGCCCTTGCCGTTCCCGGTGTGGTAGAAGATGGGCCGCCGCACAACATCGGCCATTGTCTTACACACGCCTTGCACGAGAGCGTCAGTTGCGAGGTCGCTGGTGGCGAGCGCGTTGTTCACGTCCGCCGTCATCGCCGTGATCGTCAACTCGAACCGTGCTTCGGCGGACTTCTTGGTCTTAGACTGCTTCGGGGGCAGGCCAGATAGGCAAGGGCTATCCACATGCGCATGGACTGGCGTCAGCTTGGTACGGAGTTTGTGCCGTGGAGTACTCTGAGGAGGCCCATCTGACTGTTCTAACCGCGTCACTTACTATTGTGCCGCAGCAGTAATTGCTGCACGCCGCTAAGCAGTGCGGCTCGAGGATCCTTCTCCACTACCATGGAGAAGGTAGTGCGGGCCATGCCGGCCGGGAGAATGTCACCTGCATCGACGCGAGCCCTTGCAATCGGAGCTCTGGGGATTGGGGCGGGCTTGGGCTGGGGCGCAGCTGTCGGAGGGGTGCGGGGCTTGGGAGGGGCGCGAATGCGAGGCTCGGGAGGAGCGCGCGGCTTGGGAGGGGCGCGGGGCTGAGGAGCATCGCGGGGCTTGGGAGGGAGGCGGGCCTTGAGAGCAGGGCACGGCTTGGGAAGGGCGCGGGCCCGGGGGACAGGCGGTTTACGCTTCGATGGGGCCATCGCGAAGAGGTGGGATGTAGTGTAGTGGATGGAGAGGGGATGAGTGAATGATTGTGAATGAACGGTTGAGACGTGTGTGATTTAGCCACGAGCGGGAATTAATGTCGGACGTGTGTATGTACACATGGCGCGTAGCCAAACATGCGAGCGACGCCTTTGCCACCCACGGCGTTTCCACTCTACCGATTCAGCTCTGCGTGTTGACATCTCTATCAGCATCACTCTGTGAATGTAGCCAGAGATGCGCGACTGCACAACACGCTCTGCGCCCGACGCATTGATGTGCTGATGTACATTGTGCTGGGGAGGGGCGCACATGATCGTCAGTGGCGCAGACGTCGCCCCCGTCGGCCCAGTGTAATGCATCTGCACATTGTTTCAAATCGCAGGATGGCGATGCCAGAGGTGAACTGGGCGGTCTCTTTGTGATTGTCATCACTCCGCGCTAGGTCGTCAACTCATCTTTTGTCTAGCTCAGCTCATCCTCACCAGCGCCGCCACATGCGTCCACTTCGCGAATTGGCCACCCACCCGTGCCTGGCGGCGCAGGCCGGCAGGCGCAGCGCTATCTGATCTCTGCATCTCTGTGTGGAAGCGTTCTCCTCGCGTGTACGCCGTCACCAGCCGAGACCTGCAGAGGAGAGGGGCCGAGTGAAGAGAAACAACTGTACGCGTCTCCTTCTTTTGCCAAGATGAGAGCGAGAGGCAGGCATGTAAACAGCCGCTGGCAGGAGGATGGCGTTTGTATCACTTTGCCTACATCGTTAGTACGAGCCCCGGCTCATGGTTCACAGATGATCATCAAAATGACCGATAGCCACCAGGTTTGCAGTGTAATGAGTCGCAGGCAAACCACAACCATCAACACCAGGCCAGTCTCCATGGGCTCGTATCTCTCAATGCATGCTATACAACGAAACTACACTGTCCCCGCCTTCTTCTCACTCACTACGCATTCCATGACGCCGAGCATAACCTCGGGCACCTCGGCCTCATCAGGATCCACCGGCGTCCACTGCGCCTCCGACTGGCACGGCATCGCGATAAGCACACCAACACGCAGCGCCGTCCCAGGTTCTGGTATGTCACCAACGACAGGCTTTTCCATCGTAATGGGCGCTTCATTCACGGGCGCAGGCACACGGGGCGGGTCGCGTGCGCGGCGTGGCCACATATCCCGCAGCGTATCGCGCAGTTCCTCCGTCACAGTGGGGATTTGAGGTACCTCGATTGGCGGTGGCGTCGGCGGCGGCTGCTCCGGCTCAGGCTCGGGCACGGACACAAGTGTCATGGGCTAGAGTCAGCCCACTTCGTCGTCTTGAGGCGTGTCGGGCTCAATCCACTTCGTTTCCAGGACTCACAGTTACGTCGTGCCACGTATCTTCGATCCAATGCTTCTCCATCTCGCCCTTCTCGATGTCCCAGCCCATGCGACGCATCTCGTTCTCCCACATTCTGGGCATGGGCCCGAGCTCGGGGGTCTTCTTCGGCACGGGTGGGAACCGGGAGAGGAACGGACTACGCAGGTTGGGCGGAGGCTCGCCTCGTGCTATGGCCTCAACAACTTGACGGTGGAAGCGGCGGCGCACGTAGATCGCACGCCAGAGAAGGCCGATGGCGACGATGCTGAGGAGACACACAGTGGCGAGGAATGTGAAGAGGTACATCTGAGTGCTGGGATTAGGGGTGTACATGACATTTCATAAGGCCCCACGGGCAGCGCGGGCTGGGAGCATGCGTAGGAAACTCACGAGTTGCCTCTATTGAGGTTCGAGCCATTGCCGCCATTGAAGGGTGGACGAGTTGGCGAGGGCTGCACACTCGACATGCTGATGAAGCCCTCAGTGCGGGACGCCAACGGATCCGCCTGGGCGGGGTACACCATCGACCCCATGGTAAGAGCGAGCTAGGCGAGGAGGAGGTGAAGGTGAAGAAGGTCGCAAACGGGTGGTGTGAATGAGTGGGGTGGGCCGGCGGCGTTCGGCGCCCGGGCCGTCGCCTGAGGAAGAGCTTGGCTCGGTTGGGGTCTTGAGTTGCACAAGGATGCTGAGAACAGTCAGACAATTTGGCTGGCGAGCGTAAATATGTTGTGTGTTGTAGGACGAAGTGACGATGGAGAAGGAGTCGCTCTTGAGATGGATCGGTGGCTTAAGGCATGTAGGTCGCTTCAGTCAACCCGGCTGGGCGGCTGGGTGGTGGCATCGCCGAGGGTCATTACCGGCGACCGGCCTGGCTCCGCAGTTTTCGCGGCCGCCATCCGCAGCAACACAGAGCCACCTGAGCGTCTGCGCGCAGATGCCCCTCCGACATTTGTAGAGATGCGGTGCATGCTCGTAAGAAGCGGACTGCGGGACTCGTCACCTCGTCATCTTCCTCCCATATCGCAGGCCAGCACTAACAGCCAGCGGCAGGTGAAGGATTTGTGTTGGCAGATCCGCACAGGCCCGCCCAGGAACCACCGAGCCACCGAACATGAGTAGATGACTCCCAATGCCAAACGCCACCGAAGCCTTGCCCACCGGGGTTGGCGCGCGTGATCGGTGTTTCCACCATCCCGAAGTGCACCTTCTGGTGGAAGTCCGTTGCTTCAGCGCAGCAGCACTCCAGCTCATTCGCTCTCCAGTTATGGTAGCCAAAAGATTGTAATCGGCAGCAGCTAGCTCAGTTGGAGCCTCCCTTCGCCGTTCTTCCTCCGCCTCATATGGGCGGAGTTCGCCAAACTCCGTGCCTCCGTGCCGATGAGGTCGCGTTGGACGCCGAACTTTCTTCCTCAACAACAAAATGCCTACGCTCGGCCCTTCGCTGCTCTTCGCAGCCGGCCTCACCCTCGGCATCGCCGGCGGGTACTGGGGCGGTCGCGACAAGAAAGTCGTACCTCCCTACCCGGCAGGTACGCCGCTGCCCCCGCCCCCCGAGGGCGGCCGCGAGCTGCAACGTCTTCCTTTGCCAACGTCGGCTGGGCCTGTTGTGGTCGCGGGCGGGTATCCCGGTATGTACTCTTGTGCGAGTCATCTGACCAAAGGTCCGACGTTCGACGTGATCCGTCGGCAGGCTTATATCACCGCGTACGACCGCCGTATGCGCCACCCAGCCTGGGTACGCCATGCCCGCGAAAGAGCCACTAACGACAGACCGCCGAGCATCTCACTGCCGAGTCGCTCCGCCGCACTCCGTCTGCCTCCGGTGTCAAGCCTGTGCCGCTTGACCAGGCACGTGCCGCCGACACCGTCCCGGAAAAGGTCGACCGCTCGAAGAGCACATTCCAGGAGGACAGCAGCGTCCCCGAGCTCTTCCGCGCCAAGCTTGCTGACTGTGAGTTACCGCGTCCTTGAGGAGGGCTGACATCAGACTTCCGCAGCGGCTATGACCGCGGCCACATGTGCGTTCAGCTTGAGACGTTGGAGTGGGGCTGACCCCAGGGTGCCCGCTGCCGATGCCAAGATCTCGCAGCAGGCTATGGATGAGACCTTCTACCTGACCAACATTGCCCCTCAGGTTGGCGATGGCTTCAACCGCCACTGTAAGTGCTCGCGAAGGCGCTCTCTGATGACAGACTGGGCCTACGTTGAGGACTTCTGCCGCCGCCTGACTACCAACTTCGAGGACGTCTATGTGTTCACGTGAGTATTATGCGTGCACGCCATGTCTGACTGACAGTATCCCGCTCTACCTTCCTACCCGTGGTGCTGATGGCAAGTGGCGTGTGGTGAGTCTCCTGCAGACAACGGTTACTTACCCAGACTTACGAGGTGATCGGTGAACAGCCATCGGTCTCCGTCCCGACCCACTTCGCCAAGGTCATTCTTGCGTCGCGCCCCGACTTCGCGTTCCCCCAGCAGCCTAACCCGTCCAAGCACGAGGTGACCTCGCCCAGCACCATCAAGGAGCTTGCCATGGGCGCATTCATCCTTCCCAACAAGGAGATCCCCGACCAGGCCGACCTGCGCACCTTCATCGCGCCTGGTGAGGCTGATTTAGTCTGTTGCGCTAACCTCCGCAGTCGAGGCTGTCGAGCGTGCGGCTGGCTTGCAGCTCTTCAACGACGACCTCAAGCAGAAGTCGCGTCAGCTCTGCGCTGTCACGCAGTGCTCGGTGATCGTCCGTCGCTTCGACGACACGCGCAAGGAGTTTGCCAAGAAGAAGTAGCTTCATATCTAGTCATCGTCTCCTCAATCGAGCATCATATGCATGTAGCATCGCACGAATGTGTACTCCTTACGCTGGAAATCCGCTAGGAGGGGGATCATGGCGTCATTCCGATGCGGTCGGTGCCTGAGCCACACAACCGGACATGTGGAGAGGCCTTGGCCACATCTTGGCCGATATCCACCGCGTCCGGCAATTGCGGCACACCATCTTGCATCAACTCTCTCTCCACATATCCACATCTCCATCCTCCCATGGCCCCCTTCCGCTTTCCGTATCCTACGACAGGATCGGTGACTTTCGCCAATGTGCTCCTAGACCGCAGCGCAGCGTACACCCACGAGCTCGCCGAAGCAACAGTTGCGCGCACAAAGCTCCAGCTCGCCCTCAAAGCAGCTGCTGCCGGGGAACAGGGCGCGTCCGCCATCGCTGTGCTCGAAGCTGTGCAGGTCTATCTTCCTTATCTGCGCGGCATCATCGCGTGTCTTGACACCGATGATCTCTTGTTCAAGGGTGACCCCGTATTCCTCTGGGCTTCGAGTCTGACGCGATACACCGTGTCTGCGCCGCTTCTGCCCTTCCCTTCCATCCACGCTGAGCACCACTTTGTCCTTCTCGTTTACACCATTGCGCTGTGCAACTATGCAGCCAGCATACTATCCTCACTGCCGACTTTTGAGTCGAGCGGCCACGGTGTGCCCATCCTCAACTCCGATGACGAGAAGAAGACAACTGCCGCTCTTACCCGCGCAGTCGACCTTCTCTCACAGGCCTCGGGCGTGGCGGATTGGGCAGCCACCAACGTCACCCCACAGCTCGAAGAAGGCCGCAAGATCACTGGGGGCCGCGTTGGAAAGGGCAACAAATGGCCTGTCGAGACTGGGCCGGAGGGATTCCGCGGTCTTTCCATGTACGTTGCTCATTATCGATCAGCTGAAGATCTTTGTGCTGTTGCTGACGACAGGATCCTTCTCGCCGACGCACATGTAACCGCAATTCGCAAGCTCCTTCTCCCCGTGCTGGGGCATCAGCTCTTCGCGCCTCCTGGCCCGCCCCTCCCATCCGCGCATCCGTCTCCCTCCCTCCTTGGCAAGCTCTACCTGCACGTCGCGTCGCTGTACTCGCAGGCCTCGGCGCTTTTCGCGGCCCACGACGGGCCTGCGGCCAAGAGCAAACTGTTTGCGCGCGACCGCCTCCCCGGCGATCCAGACGTCGCCGAGAGTGAGGTGATCCCCGACCTCAAACGCTATTTGCGCAAGGAGGCGCTTGTGTCCTCTGCGCTGGCGTACAAGTGGCTCGGGGTGGATGCGGGAGAGAATGGGAAGGGCGCAAAGGTCGGCGAGGCGCTAGCATGGATCTCAGAAGCACGTGGACGTCTCGCTCAGCTGGAGGACGGCAAGGTCGAGGCCAAGATGAAGGGGCTGAGTATTGGGCGCGGGGCCGAGCGGCGGAAGGAAGCGCGCAAGGCGCGGCAGGGGCGGATTGAGCGCGAGATTGCGGACGCAGACGCGTGGATCAGCACCTACAAGAAGACGAACGACACGGTGAGTTTTGGGCGCGATGATCTTTACGAAGCTGACAGCAGGTCGCGTTCCAGCCCGTCCCTCCAACAACCAGTCTTGTCGCGCCGCCTGGGCGGCCGATTTTCAACGCCAAGGTGTTCACACCTCCAGATGCCAAGCTCGCCCCACTGTTCCGAGATGAGGATGGCGACTTGGAACGTCGCCGTGGGCCATCGTCTCCTCGCGAGCCAGAGTACGCAGGCAAGGGTAACTACTTCTAGCTGCGCGCCAGCGGTGGGAAGTGGAAGCTGCATAATCTGCAGGAGGAGGGAGAAGTCAATAGCATGTGGCATGCGTGTCTCGAGTCAGCTCGGTGATGTCAGAAGGGCGCACATGTCTTGCGTGCATATTCATTACCATTGGTGGTAGAGCCGGAGAAGAGAAAAGCGTACAGAACCGGCGATTAGCACCACAGCGGGGCTCCCCATCGACAGCAATGTCGTACCCGCCAATGACAACTCGGAGAGCTCCCCAGAAACACAGAGTGATTGACAAATGATTGCAGCAGCTCATCTACTGGTCTCTATCCCGTTCCGTCTAGCCTGACGTTCTCTGGAACAGTATCGTCTGTACGCGAGACCTCGCGGGGGGCAGGGTCGACGCCAACCCAGCGCCGCTCGTGATCCTCGCCAACCCACGCGCCGCCATCACACGACCAGCTCTTCATGACGCTCACGGCGTCTTCTCGCGCCGCGCGCATCGCGTCAACCTCGCTCTCGCTCAGCTCGTGGCTCGGCACGCGGAGGACCATGAAGTCGCGCGCGGCGACGGCAAGCTTGATGAGATGCGGTTCGGGGCCCTGCAACGCGTGGTCGTGGCAACTTGGCCCATTCCAGATCGCGCTGATCTGGTTCACCAGGCTCTGCATGATCATGCGGAGATGCAGCTCATCGGCGTTGAGTGGGATGGCTTTGACGCCGGCGAACTGGCTCGCCGGCACGGGGTAAGGGAACGGGCTGGTGGGCCCGAGGAGGGCGGGGAACGGCTCGTTCGTCGCAAAGCGCGGCGAGGGGAACATGGCCGAGAAGTGGTTGACGGCGACACGGCGGGCGTTGATCGCGTACGCGAACTCGCCGACCTCGTCTGGTGTCGCGTGTCCTCGCGACACAGCTTTGACGCGGATCGCGTCGCGTTTGTCCGCAAACGCCTCGACTGCCTTGGCGGCCGAGCTCGCCGTCTCATGCTTGCCGTGGTAGATCCACGGCTCGCGCACGACGCCGCGGTCCTTGGCAGCCTGGTCGAATTCCTTGCTCCGCTTAGCCTCGAGGCTCTGCTCGAGACCGCTGGCGCGCACCGCGCGCCCCCGGTCGCCCTTGCCCACACTCTCCGGAATCGCCGCGTTCGTGCACTCGTGCACGAGGAGCGATGCGTCATGGCACATGCGTTGCAGCGCCTCGTTGGGCGTGCCGCCCGCACAGTCCCCAAAGATGACGAGCTTGCGCCCCGGCTCGCCTGTCGGCTCGGGAGCGTGAAGCACCTCGCCACTTGGTAGTGTCAGTGGTGGTGGGGGCGGGAGCGAGGTCAGGTGGCCCAGAAGCGAGAGGGGATGGCGCACGGGCGGATCCTGTGCGGCGAGCGCCTTCGCGTTCGCCTGTAGCAGTGGGATGAGCTGTGCCGTATCGAGCGGCTTGCGCGGCGCGGGCTCCTGCAATACGTAGCCGATTGAGGGGACTGGAGTGAGCTGTGAAGAAGCACGGCGGGCTCAACGCACCTCGATGCACTAGAGGCCCTGCGCTGACCATCCACCCCTTGCTGCCCTTTTGGGGTCGCTCGTCAACAATCATCTCCCACACGCCCTCGTCGTTTGCTAAGAGATCATGCCCCACAGCCTCGTTGACGTGTAGTTCGGGCTCAGCGCACCCCACACCCTTGGCAGAACCAGGGGGTACGAGCTCGTGAACGGCGTAGGCGCCTGTGAGGGTCACCTTCGTGAGGCGCAGCGTCGTGCGAATAAGCTCGCGCAGCCCCACGGGGCCGTAGATGTTGATATCCGCCTGCGGTTAGATCGATGTGAAGAGCCATCTCACCTTCTTGGCCGTCCCCGCTGCGCGCAAGCGGGCAAGACCTGCCTCTGTCTGCCCCACGCCACTCATGATGACCGCCATGATCGCCACGACGCCGAGGACGTGGTCGGCATGCATGTGCGTCACGAAGATGCGCGAGATGTTGACCATGCGTAGTGCGCTCTGATGCAAGCGGTTGTTGGTGCCATCGGCAGCGTCGAAGACTATCGTCAGCAACGCCGTCTGAAATGCGTACGCCAGATGTTATTCCCGAAGTCGACGGCGAGCGACGAGCACTGCCGTGAGGATATTGGGCCGCCACCTGCTGTCAGCTACCGCCTGGTTCAACGAGCCCACCGCTACATGTTCCCAGCTGCTGTCAGCGATCGTCTCCGCCGTCGCGGGCATGTGGCCGAGGCTGACTCACGAAATGGACGGACACTGGGTGTGGCGCCTTCTTGGTCGCTACTGTCGGCGGCGTACACCGTCCGCCATTCTCCACTACCCCGGACATGGTCATGAGGGGTACCGAGTAGCAAGAGGAATGATGTAATGTCAAGAGCTGGGCACCGAGGTCGACGTTGACGAGGCGCAGAGAGTGTGGGCAGTCACCAGTGATGGCGAGGCGGGGGGCCGACTCGGCTGACCCAACTTCGTCCGAAGCACCACTCAAATGTGGGGTCTCCGTTCCCGACCCGACTTCCGAAATTGTACTTCCGCCCCTGCCATGATGGAATCACGTGAGTGTCGCGTGTGTCCTGCATGATTTGCAGAATTATTTCCATCGAATTTGTCCCACTCCGCTCAATCCAAGAATTCTCGAGAGCAGGTCGCTCACTCCTCTCGACCTCGGCGGTAACCTGCAACATCCATCGTCTATCTACGGCGCTGCAGGACTCTTTACACTAAAACGAGCCCGCGACACGGCACTCACTCGACCCGAAAGTCACCCTCTATTTCCTCGCCGACTACCCCGACTCTCGCGCGATGTCCGGCTCTCTCACCCACGTCCTCCTTGAGGGCGCCTCTGGCTATGCCATCTTCAACGTCAAGCTCCAGGAGGAGATTGCCGCGCGGTCCAAGCAGCTCCAGGACTCTATCAATGACTGGAACACCTTCAACCGCATGGTCGAGCTCGCCTCGTTCTTCCCCTTCACTAGCGCTGCCCAGGCGCTCGAGAACGCCAACGATGTCTCGGAGGGTGTCCTCAATCCCCACCTGAAGAGCCTGCTCGCCATGGTTGTTCCCACGGCCGGCACCAAGGGCAATAAGACCCAGGCTGGTGTTCTCCTCGGTGTCTCTGAGCGTGGCCTTGCCGGTGCAATCCAGGGCGAGACTGGCATCCTCTGCGACACCTCGGAGCGTGCTCTCGAGCTCATCCGCGGTGTGCGTCTTCACCAGGACAAGTTCCTCTCCAAGGAGGGTCTTGAGAAGGGTGACATTACCCAGGCTCAGCTTGGTCTCGGTCACTCGTACTCGCGCGGCAAGGTTAAGGTGAGCACCCCAAGTGGAGCGAGTGACTCACCATATAGTTCAACGTCAACCGCTCGGACAACATGATCATCCAGGCCATCTCGCTCTCGGACCAGCTCGACAAGGACCTCAACACCTTCTCGATGCGCTGCCGCGAGTGGTACGGCTGGCACTTCCCCGAGCTGTACAAGCTTGTGCCCGACGCTCACCAGTACGCCCAGCTTGCCGTCCTCATCGGCGACCGTACCCAGCTCGACGAGGACAAGCTCGAGGATATGCAGGAGATCCTTGATGATGACGAGACCCGCGCGCGCAACGTTCTTGACGCTGCCCGCGCCTCCATGGGTTCGGACATCAACGAGGTCGACCTCCTTAACATCTCCAACTTCGCTGAGCGTGTCGTCAAGCTCGCCGAGTACCGCAAGAGCCTGCGTCGCTACCTTGTCGAGAAGATGAGCATTGTCGCCCCCAACCTCTCGGCTCTCCTTGGCGAGACCATCGCTGCCCGTCTCATCAGCCACGCCGGTTCGCTCACCAACCTGGCCAAGTACCCTGCCTCGACCGTGCAGATTCTTGGTGCCGAGAAGGCTCTCTTCCGTGCTCTTAAGACCAAGGGCAACACCCCCAAGTACGGTCTCATCTACCACTCGAGCTTCATCTCGCGCGCCGGCTCCAAGTACAAGGGCCGCATCTCGCGTTTCCTCGCGAACAAGTGCTCGATTGCTTGCCGTATCGACTGCTTCTCCGACGTGCCGACCAACAAGTTCGGCGAGGCCCTGCGTGCTCAGGTTGAGGAGCGCCTTGCATTCTTCGAGACTGGCGTTGCGCCCTCGAAGAACGCCGACGCCATCCAGAAGGCATTGAAGGCGATCGCGGCCGACCTCGGCGAGGACGAGGATGACGACGACGACGAGGACGGAGACGTCAAGCCCGACGACATTGCGGCCGCCGCCAAGCAGGTCGAGAAGGACCAGGCCTCGGCGGCCAAGAACCGCGGGCCAATGGACCCCGAGCTTGTCAAGATTGCGTCGACCGCTGCCGTCACGCCATCCAAGAAGGACAAGAAGGAGAAGAAGGAGAAAAAGGAGAAGCGCAAGCGCGACGACGACGACGACGACGAGGAGGAGGGGCGGAGGAAAAAGGACAAGAAGGACAAGAAGGACAAGTCCGAGAAGAAGGACAAGAAGGACAAGTCCGACAAGTCTGACAAGAAGGACAAGAAGGAAAAGAAGGACAAGAAGGACAAGAAGAAGTCCAAGGACTAATTCTTCTCTTTGCCTGATTCCGATGTTCATCATCAACATGGTCTCCTAGTGGGAGGGGGGAGGGGATTAGATCGCCCGAGTGGAGGCGCTCGGGCTGCGGTGTGCATCGTCCACTGCTGTACTACTGGCTCTTTTATCTCATGCATTCGCATAGGACTGCTGCGGGGGCGGGTGCAAGGCAGGACTCGTATGAGTGCATTGCATTGTGAGCGTGAGCCGCCGCCACGCCATCAAGTGCCCATGCCCAGAGCCGGGATCTTATCAGATATCAGCCGACTGCGGTACTCGCCGGGAATGACCGTCGCAGTTTGATTACCCGTGGCTTCAGGATGTTGTCAGCATGACGAGTTGCTCACATGTCTCTGGTGTAATGTGAGAAGCGCGTCATGAGATCATGATCATGGATCATGATCACGCGGCGCGACGCGTGATGTCACGGCGAGCGGACATGGCGTTGCATTGTGGAGCTAGCAGTCGGCCGACGGCCGACGGACGTGAACATGGACGCGTGGTTTCCTTCTTCATGTTACACATTCTGTATGCATCCCCCCATGCTCTCCAACGCAAACAGTGCAAGCTCCGCAGTGTCTGGCGGTCCGAACATAGCGGCAGTGGGGTGGACGTGTCAGGGGAGCGCATTGTCGGCCGAGGAGGCCATGTGGAGATGGCTTGATGGCTTGAGAACGCGTCGCGTCGCCCCCGTCGATGGATCAATCTCGGGCGTTGGGTGGCATGACGGAGGGGGGGGGGGGGGGGGGGGGGGGGGGGGGGGGGGGGGGGGGGGGAGGGGGGCAAGGGCGGCGAGGGAAGGTCAGAGCGCGTGACCCGGGGCTGGCAATGTTACGCGTCCAGGATCGCAGGATCAAATGAAAAAACATGCGCCAATCCCTGTGCTTATCACACCAAACCCAATAAACAAACAATCCCTGTGCTGCCACACGTCATTGTTCATCCAGATTTGACTCCGCTTCCACCGTACACGCAGAGGCCCAGTGACTGTACCGAAAGGAAGGTGAGCAAGCAGCAGCCAGCCTGGCAGGACGCGTCGTGATTTATAACAACCTGCAGGACCCTCGCCCCCCTCATCCCTCACTTTTCCTCCTTCCACCACAACACTCCCCGCATCTCCTCGGTACTTGAGCGACTCATCTGCTGGCGCCCATCTTGCCATCGCTCTCGCTGCTCTTGTCATCATCTCGTGAGTGTCCGGCGTCGACCTGGTCGTCACTGGCCCCACTCCGCCACCTGACATTACTGACGCGTCAGGCGAGCCGTTCTCCCATCAACCAGCGCTCCCTCCTCCCTCTTTCTAACTTCCCCCGTCCTCCCCTCCCAGCATGTGGGTTTACAAGCGTGATGGCCGCAAGGAGCCAGTGGCATTCGACAAGATCACTGCCCGGGTAAGTCGAACATTACGTCGGGGCCGCACGCGTCGCAACCGACGCGTCTTCCCAACACCTGAGTCGCAGCTGACCCCCCCAGATCCACAAGTTGTCATATGGCCTCGACCGCAACTTCGTCGACCCCGTCCAGATTACCCAAAAGGTCGTTGCTGGCGTCTACCCAGGCATCACCACCACCGAGCTCGACAACCTCGCTGCCGAGACTGCTGCCTACCTGACCACCACGTGAGTAAACCCTGCCGCGGGCAAAGTGGCGCTCTGTTAACCCCAGTCACGCCGACTATGCCATTCTCGCGGCCCGTCTGGCCGTGTCCAATCTGCACAAGGAGACCAAGAAGGTCTTCTCGCAGGTTATCACCGACCTGTACAACTGGGTCAACCCCAAGACCGGAAAGCAGTCGCCCATGGTCTCGCAGGAGGTGTATGACGTGACGATGAAGCACAAGGACAAGCTTGACTCCGCAATAATCTACGACCGCGACTTCTCGTACAACTTCTTCGGCTTCAAGACGCTTGAGCGCTCGTACCTCCTTCGCATCGACGGCAAGGTCGCCGAGCGCCCGCAGCACATGCTCATGCGCGTTGCTGTCGGCATTCACGGCGAGAACCTTGACCGCGTCATCGAGACCTACAACCTCATGTCCGAGCGCTACTTCACTCACGCGTCGCCCACTCTCTTCAACGCCGGTACTCCCCACGCGCAGATGTCGTCGTGCTTCCTTGTCGCCATGAAGGACGACTCCATTGACGGCATTTACGACACTCTCAAGACCTGCGCTCAGATCTCGAAGACTGCCGGTGGTATTGGTCTCCACATCCACAACATTCGCGCCAAGGGTTCGTACATTGCCGGTACCAACGGCTACTCGAACGGTATTGTCCCTATGCTCCGTGCCTACGACGCGACTGCCCGCTACGTTGACCAGGGTGGCAACAAGCGCCCCGGCGCCTTTGCCATCTACCTCGAGCCGTGGCACGCCGACGTGTTTGATTTCCTTGACCTCCGCAAGAACCACGGCAAGGAGGAGATGCGCGCTCGTGACCTCTTCTACGCTCTCTGGATCCCGGACCTCTTCATGAAGCGCGTCGAGTCCGACGGAGACTGGACCCTCATGTGCCCTGCTGAGTGCCCCGGCCTTGCCGATGTGCACTCGGAGGAGTTCGAGCAGCTCTACGAGAAGTATGAGCGTGAGGGCAAGGGCCGCAAGACGATCAAGGCGCAGAAGCTCTGGTTCGCCATCCTGGAGGCCCAGACTGAGACTGGCGGTCCCTTCATGCTCTACAAGGACGCGGCCAACTCGAAGTCGAACCAGCAGCACCTCGGCACCATCAAGTCGTCCAACCTCTGCACCGAGATCATCGAGTACTCGTCTCCCGATGAGGTTGCTGTGTGCAACCTGGCCTCGATTGCCCTCCCGGCCTTTGTTGACCTTGAGGGGCAGACCTACGACTTCCAGAAGTTGCACGACATCACCAGGGTCGTCACTAAGAACCTCGACCAGGTCATCACCCGCAACTACTACCCCGTCATTGAGGCGCGCAACTCCAACATGCGTCACCGCCCCGTCGGTCTTGGTGTCCAGGGCCTCGCCGATACCTTCATGGCTCTCCGCATGCCCTTCGACTCTCCCGAGGCTCGTGAGCTCAACCTGAAGATTTTCGAGACCATCTACCACGCCGCCCTCACTGCGTCGTGCGAGATGGCTCGGGACCAGGGCAAGTACCCCTCGTACGAGGGCTCGCCCATCTCGCAGGGCAAGCTCCAGTTCGACCTCTGGGGCCGGACCCCCACTGACCTCTGGGACTGGAACCCGCTCCGCAAGGACATTGCGCAGCACGGTGTCCGTAACTCGCTCCTTGTTGCGCCCATGCCCACTGCCTCGACCTCGCAGATCCTCGGCTGGAACGAGTGCTTTGAGCCCTACACCTCGATGCTTTACGCGCGCCGTGTGCTCTCGGGTGACTTCCAGGTCGTGTGCCCCTGGCTTCTGCGCGACCTGATCAACCTTGGCATCTGGGACGACAACATGAAGAACCTCATTATTGCCAACCGTGGTTCGATCCAGAACATACCCAACATCCCTGATGACATCAAGGCCATTTACAAGACGGTCTGGGAGATCTCGCAGAAGGCCGTCATTGAGCTTGCTGCCGACCGTGGAGCGTTCATCGACCAGTCGCAGTCGCTGAACATCCACCTGTCGAACCCCTCGTTCTCGCAGCTCACTTCGATGCACTTCTTCGGCTGGAAGCGCGGTCTAAAGACTGGCGCGTACTACCTCCGCACCCAGCCTTCGGCCAATGCGATCCAGTTCACCATCGACGCCAGCACCCTCAAGCAGGCCAAGGCACTCGGCAACAAGCCCGCGTCTCCCGCTGTTAAGAAGCCTGCTGCGCAGCACGCCGACCTCGTCGAGCCCATGCGCAAGATTGAGATCAACACGACCGCGCCTAAGGCCGTGCACCCCTCTGTCACTGCCGCGTCGCAGGCTCGTCGTTCGTCGGAGACCCCCGCCCCTAGCGACTCGGAGGAGATCTCGTACGAGGAGGCCAAGCGCCGTGCCGAGGAGCGCGCTGCTGCCGCTCTCCAGTGCAGCATTGACAACAAGGACGCCTGCGTCATGTGCTCGGGATAAATGGACCTTCTTGCTGAGTGCGGATGCGTTGGCGCTGTTGTACATGTCTTATTTTACTACGCTACATGAATCGCATAGACTGAGCGGCAGGAGGAGCTTCTCATGAGAGGAAGGATTAGGAGTTGCCATCAGCGAATTCACATTCGATTAGAATTGGGAACTTGAAAGCATATGGGACCTTTGCGAACCAACATAATTTTCCCACGGTTGCATGCCGATCACACGCGACTGATGTTTATCCCTGGCATAACAACAACCGTGCCCCTCGTCGCCACCGACAATCGTCTTCTTCCTCACAACGCCATGGTAAGTGTTGAGCAGTATACCGCGCATCTCCTCGATTTTGGCTGACTCCAGTCCAAATCCGCCGCAACAGCCCTCGGTCTCGGCCGCGGCCTCCCCTCCTCGCTCCCACAAGCCCCGCGCCCCCGCGAAGCCTCCGGCGCCGCATACACCATGTTCTCCCCGCAGCAGGTCAAGCAGTTCAAGGAGGCGTTCAACATGATTGACCAGGACGGTGACGGGCGCGTGTCCGAGGCCGACCTGTGCACGATGCTAACCGAGCTTGGTGGGTACAGCATGTCTTGCCGACACCCGCGACACAGCGCTGACTCCGTAGGCCAGACGCCCGCGCCCGACCTCTTGAACACGCTGCTGACCGCGCGGCCCGGGCGCACGACCGGGTCCGCGGAAGGCATCAACTTCACCCAGTTCCTCGCGATGATGGGCGAGCGCTTGCTCCACCTCGACCGCGAGCATGATCTGCTCGAGGCGTTTGCGTGCTTCGACGACGGGGACAAGGGGTGGGTCCAGGTCGCGGAGGTGCGCAAGTTCCTCGCTGAGATGGGCGACCGGATGAGTGCGGACGAGGTGAGTGCTCGAAGGAGGCGGTGCCCATCTAGCCAGCGCTTATGCAGATCGACCGCCTCTTCAATGGCCCGTTCACCGACCGCCAGGGCCGCTTCAACTACATCGAGTGGGCCAAGGTGCTGCGTGTCAACGACGCCGAGGAAGCGCGCCCTGTCGCTGTCGAGGTCTAGCTGTCCGAGTCCGTTGTATGATATTGTACATGCATGTTACTAGATTTACATTTAGGCGGCGTACATCCCCACGATATCCTGCACGCTGTCAAGCTTCCATTGCGGCACGTCGGTGACGCCCTCGCCATCGTCATACTGTGCTGCAATGAGCGCAGCGTACTTGTCTGCCACGGCGCGCGCCTTGAACTCGAGCATGTCACGCTCGGCGCCAGTGCTGCGCACCACCAGCTCGCGAAGCGCCTGCAGCATCCTCATTGGGGGAACGTATCGGCCAGCGAGGTAAAGGGCCAGCGTCTCGGCTTGTGTGCGTGGCCACTTCCCCGAGTCAAAGTACGCCCACGCGTCGTCGGGACGAACCACAGTAAGGCGACGCTTAAGAGCGTGCAAGAAAGTCTGGCGCAAGATGGGATGGCGGCGCTCGCCAGGCGCATGATTTGCGTAGTCTTTGTCGAAGACGGTGGGACGGTAGAACCGGATCAAGAACGCGACTTGTGCTGCTCGTGCGAGGCGGAGCCCGTCATCGTCCGCCAGCGCAATGTAGATGCCCACGTAGACTGGGAATAGGGCACCCTTGTCGAGCGCAACGCACTCAAACATCACGTTACGGATGAAGGTCTCGAGCATGTTTGATCCGGTGAACCGCTTGCCCACGGCGTGAACCGCAACATCATTAGAGTGCGAGAGGAAGAGGTCGGAGAGGGCCTCAGGCTCGGGATACAAAGGCGAGGCAGCCGAAAGGAAGTCGTGGTGCATGTCATAGCTGCTCGTGACACCGGTGCGCACAAAGAGACTCCTGTAGCCCTTGGGGTCATCGGCGTAGTCCAGGAAAGCAGCACGACGCTTAACCCAGATCGTCCGCGTGCGCACGAGATGATCGCGGTAGCGCGGGTTGCTAAGATCGTATCGTACAGGCCAGTAGCGAACCGAGTCGACGTAAATGGTCTCAAGAGAGGAGAATGGGGCCACCGGTGTCGGGGATATATGGCCTTGAGGCTCGCGACGTCCCTTGAGCTTGATCTTGATAGGCAAAGTGATCGTTTCCCGTGTATCAACGTCGCGGCAGATCAAGCAGCGAGGCTCGACCGCCAGCGCCCACAGGTGCCGGAACAGTTGAGGGTAGGCGCGAGAATCGTTGACGTTGCTGGGGAAACGGGGAAAGAAGGAGATACTAAGGGCAGCGATCGCAATATTCGAGTTGCCGAGCGAGTAGTACCCCTTGCCCAAGAAGAGGAGGCCTAGGGCCATGTGCATTGCCATGTGACTGCCGTACGTCACTCCGGCGCCTTCCTGTCCGTGCGAGACACGTAAGCGGCGCATGACATTCAGCTCGCCAGTGCCCGACATGAGCGCCGAGAGCGCAAGTGTGACCGTGTTGAGAGCTTGGCGCGACGCGCTGCGCCGGATGCGAGCCTCGTACGTCATTGACTGACCGGCAGCGGCCTTTCCAAGAACAGCGAAGAAGTTCATCAGAACTGTGTGGGCCGTTTCGGGCGGACGACCCGCGAAGCGGACGCCGATGGCGAGGCACGCTCCGGCCACAATGTTGAGGTATGCAAGCTCAGTGTTAAGGTCGAGAACGCCGTACGCGAGCTTGTGGTCATTGTGGTCAATAAAGCTCGGTAGTTGCGCGTTGATCCAGTCAACTGTACCGCGAATATCGTCCCACATAATCAGTGCACGAGCGTATGTCCGAACGAGGAGTTGGTCGGGGCGGATATTTTCAAGAGCGATCTCCGTTTGCGGGATCTCGAGTGTGTCCGCAATGTCTCTGCGCCCGGTGCGGAGGTACATAAGCCCCAAGGCAAGTGTGGCACCAGGCGACGTGATCGTTGGGTCGATGCGGGGCACCTTGCGCCGACCTGCATCGTGCCTGACGTCTGGGGCGTCTCCATAAATGCAACGCAATAGCTCATTGAGCATGTCGTTCTCGACGACGCTCGGTGTTTTGCCTCCGCGACCAAGCATGACCAGACCGAAACCCATTGACGCAGAGAACGAGTACGCCTCACGGTGCTCGGAAAACGAGTCAACGCCCGGCATGTCCATCCGCGAGATTTCGCGAAGAGTTGTGTCGGCCATGTGCAGATGCTTGGTGCCAGCGTACACCAAGCCAATCGAAAGTAGTGCAGTAGACTGCACCAGCGGCGAGCCGTTTAGCTCCATCGCACCTGGAGGAAGTAGAGCGTTAGAGTGGAGGGAGATCTGGCTCGTCACCATGGGGTCTTGACTCCCGGCGAAGGACGCAGCAACGCCCAGCAGCGTGCCAACAGTTGTCTTTTCATGCCGCTGACGGAGGTAGGTGAACGTCTGCTTTGAGCCAAGCTTGCGTAGATGGCCAGTCAGGCCCAGGCCCAGAATAAAGCCGGCATGCTCGGCGTTGATGTCGCCCGGTCGATTGTACAAGATCCACGAGGCGTCAATGCCTTTGGAGTCGGGGGATATTGAAAGTGCAGCTGCGACGGCATGGTGGAAGTGCGGCCATTCAACGATGTCGGTAATCTGTGGGTGTAGCAATTGATTGGCAGGCACGACCTTGACGCTGAGGTCGAACGGAGGGATGTGCCATACGCCGCCCATGGGCGCGGAGCGCGACGCAAACTGCCACATGCCTTGCCCAACGGTGACAGCGAAGGTCCGTTGTGCGAGCAAGTTGACATAGTTCTGGTAGTTGGCCTGCATGTCGTGCTCACTGTTGTCAGCTGGATATTGTGCGGCTAAGCCTCACCTCATGCCTTTTGGGTTCTCTATAGGCACAGTCCGCGTCCTCGTCGTTTGCATAATGCGGTCGACCTCTTCCTTGCGCTTGTCTGCTCCAAAACGTACGTGCGGCAGAGCGGAGAAGTGCGCATGCTTTGCTGCAGGGTGGTTCACCGACTTCATGATGTCGCCGATGGTTTTCCTCTCGTCATCGTCCTCGGCACCCATAGGCAGCTCCAGGATGGAAAAGCTCTTGGAACCAGACAACACGGTCAGGTCTGTCCGCCCAATGAACGAGTACACCGCTGGTGAGGCATTAACCGGAGGGTGTTGCTGCACGACGCGGAAGAGCTCGGCGGCTGGCATGGCGATGCCGAAGGGCAGATTCGCGAACCAGGTCTCGTCAAGGCTATTCTCCAGCATATACTCGATGACGGCGAGGCCACGCTGCTGGCTGGTAGACCCGATCAAGGCACGCGCAGCGTCGGGGCTCAAGCGGGCGTAGATTTCTGTGACCCGTTCGGTCTGGAGGCATGGTCGGACGAGGCCGAGGGGGGACGAGCGGGCAAAGATTGATTGCGGTGTTGGGAAAGGGCGCGTTCTCGTGACGGAGGAGCGAGCCAGGTAAGCGACGACGTCGGGAGGTTCAGAGAAACGGTCTAGTTGTGAGGTGTCGATGGCCGTGGAGGCTGGAAGTGAGCGGCAAAGCTGGAAACGCGAACGCTTACGAGAAGGGAATGTTGCGCCCTCGACGATTGATGGCATCAGACGAGCCCAGTAATCGAGCCAGTCTGGACGCCCAACGGCAGCGGCAAGCTGAGTGATGACGGGCGCAATCTGCAGAAGATTAGGTTCAGTGGTGGACGCGAGGCGGCAGTCCTGCGCGACCAGGTGGAGGGCGAGCAGTACCTCGGTCGTGCAAACGGCAAGGCCTCCACTCGGCCGCGCCAACGTTGCCGGGTACTTGCGGCCAAGCCGACGTGCGAGGCGCAGGAGGGTTGGGTCTGTCGTTGGCGTCGGAGATATTTGAGCCCCTATACCGCATTTGGTTAGGATGATATCGGCCAATGTTCTCCACTGCTCCAAGGGTGACTTTGCTTCGAGCCCGCTGCCGAGATACGTCTCAAATAGCTCGGCGTACACCTCTGGCGCGAGGGCATAAGAAAGCGCCTCCATAACACGCTGGCACAGCCCTCGAGGCTGCACGACCACAGTGGAGATCCGCACGCGCTCGCCGTCGGCATACACAGCGGTAACGTTGGATCCGCTGGCGTCCACGAGGTCCACAAGACGCCTGTCGTCGCCTTTGACCCCCATGCTCAGTCTCGCCGCAAATTGGTTCGCAACATCACGTTCAGTCGAGAGGTGGTTAATACCAATGCGAAGTCTCCCGCCAGACGGGGTGAGGATCCATGTTACGCCTTCAAGGTCCACAGCGAGCGTGTCGTAGACTTGTTCGCGAGTAGCGAGCACCGGCGCAGCCGCGAGGCACTCCATCATGCACACCTCCGAGAAAGTATACTGCGCAGGGGCGGCCTGCTCGACGCGGAAGATGAACAGGCCTTTGCGGCCATTGTCGAAGGGAACGAGGACGTTGAGATACACGCTCGCGGCGGATCGGTTCTCGGAAAGAAAAACGCGTATCGAGGCGGGGTCAATGTGGCTTATGTTAGCGAGCAATCAGCGGACAAATGTTCACCAGGGCGGACTCCAAGCCCAAATGCGATCAAGCACAATGTCACTGCGGCGGTTCTTAAGCTGTTTCCCATCTTCAATGCCGTGTACCATGGTGGTGTCGCAGAGATCCTCGGCAACAATATCCAGCACCCGATCACGGTTGTCGAAGGGGTGCATGTCCTCGCGCATCATGGACGCCGCATTGCTCACTCTCCGGAGCTTTGGCTCGGGACCCCTTATGCGGGTCGTGAAAGCCTCAAGACTATCAGGTGGAGGAGGCGGCTCTTCTGATAAGCGTGAGCGGCGGCGAGAGCGGTCAAACACGTCCGTGGCTGCTGAGGATCGCCTGCCACGGCCAGATGAGGCGCGTCCACGCGCATTGACTTGCTTCATGAGCTCGTGTGGCCGGAGCTGGGTTGCGGCAGACGCGCGCCGGTCTGGCTTCTCCTCGGTTTCCTCCGTGACGGTGGCGTAGCGAAATACGACCAACTTGCCTTCGCTTGCGTCCCATGCCACGACAAAGGGATACGGATCGGGTGGGGTCAGCAGCACCGTCACGGTAGGCTTGATGTAACTCGGGTTGCTGACGAGCCTTGTGCCGTCCAGGACGGCTTCACCGACCTTGAGTGGCTCGTCCCACACATCAGTAACCGAGAAGAGGCGAGGACTTCCTGCAGCCCTGTCCTTGTTCGCCTCAAGCTTGAGGCTGAGGTGATCAAGAGAAGTGTCGCCATCCAGTGACATTCGGGGAGAAGGGCGAACCTTCTCGACGCGGCGCTGGAGAAGCGCTCCACCACTGGGCAGAGGCCAGACACTCTCAATGGGGAAGGAGAGGTGACGGAAGTGCTTCTCGCCCGTGGCAAAGTGCACGACAATCTGTCGCTGCAATACCACCAAAACGGCGCGCTGCAACCCTAATACGGGGCGGCGTGGGCGCTTTGTGCGCGCCATCCAGCGCGCGTCTGCGCTCGTATGGAATGGTCCAAATGTGCCCTCGGCAGGTGTGGTCTTTGACGCGGGTTGCGCTTCGGCGCCGCCGGGATTGGAATCAACCCACACCTCCTCTGGCGTGCGAAACCACGCGAAGGCGGCGCAACACACGTCCTGACCGAGATGCGCGTAGTTGAAGCGGCGGAGAATCTCAACGCCACGCGTCCACGTCACCTCTGGACCGGACCAGGTGAGCCGCTCCTCGTCGTAGATCGTACCATCATACGCGCGCGTCCTACTGGATGTCGGTGAAGGTGGCTCGAGACTGCGCGGCTGCGCGAGGAAAGTGGATGCGTCCCGCGCATATAAAGCTGAGGCTGCCGACGTCCCGGCGCCCAGGACCGTCGCTTGCAGCATTCGGGGAGGTGTCAGAGGAGAATGGTGAAGATGGTCGATGATTGTTGTGATTGTCCTTTCGTCAACATCTCACCCAAGGCACGCGACTGAGCGGACAAGAGCGTGATCTCCGAGTTGTTGTTTTCAGGCACGGTACAGTCACTGCGTCGTATCAGGTATCCGCGTTCTTGACCATATCTTCCTTCCTCTGACACTCATCACTCCATGTCGCTGTTCGCCGGGCCTTCGCGGCCAACGACGACCACGCCGACCGTGGTGAACTATCGGTATGCGAGCCATGGCGACCGTGGCGCTGACTGAAGGCACCTACTGAGTCCGCAGGCGATGACTGTCTTGTGCGGTTCAATGTGATACGACTGACACCACCAGCAACCCGCTGCGTACGATCGCTCACTGCGACATTGACGGCGCGTTTGCTCGTGAGCATGGCTAGCGACTTTAGCTAATAGAAGAATTTGAGCAGGTGCGGCTAGGGCTGCCAGACGACGTGCCCCTCATCTGCAGTCAATGGGGCTCGATCATCGCGGTCAACTATCCCGCGCGCGCGTACGGGATCAAGCGGTGCGTCGGGCTCTGAACTCGCTCATGGCAGCATGCACAACGAAGTGGAGGCAAAGAAGCTATGCCCTCACCTTGTGGTGCAACACGTTGCGACGTACCGCGACGGCGACACTGAAGCTGGGTATTGGGACGATGTGGACCGGCGCACGCACAAAGTACGTCGCACCGGATGCTGAACTGATGACAGGTCAGCCTGGACCCGTACAGGAGGGAGAGCCTCAAGATTCTCGCGATATTCCGAGAGATGGTTCCCCGGGGCGAGCTGGAGAAGGCGTCGATCGATGAGGCGTTCATGGACCTCACGCCGATGGTAATCGAGCGCCTCCTCGAGCGACACGCGTACCTTCGCTCTGTGCCACCAGACGCGCCTGACGGGCTTGACTCGCCGCTGCCCCCCGCCCCACCGGTTGACTGGGGAAAGGCAGGTCATGTGGTGCCTGTGGATATGGGCATGGGGGTAGAGGAAGGTGTCGAGCCGGAGGACGGCGACGGGGAAACTAAGGGCGAGTCGACATGGGGCGATTGGGCGCTGTGCGTTGGCGCCGAGATTATGGCCGACGTACGCGCCGAAGTGTGGCGCCGGCTGCACTATACATGCTCTGCGGTGAGCATGACTGCGTCTGAAGAGCTAACGATAGGGCATAGGGCATAACAAGACGCTCGCGAAGGTGAGCACGCAGCGACGGCACAAGCTCACAGCAGATCTGCAGTGGGTGGAAGAAGCCAAACCAACAGACAGTGCTGCGGTTGGCGGCCACACCGGGCTTCATGCGTGACATGGACTTCACAGACATCCGGTTTCTGGGCGGCAAGTTGGGGAATGCCATTGCGGAGGAGTACAGCGCGAAGACGGTCGGAGACATGCTGTATGTGCTCTACCTGCCGTCGACAGTCCTGACTTCAGCCCGGTCACGCTGGAAGACATGCAGGCCAAGTTCGGCGAAGAGAGCATCTGGGTTTACAACATCTTGCGGGTGAGATGCCTCTTTGTGGTGCTCAAGCTGATTGTAGGGCATAGACCACACCGAGGTGAAGGAGAAGCTGGCGACGAAGAGCATGCTCGCAAGCAAGAATACGATCCCCAACGTGACCACTCACGCGCAGGGCCATCACTGGCTTGGCGTACTGGCCGGCGAGCTAGCCGTACGGCTGCGCGAGGCGCGGGCAGTCGCGCCGGGCTTGTGGCCCAAAACATTGGTGCTCTCCACGCGGACGGGGTGGGACCCCCGCAGTCGCCAGATGGCTTTTCCTTTTGCGCGCGATCTTGACGCCGCGTACATTGTGAAACACGCGCGGCGGCTGTGGGACGAGCACGTCGGCCACCTGAAGGTGCTGAAGTTCAACAATGTAAGCCGCACCAACGCGCGCGCTGACGCTAGATCTCACTCGCGTTCCATGGCCTCGAGAAGCTTGAGGAGGGGCAGCGCGGGATCGAGGGATTCCTGAAGCGGCCGCGGGAGGAGCGTGAGGCCTCGGCGCAGTCATCTGGTTCCAGCGAGCACGTCAAGGAGCCGCCGGTGAAGCGTACGCGGCTGCCGACTCTCCACATGTCGCCGAAGCCGACGCCGCTCGAGGCATTCTTGCGAAAGGGGGGGAAGACGGAGGCTAAAGATGAGGGCGATGACGAGCGGAAGGCATCGACCGAGGCGAAAGTCGAGGCCGAGTCAGCATTGAAGACTGGCACCGAAGGGGCGGAAGGGGACGTAGCGGGTACCAAAGAGGAGACTGAGGAAAACAGTGGCGCGCCGGGGTGGACGTGTCCCCGATGCGGTGAGGAGTTCGCACTGCCCGACGAAGAGTGGGTGGCGCGGCAACGCGCTGAGCACGAGGATTGGCATTTTGCTGCCGACTTGCAGGCGCAGTACGGAGGTGCGGCTGAAGGAGGGAGTGAGGGGAGCGCGTCCCGAGCGACGAACGGAGGCGGCGGTGGGAGTAGCGTAGCACGAGGGAAGGCGAAGGCGAAGGTACAGAAGCCAAAAGGAATCAAGGCCTTCTTCGCGCCCAAGAAGTGACATTGTATTTATTAGTCTGTAATTTTGTCTCTGCATCTGCATCACACAGTTTGTTTGCCAGCCCTCCACTCGTCGCCGCCATGCAATGTGGTGCATAAACCAGTGTGCTAGTAGACATGCGCGAGTGCCAGGTCGTGTCGGTCATCACTATAGACTGTCCATGGTTTGGGGTATTAGTGCTAGGTAGTGGATGGCGGAAAGTCCATGTGAATGATGTGTGATCTGAGGCAATGGAGGCAAGTGTTAAGGTGTTATGAGGCGTTGGTCACGCGCTTGGGGCGCGGAGTCTCGAGGTCGTCGCCCATCGACGCTCTCCACGAGCTGGGGGGACCGGCCTCGCTGATGGCCAAGCCAGATGTACGCCGGGCCTGCCGGCGTGGAGGAGTTGAGCGCGGTTGTCCGTAATGACTGGTGGGCACGCCCGTGACTGAAGCGGCGGACGAAACCTGCGCCATGCTAGTGGGACGTCCAGAAGAAACGTCCGTCACGCCAGAGACGCGGCGCGTGCGACGCCCTGGAGAGCCGCCTGGGGAGCCAGGAGCATTCTCGCGCATGCCTGGCGCGACGGGAGGGCCGAACTCGCCGCCGTAAACCGACTGAGCGCCGGGGCCGTACGAGTAGCCACCACCCCCGCCGCCCATGGGCATGCCCTGCATGTGCATCCCACTCATGGGCGGCATCATGCCACCCATCGGCATGCCACCGGGGAAGGCGACCTGCGGGCCGCCAAACGCGCCATAGGGATATTGCGCATACGCGCCGTACGGCATTGGCGGCATCATAGGCATCGGCGGCTGATTGTATGAATAGCCGTACGTCTGTTGGAACATGTTGGTCTGTGGCGCTGTGTTTGCCGTGCCGACACTCGACGCCCGCTCCCACATATCCTCAAAGTGTCGGTCTGCCATGGCCTTAAATTGAGCATACATTTGTTGTTTGTTCATGGCGCCGTACGGGTCCATGCCCGGGGGATACGCCATCGGCATCTGCCCAGTCGACGGGCCTGGACCAGCAGCCCAGTCAAACTGGGAGGCCGGCCGACGCGCAGTCGATGCTTCCGCCTCTGGACGAAGTCTGCCATCAGCCCAAGAGCGCCGCGCCGGGTCTGCGACAGAGCGTGGCGTCATGGGCTGTTGCCCGGAGCTGTCGCCCGTTAACCCCGACTGCGACGAGGCTGGTGAAGCCGTGGGACGACCGTCGGCAGCTGCAACCATCGACATGGGATGGCGGGGCGCAGGCTGATGCATGTTGGGCGCCGAAGGCATAGTTCGGAGGCGGTCGGTGCTCGGAGGGCGAGGGAGCAGATCAGAGCTCCTATTGCGAGGGAGGACTTCCGAGCTCTTATTGCGCGGCAGCTTGTGATCGGAGCTGGCGGTGCGAGGCTGATGAGGGCGACTTCCGTCCGCGCTTGAGTCTCGCGCGATGCTTACGTGTGATGTAGGACGAGCAGCGGTGCGGGACACGGGACGCGCAACAGAGTGCGCAGAGTGCGCAGAGTTGCGTGACGTTGGGCGAGCTCCAGGCCTGATGGGTGGGGACAGCTCCTCATCCGAATCCTGTGCCGAAGACAGAGACCACTTGGATGAGCTGTTCGTGGCTGCAGCCCTCTGACCATTTGGCACGCTGTCGGTGCGCTTGCGCGGAACCGGTGCGTTGGCGTGGCCGTTAGCATAGCCGTTGCTGGTAGAGGTCTTCAGAATGCTTGGTGGACGGGGAGGCTCGGGCGTCGTCTTGGATTTGGGAACGGATGAAGCCGAATTGGACGACCGCGAAATGACCGGTCGCAGCTCCCGGAGGTCGCTGCGCGAGCGCGACGTCTTTAGCGCCTGGAGCGGTTCGTCCTCGTCTGACGATCCCGAGATCAGCTCCACATCCCGCAGCATGGTGGCAGACGAGTGCGGGCGGGGGGCAGCCGGCTGCGGCCTTATATCTGCGACCATCGTTCGAGCGGTGACCGTCGAGGCCGACGTCGCCGGCCGCGCCAACACCTTGTCGTCATCGTCCTCGTCCGAACTGCTGGCCCAGCCTTGCTTGTTCGCTCGGGCACCGCGAGGCTTCTCGGCGGGGCGCCTCGGAACGCGACCGAAGGAAGATTGTGGAAGTGAGGGCACTGCTGCAGGTGGTTCAGCCAGCACTGGCGGTACAGGTACTGGCGATGCCGTACGCTCGCTCGTGGGAGACTGTGCCTGGATGGGAGGTGGCGATGGGGTCCCGACTGGAGGAATGTGAAGTCGGTCATCGTCAGAGGTCGACGTAGGCAGGACATTTGACGCCGTGGAGATGGCCGATGACGTTGCCGCTGCCAACCTGTCGTACAGGCTTTGGCGGTTCTCATGACCAGCGTCACCAGAATTGCTACGCTGCGAGTCGCGTAGCATGGTGTCGACAAGTGACGGGTCAAACGCCTCCTCCCTTTCGTTGCTGGACGGGTCTGGTGACCCACCACTCCAGAGACCAGAGATGCGACGAAGAGGTTCCTCGAAACCAAGCGCGAACGTCGGCGAGAGCGTTCCGCTGCGGCTAGGATTCTCCCGTCCCAAAGGCCCGTCTGGCAGCTCGTCAGGCCGTGGAGGAAGCTTAAACTGCAGCTCATCTGGGCTCGTCTGCAGCTCCGGAATGTTCAGAGGTGCAGGAGGTGGCGGTGGTGGAGAACGAGAGGCTGCGCGGCGAGCCGCAGGCGGTGTAAGCTCCTCGGGCGGTGTCGTAACGATCGGCGGCATGGATGCAGTTCCAATCCGTGGATCGTCCCCAGTCGAGAGCGACGACGCACGCGGCGGCCGCACGATCTTGGGAGACCCTGTGATGGTAGGCGCGGGGATTGGTGCAGGGGATGGGAGGCGTTCCCCGATTAATTCCTGTTTCTTGGCATCCTTGGCATCGAGATTGCGCCTGGCTCCCCTCACCACGAACGCGGGCGAGGGCGGGGTGGAATTGCGCAGAGGTGGAGGAACACCAAGCCCGATGAGGCTAGGGCTGGGCCCCCTCGACGACAGCTCATCAGTGGGCATGATCGGGGTAGGAGGTAGCGAACGCTTTGGGCGTGGCGGTGGAGAAGCATCGCTGAGCGACACGGCGGAACCCGAGTCACGACGAAGTCCACTGCCTTCAAACAGTTGAGCACGGTTCAGAGACAGGGGGATGTCGTCGTCATCGTCAATGAGCACGGACGAGCTTGGGCGGCGGATGTTCTTGCGGAAAGCGGCGACGCTGACGCGCTGAGACGAGTCAGAACCGGCGGCGCTGGGTGGACGCGGTCTTTGTGGGGGCGCAGTGGGCGAGTGTGGGGGCGCAGGAGAGGTAGCACCACTGTTGACACCACTGTTTGCACCGCTGCCGGGGCGGCGGGGTACGATGGTGCTCGCCGACGACCTCTCCTGTGGGCTGCCGCGCCGATCTTCGGAATTTGACAGGCTGAGGTACTGGCCAAACCCGCCCTCGGCGTCAGAAGCGCCCGAAATATGCCGGAACGACTTGAGCTGGAACGACCCATCGTCCACAGGTGACGGTTGGTCGAGCTCAAACGCCAACGAGACCCGCGACTGCGTGCGGCCGAAAGGATTGTGGAACAAGGAAGATTGCGGGCGTCTCAGTGGGGGGCGCGCTTCGACATGCGACATGGACACGGGCTAAAAGGGCGTCAGTAGGCGTGGCAACGGGCATACTCACTCGTTCCTCTGCAGGACGTGTCTTGGACGTACGACGCGTGCGCATTCCTGGTTTCCAGAAACGCCGCTTTTCGTCCAGATCAGGCTCGGAAGTGGAGCTGAAGATCTCCTCGACCTCCTCCTTGTGCGGACCGGTCTTCACCAATCCCTTGGATGGCGACGGAGCCTTGGCCTCTGCTGGTGAATTCTTGAGGTTGATCAGCGGCTGTATGTCCATCTTCCCCTTGCCCTTGACCATTGTCACGTCAGCCCTCTGCTGGTGCTGTTGCTGATGTAGCTGCTGCTGCTGCTGTCGACTCTGTGGCCAATCACGCGCGGACAAAGTGTATTCGGGCGAGTGTGAGCCCCACGGATTGTTGCTAAACGTGGACACGGATGGGAGCGATGGGGAGGTATGGGAAGCTCCTAGTTTGCGCATGGTGGATCGGCCGCCGTCTTTAGGATCCTTGGCCCGGGACTTGGGCGTAGGTGACATGGCAAGCGCTTGCGAGTTTGAAGTGAGCTTGGACGGCGAAGTGCCAGGTGTGGTGACCTTGGAGGGACCGGCGGACGGGGGTGGTGACTGGAAGGGGGTTGCTGCACCTATAGAGGCCCAGTCGTTCGCCTCGAAAGCGAACTTGCCGAGGACGCCGCCGTCCTGCTTCCACTCGGTGGAGCCAGAGGTGCGGCGCGAGCGCCCGGTGAAGGTACTGCTTAGCGAAATGACGGTCCGCTGCGACTCGTGACTAGAATTGCGGTTATGCTGCTGACGGGAGGCGGAGGGGGAAGGTGGAGATTCGAGGGGCTGGGAATGGGAATGTGAAGTTGATGATGTTCGGGGTGGTCTAGTGGGCGTGGATGGGGAATGCGTCGAGATTGATGGGATGTGGGCGGTGCGAGTGGGCGAGGTGGGGCGTTGAGCGCCAGAGCCTCTCAAAGGAGATGCAGATGTCGACTCGTAGGGGATCGACTGGAGCTCGTCAGCTTGACGGCGCTTGTCCTTCTTCCAGCCGCCAAACATGGAGCTGCGGGCCGAGTTGGGTGAGGAGGAGGCGGATGCGACGGTCGAGGAGGTGGATACGCGCGGGGGAGGAGTGTTGCTGTTGGGGACGGTGAGGAGGGCTGTCGATGGGGAGCGCTTGATTATGCGCGAGCTTGCGACAGAGCCGTCTGCGGAGGATGTTGACTGTGCGCTCTCTGGCGGCTTGCGCGCACCGGAGGCGGCGCGCAAGCGCTTAAAGAGGCCCATGGCGGTGGGCTAGAGAGGGCGTTGAAGCCGGCGATGATGATGATGATGATGAGTAGAGAAGAGAAGAGAAAGTGGTGGTGTTGGAGGATGGACGAGGGGGAGCAGGGGCGGGCAGGGAGAGGGACGGGGGAAGACCGGGGAGGGATTGCAAGGACAGAGTGAGGTACCGTCTTGAGGGTTTAGGGAGGGAGGGAAGGTGGGAGGGTTGAGTGGCGCGGCGCTGGATTTCTTCACTTTTGCCGCGTGTCGAAGCGGCCTTGAGGACCTGCGCTGCACGCGTACTACGTCGCCGTCGGGCAGCTGGGCCGGCTGAGATCGCTGAGAGCTGTCGAGCTGGCAGGAACGTGTCACGGCGTGGCTTGTCTTGCGAAGGGGAACTGTAGGATGGAGGATGAACCAGCAGCTCGGTGATTATAATGTTACGGCAAGTGTAAGGGGTGTGCGGAATAGAGACGAGGGATTTGAGAGCTCAAGATGCGCGATGGAACCGAAGAGAGAGAGAGAGAGATGGAGTCGAGAGTAGAGATACTGTACAGAAAGCGGCCCGGAGGAGGAGGAGGACGAGGAGGAGGAGGAGGATGATGATGGAGAAGAGATGATGAGGAGCGGAGAAGAGAAAGCGACGCGCGGGGCAACGAGAGGGCGCGTACGAGACCTAGCAAGGGAGCCAAGGAAGGTGCATCAAAGGATATGCGGCACAATGTGAAACACCCTTTTTGTCACCCTTTCTTACATATCCTCTTCATCCTCGTCGTCGCACCATGCACATGCCCAGATGTCCGCATGTCCGTATGTCCGTATGCCAAGGAAACTGCGTAAACACTGTTGATGGCAGCAGCAGCAGCAGCGGAGAGACATCAGCTGCGGTGTATGGCATGGCATGGGCGAGCAATTCATCCCACCACCTCTGATCCTCTGATCGCCGTTTTCTCTCTCTGCCCTCTTGTGCAAGCCGCAAGGCGCGGCTCAGGGAAGAGTGTCAGGGAATCGTGCCTGCATACTCACACCCCATCCCAATCGATCTCCCAACTCCTTCCACGTGGCCGCCTCCGGGCTACTGTGGGGCTCCCTCGCCACCTCGACATTGCAACGTTGGGCTGCTGTGCCGCAGGCCCTCGTCATCACAACTCGCTTGATCGCTTGCCCAACTTGCATTCTCTCCATCCACAAGCCCACAGCCACAGGCCACAGGCAGCAACAATGTCCCACGCGCCTCCCCCCGGGCCCCCGCCAAATCGTCCCACCAACAACGATGACCCCTTCCACGACACGGTCCCCGACGACCCGCCGCCGGCATACGAAGCCGTGTCGCGCACAGACTCGACCGTCGCCGCCGGCCCGAGCCGCATGGACTTCTCCGGCCCCCCGCCCCTCCCCGACCGCATGCGGATACAGCCCCACTCGACGGGCGGGTACAGCATCCCCGGCGTGGGCGTGGGCTATAGTCCTTCTCCTACTAGTCCAGGTGGGCAGGGTGAGTTGATCCAAGGCGACAGGCCACGATCCACGATCCACGATTCGCCCCTCCCTACGCGGTGGCAGCATGCGATCTGTCATACCAGCCATGCAGTCATCGCTGTCATGCAATCTCCCCATACCAGCAGGAGAAATGGGGCGTGTCGCATCACGAAGCAAGGCGGAACGATGCACGGCCTGCACAAAGCACACCGCTGACGCTGACGCTGACGCCAGGCTTCTCGTCAGGCTATGCGACACCCACGCATGCCCCTCCGCCCGGCGCACCCCCTCCCCCTCCCCCTCCCCCTCGCCATCCCAACCCGCCAAACCAAGAGTTCACGCCCACCGAGTCCCCCGTGCCCGGCCGTCCGCTGCTGCACAACGGCAACCTCCTCGTATATCCCAAAGGGTATTGGTGCCACAAATGCCAGAACACGGGATACAAAGGCGGCGACGCGCGCGCGCCCTGCAACTCGGACTGGCGCAAGTACGGCAAGCCGTACAACGGCGCGCTGGCGGCCAGCTTCGCGGCCCCGCGCCCGGGGGGAAACGCGAGCGTCGTCGGCGCAAACAACTTCCAGCGGCCCCTCCCGGGCCATGCGGCGGGCCATACGGGACAGGCGGGGCAGGCGCCCCACTACGCCCTTGGCCATCAGGGAGGAGGATATCCCGGCCAGCAGGTGTATCAGCGCCCGCCGATGCGGCATACCTATGCGCCCCCGCCCGGCGCACTCGTCGTGCAGCCTGGAGACCCCCGGATCGGCGGACAGTGAGTACTGAGCGGCTGAGCGACGCGCGAGAGCTAGGCTGACACCAGGCTGTGTTACCGGTGTGGAGGGAGCGGGCGCGAGACGTCGCTGTTCATGTTTGACGACGGGCCGTGCTGGCAGTGCCGTGGTGTTGGGCGCGTGTTCTGAAGCACCCAGATGGCGAGAAGTACCCTCGATAGAGACGGCGGGCGGAGAGAGACATTAAGAGCATTGGACAGGCAGTTGTAGAGACGTGTCGCGTAGATGATCATATTATGTGCAAGTCTACTGGCCATCGACTTTCAACGTACTGCGACCCAGCGCGCCAGCTCCCGCGACTCTATCGTACATTCCGCAACAAGTGTAGGTTATCTCGATCGCCCCGCAGCGCTATCCGCAATTTGGACTGCGGACCCCAAGTTGTAGATTGGCCGCTCACATGATCGAGGCATCAGGCACGCGCAGCACACGCTCAATCTTGGACGGGCCAACGCGATCGAAAGCTTGTCGCGAACTGGGGCGGAGCGCGACGTACAGCATGCACCGTTCTCGGTGCTACCCCTGCAGTTTCGGCAGTTGAGTGGCCACCGCAGCGCGGATGCATCAATGTACAGTACAACACGTCTCTCAATACTCTAAGTCGTCCAGATCGTCAATGTCGTCGTCGAGGAGCGCGAGATGCTCGGAGCACTCGTAATATGCCCGGTGTTGTGGGTGTGCCGAGAGCGGTGGCGGAGTGTTCTGGACGCTTCTGTTCGCAACGAGTCCTTCGGCATCGCTGTCCTCAATATCGCTGAGCTCGCCATCCTCGTATTCGCGATACTCCCACGGATCGTTGTCGTCGTCCAGCTCATATCCGTCCTCAAGGTCATTGTCGAGACCGGCCCCCGATGTATAGCCGCTGGCAGCTTGGCGCTTGTCACTGAGCGGCGGATCATCCTCCACACGGTGGGGTGGATGGACTTCTCCGCGCGAGTATCCACCACGCTGAGAGGAGTGTCCGTCCTCTGCGTGCCAGTACATATCGTCGCACTCGATGGTCTTGAGTGACCGCTTGCCTTCGACGCCCAAGCCGTAGTCCCCGTCACCATACTCATGCAAGCCTGTACCGCTCTCGTCCAGGTTCTCGCCAAAGCCGAGGGACAGAATGCTGTCGCCGTCGTCGTCGAGGTACTCGTGCTGGGGCACGGGGTCCAAGTCGTCGGCCGATAACAGGACTTCCTGGAGCGGCCCACCCCGGTGGCAGTTATACCGGGGCTGAGCGATGGACAAAGCTGGAGACTGCGCGGGTGATCCGATGGCGCCGACATCTGTGTCGGTCTTGTCGCCGTCCCGAGGAAGCAAAAGCTCAGCCTCCGCATCGTGGTCCTCGACACACGGGCTCGACGCAGCTTCAGCGTCACTAAGCGACCCCAAGTCGGAGGACACCTGCGAGGTCAAGCCGAGCTTGTAATGCTCGGGTTGATGAGCAGGGAAAAGCGAGCGCTGGTGGAGCGTGTCCTCGTGCCTGTCCTGAAGGTAGTCGTCAAGGCCGAGGCCGTAGCGGTCGCCGTTGTCGTCGACACTGGCCACACCTGTGGCACGGTCGCCGCCGTCGTTTCGTTCACACCGGGGCTCGCCGGTGTAACCCTCATCAAGCTCGTCGCCGAATCGGCTGCCACGGTCCTCCATGTCATCGCTGAGAGAGCTCCTCTCACAGTCACTCTCGGTGTATCCGTCGAAAAGAATGTCACAGTCCTCTGGCAGGTCACCTCGAACGCTGTTCTCCAGGTCATCGTCGTGGTCTGTGTTCATACCCTCCGAGGAGCTTGTGCGTGAGGGCCCCGCAAAGCTGTAAGAAGGCCATCTGTCGAAGTTGCCACAAAGATGGTGGGCAAGAGGGCCTTCATCATCATCATCATCGAGATTGTCATCAGTGCGCAGACAGTGAAGACTGCTGGTGGGTGGTGCTGGCACGTCGGAAAGCTGGAGAGAATTATAGCCGATGATAGGTGATCGTGAGGCCTCCCTTGTGCGCCAATGGCTGTTGCGGCCATGCAACTCGATGTAAGGCGACATGCGATGCGAGGGAAGATGTGGGGTCCCAATCTCCTCCTCGTCCTGCTCATCTTCCTCATAGTCATCTTCGGAGTATTCGTCCTCCTCCTCGTACGAGCCCCCGCAGTCGTAAGGGGACTGGTTTCGACGGTGCCCAGAGAACATGTCGAGACCAAGGGTACCGTCCAAGTAGTCGCTCTCGTCCTCCAGTTCGTCGTATCCTTCCCACCCCATCGTCGGACATGAGCAATGGAAGGTGAGAGTGGTGAGGGGGAGGTGCGCAGAGCAAATCATGTGGAAGAGGCAAAACATTCACTGGCGACGTCGATAGCTCGTCGCGGGCTGGCAAGGTCTCCTCCTCGACCATAACAAGCGGCCGCTGCTGCAGATAGTCTGAGTCCGGAGTGTCGACCTGTTGATTAGCTTACCGATGTCTATTGCAACCTCACGGCTGCTCGCGAGGCACCCATCCGCCCGCCTTTGCGGCGAATCTCCAACCACTTGGATGCTCCAACCGCGGCCACCTTCTCGGCGATCAGGCGGTGAAGACGTTGGCGATCAGCAAGCCCAGCCTCATCCTTCGCAACGGCTTCGATTGCACCTGCTGCACGAGCATGTCCTGCGTCTTCCTCCAACTGTTGCCGGGATTCTTGGATGTCTTCATTCACCTGAGGCTCGTCCTGCCCCTGAACCTTGCGCTTCGCAGGCTTCTTCCTTGTTGGAAGTAGCGCGACGGCCTTGACCTGCGCATCGAGCAGATTTTGCCTCGACTCTTCCATCCTGCTAATGATACCGCCGCATTGGATGATGAATTCGGGGCGGTGACGGGCGGCGTTGAAGGCGAAGCTCCTCATGGCTGTGATGAGTGATGGGAGAAGCTGACAGTGCGTCTGGTACTGCCTGTCAGAAACTTCAAGTGCGGTGTCACGCACGTCGAGGAAGGGGCCGTCAAACACGTATGGGAATCGACTAGCAGTCAGCGCCTGGGGCTAGCGTGTTCGAACCGTAATAGCTGTTGGCGCAAAACCACGGGCATTACTTCCGCGATCTGCCCAAACATGATAGCTTCGACAGCATGCTGGCCCGAGGCATGCGCAACGATGTTGGAGTTGCTCGGTTTCAATGCCTCCTCAACCGCGTCCGCCACAAGATTGTCGCGACTGTCATCGCCATCGAGCTCTTCTGCTTTTCGTTTGCCCTGCATGTGCCACCAGAATGCGAGATCCACTTTAACCAACGCAGCTGTCGGCTCGCCCGATGGAATGAGGTAGGTGGTTGTAGGAGAGCGGGAAGGTGAGGCGGAGATGGGCTTCAGAAGAAGAGAATTCGAGCGTTTAGTCCCATCCTCCTTGAGCTCCCAAGCCGCATCCTCAATGCCCAAATGGGCTTGATTCTCGCGTAAGTGGGATATAGCAATCGACTCTGCGCATACCTTGATGATCCATCCCCCGATGTGTCTCTCAATGGCTTCCTGTGCCCCGTTGGGAAGAGCATCTACGGTCCCAAGGGATGCGGTATTGACAGACCATGCGAGGACAATTTTGGCTCCGAGCTGGGCCACGACCTTGATCGTTTCCTCCAGAGGCTTGGGCTTTGGCTGCAGTGGCGCAACAAGTGTGGGAAGAGACACCCGTGGGGTGCACCTGACCTTTAGCCGAGGGAAGGCATGATCGGAGTCGACCGTAGACCGCGAAGAGGTGAGGATCGAGTGTGACAGAGGGAAAGAGGTCTGCGACATGTTGCTGGGAGGCATGGCGAGTATGAGACAAGTCGGAGATGTGAGGAAATGAGTGACAAGATCGGGGGAAGAGTCGAGGGAAGTGGTGCGAAAGAGAACGAGACGAGTGGGCGGGCACAAGATTGTCAGACGTCAGAGATGCCTTATAATAAGTGTTAAAGCGTAAGAAGAATTGATGAGGGGGTCGCTCGCGGCCGCGGGGCCGGGGGAAGCGGGGGAGCGAGAATGGCGAGAGTGGCTAAGAGTGGGGAGGAATGTGGGTAAGTCTGAGCGCGCTGAATGACGAGAAGAGAGAGAAAGAGAGAGAGGGAGAAAGAGAACGAGAGCGAGATCCGAGAGTGATGAAAGAGTGGAGAGAAAGAGCGCATCGACGAGGGCGAATGGGAAGAAGGACGAGATGTGATCAGAACGAGATATGGCGATACCGAGGGGACACGGAGGTCAGAAGCAGACAAGGTCAAGAGCTGGAATAGATCCTGTTATCAACCGCTTGTCACGGCCGCGCGACTTTTGGGAGGCATTCAACCTCACGTGGACTCCACGTGTACTGTGGAGATTGAGAGGCCAATGCGTCATTATTCAGTTTCATGTCCACTCAAACTCCTCTCGAGCTCTCAGCTAGTTGCTAGGCTCTGGTGACGATGTTCTGCGGTGTCGTTGCTGGACGCCATTCCCACACACCCCCGTTGCCCCAGTCGCGTCCGTCGCGTTTGACACATGCTCATTCTCATTTCCTCAACCTCGACTCCCATCAGTCTACTGTAGCCATCTAGCAAGTCCGAGGCTGGTCTAACTGGCAGGCGAGGAAACGACATTTCAATACCTCATTTAGTAATTTCTAATCCTCCAGGTACTCCCCTACCAAGCTACCAAGGCCTGCCCAGCCGCCCAGCCGCCCAAACCCTTGGCGCCTCTCCCCGCAACCCTCCTTCCGGTCCTCCCTAGACTTCCCAACACGCCTGCACATCTTGCCATTCAACTCGACCAAACAACTTCATCTCATCACATTCTTCAGTCGAGCGACTTAAACAACACGCCAGATGGCTCCAGTCAGCATACGGCGCTCTCCCGCGTCGTCGGCGGCCACCGTCGTCTCTCTCTCTAAACTCCTCCACATTGTCCCTGCCGTCCTCTCCAACGCTCATGTCAAACGCGGCGCAGAGTTTGTGATCGCTGGACATGGCGGCGGCGGGGAGGGTCCACCCACCGAGTCGCCAGAGTACATGTTCAAGCTCATCATGGCCTTGGCTTTTGTCATCCTCGGTGGCATCTTCGCTGGGTGAGTAACCCAGTCATCTCCACGCACACGCCTTCTTCCCCCTCAACGCCAACATGAGCTGACCATAGCCTTACGCTCGCCCTTATGGGCTCCGATGACCTCAACCTTCGTGTCCTCGCGACCTCCTCCTCCGATCCATCTGAGCGCAAGAATGCCGCAAAGGTCCTTCGCTTGCTTAGCAAGGGCCGTCACTGGGTCCTCGTCGTTCTTCTCCTCAGCAATGTTGTAAGTAACGCTTGTCGTCGGGACACACGTGGGGTGGTAACGTTGACGAAGCCAGATTGTCAACGAGTCTCTGCCAGTCTTTTTGGACCCAGTGCTTGGCGGTGGTGTCCGCGCCGTCATCGTGTCCACCGTGATGATTGTCATTTTCGGAGAGGTCATTCCTCAGGCCGTGAGTCCCGGGGTTGTTGCGCGCTGATGGCAAGGTATGTGTCCGCTATGGTCTTCAGATCGGCGGCGCCTGTGCTCCCGCCGTGCACGCCATGATGCTCATCTTTGCACCCATCGCCTGGCCTATTGCGAAGCTTCTCGACTGGGTTCTCGGCCATGATGCTGGCCACACCTACAAGAAGGCCGAACTCAAGAGCTTCCTCCAGTTCCACCGCGAGGGCGAGGAGCCGCTTCGTGATGACGAGATCACCATTCTCAACGGTGTGCTGTCGCTGAACGAGCGCAAGGTCAACGAGATTATGACTCCTATCGGCGACTGCCTCACCCTTGCCATCGACAAGATTCTTGACAGCGACACCATCGACCACATTCTGATTTCTGGCTTCTCTCGCATCCCAGTGCATGAGTCTGGGCAGCCGGACAACTTCATTGGAATGCTGCTGGTCAAGACTCTCATCTCTTACAACCCTGATGACGAACTCCCGGTCTCCAAGTTCCCCCTTCTTCCTCTCCCCGAGGCCAACCCCAGCCTCAACTGCTTCCAGGCTCTCGACTACTTCCAGACTGGTCGCGCGCACCTTTTGCTCATTAGCGACACGCCGGGCAAGAGAGGCGGTGCCGTCGGTGTTCTCTCGCTGGAGGACCTCATTGAGGAGTAAATATCGAGTTGCCCAGGCGTTCATCGAGTAAGGCTGACATAACCAGGATCATTGGCGAGGAGATCATTGATGAGACGGATCGCTACCACGACAACCACTCGAAGAGAAAGGCCCAGCGCAAGGCGACCGCTACTATTATGCGTGCGTCATGCCATTGGAGAGTTATCGACTGACCACAGGCGGTATCATTGAGCGCAACCGCGTAATCAACGCCTTCAGCAGGCGCCCATCGGTGCGTGATATGCGGCTCGTGCAGCCACGCGCCGCTAGGTCGTCTGGACTTACTGACGCACAGGGTAACGCAGGCTCTCGTGGCCAGTCTCCAGCCCCCCCTCGCGAGGGCGTTCTTGTCAACCTCACCGAGACCCCTTCTACCATCCACGACGCAGACCACCACGACTACCTGACCGCAAAGGGCCCCCACAGACAGGGCAGCAAGGACGTCATTTATTCGTCGCCGAAGCCTCGTCTCGTGGACATTGAGGAGTCGCCGTCTCCTCCCACCGAGGAGCTGTCGAGCGCCCAAGCGCAGTCGTCCAACCACCACGTCGACGTTGCCGTCATTGGAAACACCTCCGACACCACTGGAGAAGCGATCATCGCGGCCCCTGCTGGACACACTAAGGCGGACGGCTCTGTTGCCAAGGCCGCCGAGGCTGCCATCAAAGAGCTCAACGGTGAGGGCAAGCTGATCCAGCTTACCGTCACAGAGACGGAACAAGAGGACGAAGCGGAGGGCAGCACCGACGCGAGCGACTCGACCTCGAAGCCCTCCACCGCTTCCACTCCCGCCGTGGCTGAGGCCGGCGCGTCCACATCGACGGGCGGCGGCGGCAAAAAGAGGAAGAACAAGAAGAAGAAGGGCAAGGGCGGTCAGTAGTTGCCCCACCATCTCTTGCTATCTCTAGCACAGCTATCCTATCCGCATGCATTCTGTATCCCGGCTTACGGTAGCGAGTGAAGATCCGATGCCTCCGCCGTACCCTACCTCAGCGGCATTTGCGGCCGCAGCCCACGCCTTCGTGAACAAGTATCCACGTGAGCGGGGTGCGGGCCTCGGTCCCGACCGCACGAACGCGGGCTGGGAGTGGCGCACGACGAGTGATCGGGTGAGCGCAGCATACGCGCGCAAGACGATGACGGGGCTGATCCTAGTTCCGGGGCGAGCAGGGGTATCTCGCGCGACGGACGACGCTGTGGCTCGCCCCTGACGAAGAGGCGGGCAGCGAAGACGAGGAGGAGATGCTGGAAGAAGACGACGACGCGGTGGCGCCGCCGCCCCCGCGCCGCCTCGAGGTCGAGTACAGCGTCGTGTGGAGCGCGAGTTATCGTGTCCCGATGCTGTGTTTCCGCGCGTGGGACGAGAGTGAGTTCTGAGCGAGAGAGCAGCGGGCGAGCGTGAAGGCCGGGGGGAAAGAAAGAGACTGACGACAGGCGGCACGCCCGCACCCCTCGCGACCGTCGCTGCGCACCTCCTCCGTGCGTCGATTCCGACGGATACGGCGCCTGGCTCGCGCCCCGACGCGCTACTCCTCCCCGCTGCGCCGTTCCCGCTTATCCAGGCCGGCGAGCATCCCGTCACGGGCATCGCGGTGTGGAGCGTCCACCCGTGCGAGGTGCGCAACGCCGTCGAAGAGATCGTGAGGGCGGAGGGAGGGGAGGGGGACCGCGGACTGCGATGGCTCGAGGCGTGGTTCATGCTGTCCGACTCGGTTGTTGATTTGACTTTATAGCGGTTAGTGTTTTGGGTCTTTTACGCTCAACAAGCATTCATGCATCTTTCTATGGAGACTAGAGACTGCCGTTAGCTGTGTTGCGCCACGTTCGCTCACCCAAGCACGCGCATGATCGCGTAGCCGATCGTGCAGATAACAAAGGTCGCAAGGATGGAGGCGGGGATGCCGTTCTTGAGGAAATCGTTGGCGTTGATGAACCTGTGCCCAAGCTTGTTCTCCTGGGTAATCCTGCTGTCAGCGATAATAAGCGATGCACATACGCAGTCATGTTCGGGAAACCTGAGACAGGAAGACCCATTCCTGCCGAGCAGATGAGTGCAGTCGCCATGATGAGAAGGCGCGGGTGGGGGTCCGCCATGGACGTGCCGATGCGCTCAGCAATGGGAACCAGGAGAACAGCGGCGATAGTGTGGGAGATGAAGGTCGCCACGACGAGCGAGATGGAGCAGAACACCACGAGGATCGAGTAAAGACCCATGCCCTCGACGAGGCGGACCAGACCCTTGTCCATGGACTCCAGGAGACCAGAACTGAGGACAGCCTTGCCAAGCGCAATGCCACCCATTGCGAGGAAGACGATGGGCCACTGGAAGTCGTGGAAGTCCTCCTTGCGCAGGATGCCGGTCCCGAAGAATGCGATGAGGGGGATAATGGCGATGATGCCCATGTCACCAATGGTGCTCTCAATGTTCTTCTCGATGCACCAAAGAGCGATGGTGAACACAGTGAAGAAGAGAACAAAGTAGTGCTTGCCAGTGAGGCTGTCTGTGTTCTTGCGCATCTTCGGAATGCGCAGATCGCTCTCCCACCGGTAGTTGTAGTGGAGGAAGGCCCAGATGGAGACAACCGAGGTGATGCCGACGGGCAGCGAGATAGCAAACCACTCAATCCACGTCAGCTCGGGAACCATGCTGCCAAGAGCGATGAGGTTCTGCGGCGAGGAGATTGGCGACGCCATACCGCCGATGTTCGAGGCGAGGGCGATTGCGATAATCAGACACTTGGAGAAGACAGACTTGGGCGGAAGCTCGTCAAGGATGGGGCGAACGAGTGCGTAGCACAGTGTCGGCGCAGCGACGTTCGAAATCCACATGCTCGCAAAAGTAGCGACGAACATCAGCACGAGCAGCACAACGCTCGGGTTCGAGCCAGCCGACGTAAGAATGCGGCTCGCAGCCATGTGGTCAATCCTCGTGCGAGAGAGGCCGGCGGCAATGGTGAAGCCGCCAATCAGAAGCATGACAGTGGGCGAGAACATGACGGAGAAAATGAACGCGGTTGCGTCCTTGGCCGGCAGTCTCGTGTCGTCCTTGTCGTTGCGCAGAACACCCAGGACGACAACCAGGAAGGGCACGGTAAGTGAGGTAACGAAGAGCGGGATCGCCTCAGTTGCCCAGAGGATAGTGCAGAATACGAGCAGTGCGAGACAGTTGCTTTCCTCGACGCGGTCCATGGGCTGCACGACGATGATAGCGAGCATGGACAGGACAGCTAGGCCGAAGATCAAGCCGCCCTTCTTGAGCCACTTCGGCATGGCGATGCGCCCGCACGGTGTCCGCAGGCCACGCTTGACCTGCTCGAACGCAGGCAAGTCGGCGTCTGGGTCAACCGAGCGGAAGATGCCCTGTCCACGACGGTCGCCGACCATCTGCGACCACACTGTCTCGCGGTCAACGACAATGCGCTCGCGCAGCTGTGCGCGCAGCTGCTCCTTTGCGAGCTCCTCGTCGCCAGCCACAACCACGCGGCGGTACAGGAACAGCACCTGGTTGAGAAGAAGGTCGAGCTCGGCCTTGGCCTCGTCCGTCCACGGATACGTGGTGAGTACGAAGTCGGACATGTACGTCTTCTTCAACTTGGAGTTGGTGTTCTTGTCGTACTTTTTCAGGATCTTCTGGAACGCAGTGAAGTTGAGGTCGACGTATTGCTTGAGGGCGTAGAGGTCAAGCCAGAGCGCGGTTATGCGCTTCTTCATGCCGATGCGCAGTACCGTTGCGTAGTCTGTGTTGCCCTTCCACACGTAGTAGATGTGCTTGGTGCTGGCCGACTCGATGTCTGACGCCTTGGCCAGCTCCTCCTTGAGCCACTCGGGATAAGTGGAGGGGTCCATGGGCTGGAGGCCGAGCTTGTGGGCGCGGCGAGTTGAGCGCCATAGCCCGCCACCTGAGGATATCGAGCTCATCGACCCACGACGGTCAAAGTGATCGTCGGCAGACGAGAGGTCGCTGAGAGCGCGGCTGCGGTGCTTGGTACGCGGACTCAGTTGGGGCTGCGATGCGATCATGTCGCGCGACGACGCCAGCTCATCCTCGGTGCTGCTGCCTGTCACAACAAGGGAGCGCGAACGCTGTCGCGAGCTACTGCTGCGAACCTCGGCCGGTAGCGAGGACTGTATGACGTCGGCGGAGTCCTTGGTGACACTCGATCGACGAGGGAAACTCGGCAGCTTGCCAAAGATTGAGTTACGCTTGCGCGGGGGCGCCATGGCGCCCGACGACGGCAGGTCGGAGAGGAGATTGGCCCGCTCGTCGGCGTCCTCAGCCTCCCACTCGTCCTCCTCACGGATGACCTCGTCGTTGTCAGCATTCAGCTCGCGCTGCTCGATCGAGTCGACCTCGCCCGTAATGACGTCGGTCGAGTTACGCAGCTCGGCGAGCTTGGTCTCGTAGAATGTCGCGACCTTGTTGCGTTCGCGATCAAGTGCGGCCTTGAAGTCTTCGGGCGAGGCCCACTTGGACGAGTCGCGGTGAGTGGGGAGCAGGCTGCCGGACTCGGCGTGCTGCTGCGTTGCCAAGTAGGTCGGATCGAGGGGCACCGACGGGAAGAGCTTCTTGAGCGCGTCATAACTTGGGTCAGCTAAGCCCGAGGAGAGGGCGGCGAAGATGACAGAGAGCCAGGAGGGCGCAAGGCGGAGCGGAGTAACTTACTCAACGTAGTGATCCCACCACTCGACGTTAGAGTTGAGCTCCAATAATGTTCTGTTGTCAGCCATGGCTTGAGGTCACTGCGCGACGTACCCAAACTTCATCTTGTCACCAGAGCGAGCGATACGTTCAGCGTACCACGACCAAGAGGGAAGGTGAGTGTGCTGATATGAAGGCTGGCGCCGATGGCTCCTAAGAGGCTCTAGGGGGATGTCGTCGTCGTTCTCTTCAATGTGGTCGTCGGCCAGGCGGAGTGGTCGCGGGGCGAACGCACGTTGCAGGGATGTGCCGAGACTGGCGAGTGGGGAGGTGAGAGGTGGCAGTTTCGCGCGTGGGGGAGCGGGATGGGGGGAACTTGGGACTGGCTGGGGCGATTAAGCCATATGTGGATCGGGGAGAGCTTGGGGGGGGGGGGGGGGGGGGGGG